GATATCATGCAACTCAACTCACTCAGTAGAGGATGATATAGGTGAGGATGGAGCCGACGTTGAAGCAGAATATCAGCACCATCTGTTGAGACAGAGACAGGAAAGGGCAAGATATAAAATAGTAGGACTGAAGAAGAAAAACATAAGAGTACCCTTACTGCTCGTCTTGTGACTTACCAGGACTGTGCCAGGCAGATCTTGAGCAGATATCATAGAGAAGGCCCATTCGTTCAAGGCATTCCTCAGATTGAACACTGGCTCCACACTAATGCTCTGCAACATCACAATAACAAGACATGGTAAAACTCTGCATTGAATACTCTACCTGTTCATAGGCCAGCACAGTGCACACCAGATTGACCTGTGATAACACTGAAGGTGTAGGCGTCAGTAACCTTATAGGTGTAGTATAGGCTTACATAACTCTCCCTTTGTCATCCACTACTCTTCCTTTCCATCTTATCTTTCTACATTTTCCCCTCACCTGTTTGTGGGCCCAGCAGGCCCGGCAGTGGGTGTGGGACATAGGAGGGTAAGTGTGGGAAATCTCCATGGGTCTGTGCAAATGCCTTTGTGCCACTGACCACCTTCCGGAGACACTTGAAACCCTACATCTTTAAGGAATACCTGGAATAGTATAAAGTAATCCTTCTTCCCCCCACCCCCCATAATTTTTTTTTTTTTTTAAAGGTGGTTGTCCCACTGGCTATCATAAGTTGAATGCACCAATTTGTAAGTCGCTCTGGATAAGATAATCTGCTAAATGATGTAAATGTAATTGTAAATGCCAGGCAATGCTGGGCGGGGGTGGTGTAGGTGTACATGGATGTCATGGAGCCAGTCGCCATTAGCTGTACCTTTCATTTTGAGGCCAAGAGAAATGTGTTAGTCTAATTTGGCATGTGTTTTAGTGTAATGGTTGTTTCAATCTAACGTGAACTAACTATAGATGTGGTATCCCTATGATGGCATCACATCTTTGGTAAATAAAGTATTTGCTAGTGCTCTGTTTTTGTGAAGCACGACTTAGTGGCTAACTGCCTTAGCTACTAGGTTAAAAACATTAGCTAGCTATCGTTTCAGAGGTTAACTAGCTAGCATAGAACTAGGATTGTGTGTGTACAAAAAGTTGAACTTTACAGGTCACTACAATATATTAAGTATTTATCTTAAAAACTCTTATAACAACCATAAACTTGACATGAATTCGAATGAAATGTATGATCATCATCAGATAGCTACCTGAAAGGGTCAATGTGACTAGCTAGTGCTTTTGTCATCCTCAAATCAGCTTGTGAAGATAGGTGGGCGGGGCTCATAAAAAGGGTTCCCCGATGACTGTACCTGGGGACTCCCTGGACAAGGTGTACAGTAATCCTAAAAACCTGTGGTTTCAAATCTAGAATAGAAACAATAAGAAACCAGTCCGTGTCTCCACAATAGGCGATATGCACAGGCGAGCATGACGTATTTCCGGTTAAATCTCAGGATGGATGTAAACTTCCGGTTATCGTAGAATGCTGTGCTACCGAATGCTAGCATTGAATGCTTGTCGTCAAAAACATCCGAAACGGTTAATTTTCGTCGTTGTTGTTGTTTATCTTAATGTTTATGTTAATGTTTTTACTTGTAATACTTCGTCTTGACTTATAACACGATGACGTGTAAACGTACGAAAGTGTCCTTTCAAAAACGGGATGACAGCTCTTCCAGCCATCACTGCTGTGTGCCGCAATGTACAGTGTCTGCCAGATGCAATTCTTCTGTTAGTTTTTTTACTTTTCCCAAAGACAATGAATTACATAAACAGTGGGTGATTAAAATTCGACGAGTCAACTTTCTTACAACAAACACACGAGTCTGCAGCCGACACTTTCTAAGTGAAGATGTGATAGAGCCTCCGACTCCAGCTGGGCGCAGACGTCTGAAGAAGGGAGCTGTTCCAGTGCTGTTTCAATGGAACAATTTCAGACTTCCAGCCCCACGGCCCGGAGTTTGGGAAAGGACCGAGCGTCCCAACACAGAAACCATGAATGATCCGTCTGTGGAATTGGACTGTCCTCCTGACCATGGCTACTGCAACAGTACTGAAACTGCTGCGCTGGATATATCCCTTGACCACAATGAAGAACTTAGTGTAGAGATAGCAAGGCTCCGAAATCAAATTGAGGAGATAACTATCAGCAGCAAGTTCTGCTTGGAGCGGTTTGCTGGATCTGATGATGACATAAGGTTTTTCACATGGTAAATTAAAATGTCCAATGTGTTTAATATAATAATATATAGGCCTATGTATTTGAGCTGTCAACAATGACTAGTATTATTATCTGTTTAAATGTTGCATGTGTGTTGTTGTAAGCTACTGGAAACCTTGAATATGTTACTGTCATTGCAGTCATCAAGTCAGGAAAAAGTAGTAATCTCATTATTGTTTACATTTCAAACCAAACTCCAATTTGTTTACAACAGACCCAACAACAAAGCATGGCAATTCCCACTCAGTTACCCTGGTCTGTATTAGGCTACCACTGTTCAGCTATCGTGAAAACCACTAAAGTTCTAAAGTGTTCTCTTAGCAATGGCAATCAAAGCTGTGGTAACATTAAATGAGTAAAACGTGTTGATCGGAACCTTGAACAAGTTCAACAGAACTTTGAACGTGTCACTTAATCTAGTCCTACTCTCAACTGGTGTGGTGGCTTTAGTTTCTTCATTGAGCGGTAGCAGTGGGCTCTCACAGAGATCTCATTTGTAGCCCTGTTTTTACCTGATACTTTCATAAAAGTACAAACACATGAAGTGAGAGGTATATACACATGATTAAACTTTATTTAAAGCATGATTAACCTGAAGCAGGACGGAGTCATGACTTAAAACACCAAAGCAAGGCTTCTAGCTCAGGCTAGCTAGCGTTAGCATATTACCTTCAAAGTTGCAAAGAAAAGAAGAAAAGTAAAATGTGAAGCCTTTATCCAGTTTGTTACATGGTGTCATACTGGATGTCCGGACGACCCTCCGTATATCATTAACAGATACTTTAGGCAACTCCAGCAAACACCTTGTAAACTATATCTCTGCCATCATAACGGTCTACTGTCACTGTCTAATGTTTTTTTCCGGAATCCGGAAATGCCCAAGCTTCCTTACGCCAATGCGGAAGTGATGCGTGCATAGAGCCTATACCCCCAATCCAGCAGGTGGTGGTAATACACCATCCGGTTTACACTCCGACATAAAACCCAACTATGGAACGCTGTTTGGGTCTTTGCGTGTCAAAAAATGACAATTAATTTGCAAGCCAAGCGCCACCACTACGACCAGTAGCACTGTCAAAGCGATACAAAAAAAAGTCTGCAAACAAGCACACACTCACCGGCCACGATGTGTTAACAATAACGCGTTGGTAATATGGTATTATTTGTTCGACCGAATGGGAAAACGTCTGTGTGAGCATTTTAAGTAAGAGCAGGATCAAAAATGTTTGCAAATATATTTGATACAGATGTTATTAGAAACTTCCGGGGTAACTAGCTAGTTTTAGCGTGGGACCCACCAATGCAAGCAACCTGGAAACAATGACCAGTAGAAACTGCAGTCATTTTCAATATTCTTAGCAATGATTTAGGAATCCATGTGAGTAAGTATTAGCTAGGTAGCCACTTGTTGTTCTCATATGGAAATCGAACTTCAGTACATGACAATACCTAGTTAGCCAGCTACTTAACCCTGTTGCCCAAAGCTAACGTTATAAGCAGCCAGCTAGCTTCAGTGAGGCTTAACCGGACCGGGTTATGTGTTGTGAAGGTAGCCACAATAAGGATTAGCCACAATAGTGGAATTTGCGGTTCGCCTTTAAAAAGTCCCCCTTTGAGGTGACGCGAATGGTTACTATTGGTGGAATCATGCCATAATGTTAAACAAGGTTGGAATGTGGAGTAATGAAATGTGGTATCAGTCTACTCGGTGACACCCACAGAACACAACTGTGAAGAGTTTACGCAAATATTAGTATCGTAGCTCTTATTGCAGGACTTTGGCTGTGGGAAATCACCTCCCCAGTCAGCCTATTGTGCGTATTGACATTCATATTGCACCGTACAGCCTTACTTAAGGATTTGGGATGAATGAAATTGGGTATCAATCTACTCAGTACCCAAGTGCTTTTTTCCAAATGTCCTCGTCAGATTTATCAGACTCCAAAACATCCTCTGGAATACTGTTCAATACACATAGTAGGTTGACTGGTACAATAAATGTGGCTCAATGGTGTTCATAATTTGTGTCTTAGCGTGTCAAAAAAAGATAAACGTCAAATAAACTTGTTGACCAAACAGCACCTGAAGGTACAACCAAATATTTATAACTAACCCAAGATAGTTAATCTGTCGTTTTCAATGGGAGCAAATTAAGCATAGTGGGCAGAACAAGCAAGGAGGTGGGCAGCCAAGCACGAGCTAGCAAGATCCTATTGGCGCGTTCTAGCATGTACTTGCATATTTCCGTTAGGGAACGCCTTCTCTGTTTGCGCCTGTTGAATAACTCAATTCGCCCTTGCACTCCTTGTAAACAACGACATTTTCAGAAACTTTGGCAAAGCATCATGTCTACAAAACGTTGTGCATTCTGTTACTAACACATTCTAGTTTTGGGAGCAGAAACCTGTATTGAAATCGGGCTTTTCTTCGATTAGAAAATAAGCAGAAAGTCGGCCCAGTTCCATATTGCCACTGGGCTTCCTCCAATGTTACATATAAACCCAAATCATTGGCTCTCTCTCCTAACCATGTTTGGTGGGGAGTGGAAATTCCAACCGGATGCTTCAGATTTATACATCTGGTGAAACATCTGGCTCCTTGTTCTGTGGTACAACTACAATAACCACAACAACAAAACGTGGCAAATATTCAACTTGTTTGTTCCCCATGCCCCTTACACCCCTCAATGTGTGATTTGGTTGTAATTATCATATCTCACTTCAATCTCTCCTATAATACCAACTTTTATAGGCACTTGGAATACTTGTTTGAATATTTTCCAATCTTCACTAATCACACAGGACACAGAAAATGGTTTATGCACATCAGCATTTTAATTGGACAAAGCAAGAACACATTGGTTATTACAGTAGCAGAAACATTATCAAACCCCAGAGTATAACACTTTTCAAAACTAAAGGTCTGAAAATATCTGTAGGCACTGTCTAATCTTTAATGATATTGTGCCCGTTAAAATCAACACAATGGGTCTGGTCCCTCTGGTATTAATACATGTCCAAGGGGCGACAGTGCACATTTCTGATTCATTCAGGTTTTTCCATAAATAATACAGATCTTACTTCATAGAAAATGGCAGAAAACTCAAATTTATGCACAGAATTACTATTCAAAGTCAAAATTGTGTTCATTTTTACACTGCATAGCAATGCTTTCTTTTCCCTTCCTGGAAGTACATGTATCTCTGTGCCAGTTACTATGGATATGCATTTGATAATGCTACTACTAACAATGTTTAATTTCTTCAGTTATCAAAACAAAGACAAAGAAAGCAAAGCAAGCTCCCTTCGTGAACATTTGCATTTTCCTTTATACAGCTTGAAATCAAGGTAAGGTTATTTACAAATTAAGCAAATGTTTTGAGGCCATCCAAAAGAAACAAAGAGGAAAGGTGGAATGCAAAAAGAAACCTCTTGGAAATCAAATTTGTAAAAATACAAGAGAATACTGTGCAATATTTGTCTGCCCTTACAGAAAGAAAGAAGTGGCATCTATCCCTGCAATTGGTTGAATTGAAAACAAAATGCGAGAAAAAAAGTTATCCATTTTATTACCTCAAACAAAAAAAGGTGAAGGTCCATTACTTTTTACATGATTCATTGCATCAAACTCTAAAATGGCTTATTAATCTTAAAAATTCACAAGCAATTTACTTTGACTGTTCAAGAGTCCTTATGAAAATGGGTTTGAGACACTCAAGTCCCTCCTTAAGTTATATTAATTTACAGTAAATTTAAAATGGTACCGCACTGGCCATGTACAGTCCGTCTAACACAAGGGCAGCATAATACCTGTGTGGTTTATTCCAGTCCTCCATGGCTCCCCTTAACCTCCCATGAAATCAGTTTCATGGGCTTTAGTAGAGGTCAACTTCCCTTTCAAATTCCATGTACCAACAAGTCTTAGTCTGCCACCAGTGGAGGGGATATACCACAGATCCCTGTGGTGCTCCAGTAGCCAGTAAAGAGTTGATCCCCCACCCAATCAGTGTGTGGGGTATCCTGTGGCTCCCATACTGGCCTGGTTTGCTAGCATACTCCCATTCAATCCCTGTGTAGCTTCCATAACCCCACCATTACTGAGGGCACTCACGCCTGTCCACCCAGCACTGGCCGGTAAGTGACTGCAAACAGGGGAAAGAGAGAAAAAAACGCCAGCAGGTTAGAGAAGAGGCGACAGGGGCAAGACCGGTTTCATCACAAATGGAACCCTATTCCCTTTATAGTGCACTACTTTTGTCCAGGGCCCATAGGGCTCTGGTAGAAAGTAGTGCACTATATAGGGAGCCATTTGGGACTCACCCAGAAAGCACACACACATACACCAAATAAACTGAGCAAGCACCAGCTGAGGAGAGGATGTGAGAGAACATGAGGGTCAGGGTGTCAGAGGATCAGCGCAAAACTAAGACAGCAGAGAATATGGTAGGGAAAGCGAGAAAGGGATTTCAGATTGAAAAGGGCAACAGGGCGAAGGATGGTATTTGTGGGAGTGTGGGCATGCAGACAGAGCATAGGCTCAGTGTATTAAATTAGTCATGATCGACTGTTGTGTATCTGCCCATAAAATAATATGTATGCATGTGTCTTGACTCCTCGTATCCCACCCAAAGCTGCTGAAATGTGTCAATGTTGCAGATAGCAGCTGAAGCGGGACTAGCTGCATTTAAATTTGGCCTTGGTGTTGAATTTCACAATTTTTCCCTGAATCCTGTAACACTGCAAATGAATAACAGAAATGTGACCGTTTCATGCCAAAACTCCATTCATGACTTTTTCCTGATAAAAAATCTTTAGCAACATCCATTATGCAACAAATACCTGCATGGAAAAGTTAACATTTGAACGGTCAGCACATCAGGTATTGGCGACAGTGACTGATGAGCTCAATGTAGTAAGAGTTAGAAGAACCTGTAGCTCAGGTTGAGATATATTTTAGGATTTAAACAGTCTCGGGACTCAGAACAGCCCTTGTCGGGAGTTGTCATACGATAATTCCCAGGTTCTCAGGCATTATTGCTTAACTATTTTTCTAGGTAGCCTACTATGTCCTCATAAGAATATTTTCAGACTCTGTGTGTCCAATAGACAAATTGGACATTTACATACAAGTTACTATGCAATTTCTATTTCCAAAACAGTAAGACTTAGGATTTCAGCTTTTCAGCAAATTATTCCAAGTTACTCCATTCTTTGGTTCGCTAAATTAGAGAAAAACAAGAACAAAAAAATAATTTTTCATAACTGCTGTGGTAAACTCATTACCAATGTTTCTCCTGTTATAAGAGCAGTTAAAACATGATTGTTGTCTTATGCAGCTGTCAAACCCATTCTATCAATTTAAAACAAGCAAATGACTAGCTTTATTTCAAATGTAACTTTAATCTACCAATACAAATTCATACAACATCCCATTTCAAGTAGCAATGTCCTTTAACTCTTCAGGAGAAAAAATCATATACAACAAATTTGGAGGGCAAATGAAAGTTTATAGAGTAAAAACAAAAGTGTGCATGAAGTAACAAAAGAGATGACATGGCACTTAAAAAAAGAAATAACGTGGATGCAACACGTGCACAATAAGATGTCCCTCTGCGCTGTGAAAAGCTTCCGAGGGAAGGGCAGCAGGTCCCTTTCTGTGTATTCAACAATCCCAGTTTCCTCACTGTCTAGGACAATGTACTTCATTGAGCGGACACTCACATCTAGGGACAAGTCCAATTAGACCCAGCATAGCAGCCATTTTGGAAGGCCAAAAAGGGCATTCATTAATGCTCTTTTTATTTCAAAAAAGGATAAAACTCAGATGGAAAAAAAGGATGAAAATGCTGTTATCTTGACCAATAAATCACAAATTAAATCTTCAATTATATATATTTTTAAATGCGTTTTTTGTCTATGTCCTCATAAGCTGGATATGGTGGCGAGGGTGAAGGTTGTAGGACATCTTTGGCTCCTTCCTTCCCCTGGCCAGAGCTGCAGGCGACTGGGCTGGAGCCTAACTGTCCTTGGGAAGCCCAGCCGAGGACACTCAGACATTCAGCTGCAGCGCTTGTTGCTGGAGGAGGGGAGGGGAGCCCTGCAGATGTCCTTGTGTACTTACTGAAAACCCTGCTGGTTCCAGGCCTGGGCCTGGCCGTAAACCCCATAGGTGGGTACCTGCCACCCGTTGGGGACGTACTGGCCAATCTGCTGGGCGTTGCCATACCACTGGGCATACTGGCCGTAGGGCTGGGCTGCAAAGCCCACTTTGTTCTGCTGCAGGGGAGAGAGGACAACAGTGTAAGAGTGTGTGTGCCTGTGCATGCATGCGTGTGTGGTGTGTGTAAGCTGTGTGTGTGTGTGTGTATATAAGCTGTGCCGATGAGGAGAAGCCTCTGGCTCTTGCTTCATACCTGGGGAACTTGCTGAACCTGCTGCATAGGGCTCATCATGTCCGGGGTCTCTTTACCCCAGTAACACTTCACCATATGTCCCTCTAACGAAGTCCCATTCACAGACACAATGGCATGGGCTGCTCCCTCGTGAGAGTTAAACCTGAAAAGAGGAGGAGTCAAAAGATAGGTACTGAGAAACATATGCAGAAATTTGTATTTCAATGATACCAAGTCTTTGTCAGAAGTTTAGTGATGTTTGATCTCATGGCATACCTCACAAAGGAATATCCTTTGTCTGGGAACACACGGATTTCCATGATTTGTCCAAAGGGGGAGAAGGTCTGTCTCATCAATTGTTCTAGAAAACAGGAGGGAGGCATGTCAAAGACCTGATTCTCTCTCACACACACACAATAGAAAGTGACAAGTTGAATGACAGACTACTAACCTGTTAGACCGGTGCTGACTCCTCCACAGTAAACAGTGCAGTTACTGGGGCTGGACTGGTTCACTACCTCATCAAAGGCCAGGTGCTTGGTGTTGGCTATTGGGAACAGGAGAATTAAAGTGAATATATACATTGCCATTCAACAAAATAAGAGGATCCTAGGGACTCCATTGACCACACAATGGAGTAAAACGTATGACATTTTCCTCTGAACTCAACCAGTGTGAGAAGATACAATTGAGAATATAGTTGTAAGATAAAAATCTAACATTCTTCTCAATGGCAAATGCGCTGGAAACCAATCCCCATCTTGCTTGGACTCACTTTCATAGGTGGTTTTAGGGGCTGGGGGTTTTCTAGTGGCCCAGTTGGTCCTGATCTGTCTGCCGCCTAGCCATTGGCCACCCATCTGCTGAATGGCATTCTCTGCATCCTGTGGGTAGCAACAGAGAAATTAATCATATGACCCATCTACACATCCAAATACCAAAGGATAATGTTGACTACATTTACAGGAACCCCATCCGTTATGAGTTATGACTAATCCCCTCCCCCCCATGATTCCATCCATCTATAAACACTTACCCACTTGTTGAAGAAAGAGACAAAGCCATAGCCTTTAGATTTCCCTGTGGCAATATCTTTGACCACGCGAGCATCCCTTAGGAGAAACACACCATTCACTCAATAAGAAGGAGTAATGTGACCATGTAAAGAAACTACTGTCTGATATCACACCAATTACTATTTAGGATTTTTAAACTATCCAATGTAACCCTGTGATAGAGCAGATAGACGTGAATGTTTGTAAGGTACTTACGATATCCTCCCAAATGGGCCGAAGGCAGCTTTGACATCATCTGTGGTGATTTCGGGGCTGAGGTCTCCGACAAAGACATGGAAATGATCTGTTGCAAGGACAGGAGAGATGACAATTGTGACTCCTTGATGGATGCAGAACATTGAAGAAATCGAGAGATATGAGCAATTCCACAGTAACAGAATGATGCGGAAACTCTGATTTTTCACTTTAAAAATGTGTGTCAAACAAAAGACAATAAATCAAATTGTATTTGCCACATGCGCCGAATACAACAGGTGTAGACATTACAGTGAAATGCTTACTTACAAGCCCTTAACCAACAATGCAGTTAAGAAAATAAAATAAAAAGTGTTAAGTAAAAAATAAAATAATTTGCAGCAGTAAAATAAAATAACAGTAGGGAGGCTATATACAGGGGGTAACGGTACAGAGTCAATGTGCGGGGGCACCAGTTAGTCGAGAAAATTGAGGTAATATGTACATGTGGGTAGAGTTAAAGTGACTATGCATAAATAATAAACAGAGTAGCAGCAGCTTAAAAGAAGGGGATTGGGTGGGGTGGGGGGGCAATGCAAATTGTCCGGGTAGCCATAATAAGCTGTTCTGGAGTCTTACGGCTTGGGGGTAGAAGCCTTTTGGACCTAGACTTGGCGCTCCGGTACAGCTTGCCGTGCAGTAGCAGAGAGAACAGTCTATGACTTGGGTGGCTGGAGTCTGATAATTTTTAGGGCCTTCCTCTGACACCGCCTGGTATAGAGGTCCTGGATGGGAAGAAGCTTGGCCCCAGTGATGTACTGGGCCGTACGCACTACCCTCTGTAGTGCCTTGCGGTCGGAGGCCGAGCAGTTGCAATACCAGGCGGTGATGCAACCAGTCAAGATGCTCTCGATGGTGCAGCTGTATAACTTTTTGAGGATCTGAGGACCCATGCCAAATCTTTTCAGTCTCCTGAGGGGGAATAGGCTTTGTCGTGCCCTCTTCACGACTGTCTTGGTGTGTTTGGACCATGATAGTTTGTTGGTGATGTGGACACCAAGGAACTTGAAGCTCTCAACCTGTTCCACTACAGCGCCATAGATGAGAATGGGGGCGTGCTCAGTCCTCTTTTTTTTGTTCCTGTAGTCCACAATCATCTCCTTTGTCTTGATCACGTTGAGGGAAAGGGTGTTATCCTGGCACCACACGGCCAGGTCTCTGACCTCCTCCCTATAGGCTGTCTCATCGTTGTCGGTGATCAGGCCTACCACTGTTGTGTCGTCGGAAAACTTAATGATGGTGTTGGAGTCGTGCCTGGCCATGCAGTCATGGGTGAACAGGGAGCACAGGAGGGGACTGAGCACGCAACCCTGAGGGCCCCCGTGTTGAGGATCAGCGTGGCAGATGTGTTGTTACCTACCCTTACCACCTGGGGGCGGCCCATCAGGAAGTCCAGGATCCAGTTGCAGAGGGAGGTGTTTAATCCCTGGGTCCTTAGCTTAGTGATGAGCTTTGAGGGCAATGTGGTGTTGAACGCTGAGCTGTAGTCAATGAATAGCATTCTCACGTAGGTGTTCCTCTTGTCCAGGTGGGAAAGGGCAGTGTGGAGTGCAATAGAGATTACATCATATGTGGATCTGTTGGGGCGGTATGCAAATTGGAGTGGGTCTAGGGTTTCTGGGATAATAGTGTTGATGTGAGCCATGACCAGCTTTTCAAAGCACTTCATGGCTACAGACGTGAGTGCTACGGGTCGGTAGTCATTTAGGCAGGTTATCTTAGTGTCCTTGGGTACGGGGTCTATGGTGGTCTGCTTGAAACATGTTGGTATTACAGACTCAGTCAGGGACATGTTGAAAATATCAGTGAAGACACTTGCTCGAAGTACACATCCTGCTAATCGGTCTGTGAATGTGAATGTTGACCTGCTTAAAAGTCTTACTCACATCGGCTACGGACAGTGATCATATAGTCATCCGGAACAGCTGATGCTCTCATGCATGCTTCAGTGTTGCTTGCCTCGAAGCGAGCATAGAAGTGATTTAGCTCGTCTGGTAGGCTTGTGTCACTGGGAGGCTCGCGGCTGTGCTTCCCTTTGTAGTCTATAATAGTTTTCAAGCCCTGCCCTGCCACATTCTGCAATGATTGCAAAGTTAAACAAGCCATACAACTCTCTGATACTACTTTTAACAATGATCACAGAATTTTTTTCTAAAACACATTTACTTGAAGAACAGTTCAGATGCAAAGTTTGGTAACAGAATGACAAAACAAACAGCACAAATCGTAATTATCTTACCAAACTTTGCATCTGCACTGTTCTTCAAGTAAATGTGTTTTTGTAAAATGTTCAGTGGAAATTGTTAAAAGTAGTCCTTGTGCATAGAGTTGTATGGTTTGTTTAACTTTGCAATCATTGGTTTTTGTTTGACATATATTTTAAAGTGAAAAACCTGAGTCTCAGCGTCATTCTGTTTGAGTGGAGTTGCCCATATAGAGATATAGTTATCTCTCTATGGTGTGGAAGACCACATTCGCTGAGGAAACCTCACTACTTTTCTACGGAACTGACTGATAAGGTAGCTGGGCACTTACTGCTCGTGTCTTTTTTCTGACTGCTTGGCGTTGTGGCCCAGTTGACTTTAACCTCCTAGAGAGAGAGAGCAAGAGGAGAGAGAACAGGCCACATATGTTTATATAATTTAGATACAGTAGGCTATATTACTACCTCAGTTTCTGTGGTGCCGTCTGTGTGAAACAAATAAGCCACCTGACCAAACACACAATGTGAATCTCTGAATGCCGTGACGAGCAGAGAACAGAACATGGAACAACTGAGCACTCCATAAACAAGTGGACTATAAACTACTGAGTAAAAGGTCCAAGTAACAAAAGGACTAACAAACCAGTCACATTATCAACTTGTATTACTCCTCAAACGGTCCTTCATTACCTGTTGAGGATAAAATAATTTGCACTGAATATATATTTCTGCTGAGGTTAGGCCCTATGTATTGTGAAGCTGTGGGTCTGGAAAAGGTACAGAAATTGTTTTAGTTGGGGGTGGGTGAATAAAATAAGCAGACACTTGTTAAAAGGGTCTGTAGGCTGTTGCCAAGGACAATGTAATGCACAGCTACCAAGGATTACTTTGGATAAGGAAAGGGCCCATTTCCCTTCAAAATAAAGATTTAGGGGTTATTAGCATAGGGAGTGGTTTTGTAAAAGAAAACAGCGATGGTCAAGAACATATCTTTTAATCTCTAATATATATTAAATCAACCACTAAGACAGAATGCACTTGATGTCCATACAACAGAACTAACCTACTCCATATTTGGAGCAATAGGATCATAGATATTATACACGGACATGCCTGGTGGTCAGCATTGGAACCAACTGTGGTGGTTAGGCCTATATTTGGAATCAGATCCCACATCTATCAGTCTCATTTAATCTGGGGAATCAAAGTACTTACCTGTTGGACCGGGAGTCGGAATAAGCCACTCATTTTACAAAGCAAATCCATTCATAACTTTGCCATTTCAACTTTGGTAAGAAATTCGCTGCCTGACTCAGCTAATCCTCTCATAATTTTAGCCTACTGGTTGCTCAAACTTCTGCCACCACAACTCACCCATTCCAACTCAGCCTGTAGATACGATAGCTTACCTTACCCATAATTTTACGTCCATTCATGGCAGACAGCGAAGCAGCAGCATGCCTGTGTTCATAGAACTCCACAAAGCAATATGGGTCATTGCCTGCAGTCTGTAAGAGAACAACAAGAGTTACAATGAGTATGTTTACATGCACACTAATAACTCAATATTAAACTGATCATGGCAGTAGGCAGATTATGCAATAGTCATTTAAACACCTTGCTCTGCTTATCTTAAATCAGCCTAAGGTCAAAATCAAAGTAAGCCTCCCTCTTTAGAGCGAGTAAAGTGTGTTCGGAACAACTGAATGTATGAGTCTTAGAAGTTTTCACATACAAATATGCATCCCAAAAATAACATGGTTGCTGTGGTTGAACGTTTATTTGTGCCTAAAGGTTGCCTGATTTCAGACGTGTCCATGTAAACAGGATTATTAGGGAAATCGTTATTCTTGCAAAGCATGTAAACGTTTTAATCGAACTATTGTATTAATCCAATTATCCACAATAATTGCATTATTGTGTGCATGTAACCGCACTCATTGAATCCAAAGCATGCTCTGTCAACAACATTAGCCACATGTTCTCATTAGACAGGTACCATCACCATTGACAATAAAGAACTGTCGATGGATAACATCATACAAAATCTCTCTTGGGTCCAGGACCCGGGGATACTCACATCAAAAATCATTTTACAGCTCTTGCAGGGGCCGATCTGTGTGAAAACCTGTAGGATGAGGGGCTCAGTGACATCCCTGGACAGGTTCCCTACATACCTGGAGTAGAGGGAAAGACAAGCACATGTGACTAGGAAGTTTAGCTACTTCATCCAGGGAAGCAAAATGTTGGGTGCACTGCTGCACTTACTATTAGCTAAAACAGTAGACAGTTAAGTAATTTAGTTAGCTAACCTTATCTAACACTTGCGTGACGCATTTTTTTTAAAGCAACTTCTTGCCGTCCCAAAAAAACTGACTGTCGTTGACGTGGCTATCATCCCCAGTAGCCGGTAGAAAGGCATGCATTGCATGACGCTTGGAGTTGGGCCTCGCGGCGTTCCTTGCTTGTTGGAATATGGGGATGTTATTTGAATGTTTAGCCAGCTAGCTATCATATTAAACTCAATAAGTCCATAACATACTTTTAGTTACCGATCAAATGTAATCCTGGGCAAATTGGCTAACTTCAGGGCCCAAATGAGTGACACGTCTGTCTCTGCATAATTGCCACACCAACGTTAGCTAGCTGAAAGTTAGCCAATGTTTGTTGCTTTGACAAGACAGGCGGTAAATGTAACAGTAGCTAGCTTAATATCTACCTAGTTTGAATTTCTGCAATGTACATGTGAACCAAAACGATATCATGTAACTAGCTAGTAGTTAGCTGGTTAGAACGATATATACCTAGCTAAAGTATTGAGACGTTAACTAACTATAGGCGGTTAGCTAACTATAGCTAGTTTTCGTTTCGGCGAAAGTGAACGAGCAACTAGCTAACAGTAGCTAGTTAGCCAACTATGTGTTCTGACAAGGCTCGAGCCATGGACTGGCTTGATTGATTTACACCAACTTTCTGCTTCAATAGTGACAGACAACAAGACATGAGTACATGGACGTTTTTAAATGCTGGAACATACTTTATTATAGTCACATTTAAAGTAGCTAGCTACTGAACTGATTTGGCTAGCTAGCCCGCGTTAGTTACTTACAGGGTTTTGGGCTGTTCGTCGTCCATCATCATCATGTTTTCGTAGGTCGCGCCCTGCGTGAGTAATCCGTGTATGGTATGTTGAGGGATACACACGCACTTTCTAAATATGTGACTTTCTGATAATGTTCATGTAGACTTACAGAAGTTGTTATAAAAAGGGGCACAAATCACCTGTCGCTGACTGTGCAAACCAGCCGTCATTAGCTTGTATGAACAATGGATGCACAACCGAATGGAAGATGGCGGAAAATCAAAGCGGATGTCCACGGTCGCATGCGCAATGAATGGACCAAATAATTTGGTACACACTTCAGCGGCAGGCGTCAGTAAAAGCACTATTTCGAAACCATATCTGCTTGTAATCTTGAGTTTTATAATGACGACCTTTTAAGTGACATGACAAGACACTGGTGAGGAACAAAAAATAAAACACATCTGGGAAACTCACGTGACTGATCACAGCCGGCAACATTGTAGCTAACGTTAGCACCAGAGATTATGGTTGACATTTTTCCAGATTTACATTTTAGTCATTTAGCAGACGCTCTTATCCAGAGCGATTTACAGTTAGTGAGTACATACATTTTCATACTGGTCCCCCGTGGGAATCGAACCCACAACCCTGGCGTTGCAAACGCCATGCCCTACCAACTGAGCTACACGGGACTACAACGCAATAGTTCTACAATAATAATTTGGTGGGTGCTTATATTTGTCTTATTTCACATACATATACAAGTGTGAATTGGAAATGTGTTTTTTGCATATCCAAACTCCTCTTGAGACACCCTTGGAGAGTGGGGCCAGGGTGGGTTAAATTGGACCTTTAGAAATCTCTGGTTCGCGCTCATGCGAGATGAAAGCAACCACATAGATGATGGTGGATATATTACTCAATACATATTTTTGTTTCTTCACAATACTTTTTGATTTGGAATTTGGCGAGAACAAAGAAATCATCAAAAACGATGCGCCGCCCGGGAATCGAACCCGGGTCGAAAGAATGGGAATCTTCCATGATACCATTACACCAGCGGCGCTAATGACATGAAAGAGAAATACAGTGATAATACTGATAAAATACAATATATGATTTTAGTAATTCAATTATTTATTACACATGTCTTCGTTTTTTATTCATTATAAAAACGTTGTAGAAAAAACGAATAGGAACGAATAGGCCTATTTATCAGATTAAATAGGCCTTTGTTTTAGATTAAATAGGCATATGCTTCAGATTAAATATATAGGCTGGCTAGCCCAGATTAAATAAGAATAGATACCTGAGACCACAAAAAGATAGATACCACAACTAACGTTAGGATGTCAGTAGTTGTTACACAAATTATTATTATAATCGACAAGATTAGATTCCATATCGGGGTAACTCCAACATTTTGATTTCAACATATTATCATACTTTTTTTGCATTTAAATTCAAGTGTCATAGTCTTCAATTTTATTTGCTTTTGATGTATTCAGAAACCATGCAGCTCTCATGGATTTCTTCTAAGGTCATGTAGTTGTTGGATGCAGCTTTCTCTGTATGGCATTTCATATTCTCTGTCTTCTTCTCAGGCAGGATGAATGTATCCTTACTGCAGATATGAAGGGCAATATATGATTAAAACGACATTTATACAGCAAGGTGTATTATATTGTAGTAGCCTGGCTGACGCGCAACCCACGTGACTACACCGCGCGCTAGAGCTGGTGTCAACCAGACTAGTATTATAGCACAAAGTACGAGCAAACATGGTTAGAGATTTGTCTCATGATGCAATTCAGTGGGAGCCAATAAAGACAGTAGATAATTGCTAGGCGCCCATGCAATGCAGGTAGGTTAACATGGGCACTACTCATACATTGAGTCGAAAGGAGTACCACAAAACTAGAATGAGTTCTATTCTAGTTCTATTCATTCTAGTAATATGAGGAGGACATTGTATCAGTGTTCTGAGCAAGGTTCTCTCACCTAATGAAGGTGGGCTCTGGCTTCAATCGCCTGGCTGTATAGATGCTGAATATCACTCCAGGGACCAGGAATGCACAACACCATCCCAGACACAGCCAGAATGCATTCTTCATGCAGAGAGAGACAAAAACATAGAGATGAAGAGAGACAGACAGACAGAGACGAGTAACATGCTCAGATGGATTGGAAGAGAAAGAGAAAAAGAAAGGAAGGGGGAGGGAGGGAGAGATCAGATGACATCTTGTATGTTTGGGATATTGCAATAGGGAAAACGCTCACCAATGGATCAATCACATTGAGACAGACTGCTGTATACACATTGTCCAGTGACACAGCAAGCCAACGGCAATCCAGGACCTTATATAAGATCTGTAAATGGGAAAATACAGTGTCAAATATCGAGTACGTCTAGTCTATTGTTCTCCATAGAGACTAATGTGCATAGAACAATTATATAATATATGCTGATGTTTTGTGTCCTTTATGTAGGCTACTGTACGTGTGTACATTGACAGCTGTTGTATGGCGATGAAAGAAGCTATGATAACCAATCCATCAAAGCAATATGTTTCTTGTCATGTCACTTACTCAATGTACCCTCTTTAAAACCAAACACATGGGATGTCCTCACGTCTATTGACACCCTACCAGCATGACATTATGGAGAACATTCCACTGTTTCAAGAATCATGGCATAGGAACAACTGTCCTTTTCACCTTACTATTGCACACACTTTGGGGAGAGATTATTGGATAACGGTATCCGAATGTAATGCTCAGAGGCAGCAACATGGTGTCTGGCAGTGAAATTCTTTCTGTATGACGTGTTGTGCTAGTAATAACTGCACAGTCCTGTACATCAACACCATCACAATGATGTACATTTAGAAAACATGATTATAGTAAAACAGTGACATGAGCAATTACCTACCCAAAGTACCCATTCTGGTTTACACAGAGTGAGAACTGCAGTGTGACAGTGTTGCTAAGGGCTATTATTATCTCTGTGTAATTCTATGGCATATTAGTACAGTACTTACTGCATGACGGACCCAATCTAGGTACCGAAGCAGGGATTGTGCTCCTTTCTCCATGGTACAGTGAGACACCTGCCATAGAAAAAACCCACCTCAGTCTAGAACCATTATAACTATGACCCCTGAAAAAGTTTTGGCAGTGTCATTCATCATAACTTCTAAGAGCAGCTCTACATTTAGCTCTGGTCCAGGGTGTTATGTGTGGTAACATGCCGCACATAACGCCCTAGAGCTACTCTACGTTCAACTCTCCTCTATACAATTCATTATAATGTAGTCCTTGACCAAGTGCATAATGAATCATGGAAAATAATGTAATTTGGTCTTACATTTCCCACAATGTAAGGAACCTGGTTGTAGAGTGCCACTTCTGTCTGGGTCAAACTTTCCAGAGTTTTGTCTATATTAGCCTAGTGTGAGGAAAATGAGTTGTTAAGGGATGGATCACCACACTCAAATAATCACATTAACACACACACACAACTCAGTGGTTATTTTATCTCAAAGGGATCATCTTCAGACAGTGACAGTACTCTACCTTGTAGACTGTGCTGATAATCTTCAAAGCACTCACACTTTGGCTCATCTTTGCCTAAGTAGTGAAAAGATGAACATTTTAGGCAATAAAATACTTTGCAATGTATGGACTGAGCGAGTCTAAATAATAATTTGTCCTGGAAAAAAATCTACTTAGAGCTACAATTTCTACATGCTTATTTTGTTGTGGAACATTGATGCATATAAAAGTTTGTGTTTGGGATGAAAATAAATGTCAAAATAAAACTCACTGCATTTGTCTGCTGTTGCTTAACGATGGTGCTCAGATGCCTGGTTGTTTCGGCCTCTTTTTTCAAATCTTCCTTAATTCCAGCATTTGCCTGATGTGAAGAAAATAAACATGAATTGCAACTTACATGGTCCATTGTGCTATGGGGTTTCTTTTTTACCTAAACCAAGAGAGACTTACAGGAAGTTCTGCCTTCTTATCCAGTTCATCGGCAAATACTCCAAGGTCTGTCTTCACAACTGGTGTGCTTAGCTACAGAGACAATAAATTGATAAATGGACAACATAAATATGCAGCTTTCTGACATGCACACACACACACACATATATACACACACACACACACACACACAATTTGCTACTCCTGTGTATACCAGCAGTAATAGCTCATCGTAGTTGATGCTGTCTATCCCACACTGTTTGAAGCTCAGCAGGGCCTGTCTGCCATTGTCAGGTAGCAGTTTCAAGCCATCCAGGCTGACTGACAGATTCTGAGCAGTCTCATTGAATCCATCCAAGTACTACAACAAATGAGAGGAGAAACACCCACCCAGGCACATATTAAATAACTGGCACAGACAGTATCATTTATTTTATGCCATTGGAAAATGTAAATATACTGTAATCAAAGGTACAGAAGTAACAGTACCTTAGACACACAGGGTGATTTTTGAAAGAACAGAAAACAAATGAAATATGACAAGATGGCATATTGAGAAACACCTTGCTGGCATTGAGGAAGTCCTCCAGATCAAAGAGCTGCTCCATGTGCATGCTTTGGAACAATGACTGTCCTCTCTTACAGCCACTGAAACAAAGAGCACAGACAGAGGTGTGTATGAGTAAACCCAGAAACAGAGTGTACAAAAGCTGTAATCTAGTTTAACGGTCTGAGACACTGTGATTGTGACTGAGCATCATTGTGGAATGTGTGGGGCAGTAACACATACAAGGACAGATGATCTTAGAGCAGCAATTGAGAGCTCACTGGTATATTGCTGAGGTGCTGGGCTGAATTTGGTGGGTCTCTTTGATATTGGGGCTTTGACTGGTGTTGAGGCTTTGACTGGTGTTGAAGCTTTGACTGGTGTTGTTTAGGCTGCTGAAAAGATAATTCTGCTGGTCTAAGAACTGTGATAGAAACGACAGCGGGGGAGAGAATCATTTGAATGAGTTGTGTTGTGCATGTATTCATTTACTTATGTTTATAAGTATACGTTTTTTTACAATAGCTGTGTACACACAGATTATTCCCTATGCACATATATTTCCCATTAGCTCCATAGGGGCCCTCACTGACCCCAAAGATCTGTCCATTGGTCCAGCTCTGGCAGCCCAGGGTGTGGGCATTCCCCCCGAAAAACAACATAACACAGACCAGGAGGATGAAGAGCCAGGAGAACATGAAGGTCACCACCACAGCTCTGTGGAATGATGACAGAAAACAACATCATTAAAGAAAAACACAATCAATACCGTCAGGAGAAAACAGGTCCATGTCAGAAGAGGACAGGACTGGATCTGTAACCTGTGAGAAGATGCAGGTATTCTTAAAGCCTCTCAGATAAGGAAAGCTTATCTAGGATCAGTTTTTCCTTTAACACCACAATGAATACGATTACATGGACAGGGTGGACTTCACTTGATCCTGCATCAGCACTCCTGCTCTTTGGCGTTTTATTAATATGGGCCATGATATTCTAAATCAGGTATACTTCACTTACGCTCTGAACAGGCCAATTGCTGTGTGTTCCAGTCGAGCATCTGGGTATGTGGAGTAAATCGTAGGGTAGAAGAGCACAGGGAGTCCCAGAGAGAGAGCAGCAACCATCAGAACCACTATGACCAGCATCACCATGCAGAGTGTCAATGACACTGCCCACCTGAAGAGGGTGCCAGAGAGCACACTGGCATCAATCCACATCAATGTCTTTCAGCAAAAAGTATTTAAACATGTCATTATTTTATAAATGATGAAAAATATGTGTGACCCTATAGGGGAAGACAAGGGGGACATATGCATACATAAGTCTCTGGGTAAACACTATCAAAATTGTTTTTGTATGTCTTGAGATACTGTAAGTGACAGAGATAATCAAAATACCTTATCAGTCACATGGAAAAGAGTTTACAATACACTGATATATGCCTAAGCTACTGACTGCTAAGGGAACCATGCCTGTAATGAGGTTAGACAGGTGCATTGGGCTTCTGTATCTGTATGGCATGACACCTTAGCATTAAAGGTCCAATGTAGTTTTTATTCTTCTCAATATCAAATCATTTTAGGTAACAATTAAGTACCTTACTGTGATTGTTTTCAATTAAAATGGTCAAAAAGAAACAAAAATAGCTCCTTCTTAGCAAAAAGCTATTTCGCTAGCAAGACATTTGCTAGGACTGTCTGGGAGTGGTCTAAGTGAAGGCCCTAATTGGAGGAGCCGAATGGGAAGAGCCTAATGGGAGGGATATGTAACCTGAAAACTAGCTGTTATTGGCAGAGAGGTCTTTGTTATTTGTCTATTCACTTCCTACTGCTTGGTGATGTTGCTAGGCAGTCCAAAACCCCACCCATGCAAAACAAGTTTACATTTCAGGTGGTCTTTTCAAACAGCTCTTACACTAAAATGACATTACCATAATTTTCACAATTTCACAGATTATTCCAACCTCATAGTGTCGATAAAGTCAAATTGTATTTGACTGCACTTGGCCTTTAACAAGTGACTAATCTCGGTTAACCCAGAACTAAAGTATTGCGTAATTGGTCAGATGCTCGATTAAATTGTGGGTCCATACGGAGCGATAGAACGAGGATCGGAACCGGAATGAAGAGCTCCACCCTTTCTCTTTGCAAGTTACGGACAAGTCTATGGGCCAAATGTCCCTTACCCTTCAGAAATTTGAAAGATTCTAACACCACAACGTGATTTGTCTGAATAACCAGTTACAAAAAACCTAAGCACTGGAACTAATGCTGCTGATCTCTGGTGATAAATATTCCATGATAGTCATAGGCTGTGTCACAAATGGCACCTTATCCCCTACATAGTGCAATACTTTTGACCAGAGCCCTATCCCTGTGGGCCCTGGTCAAAAGTAGTGCACTATATAGGAAATAGGGTGCCATTTGGGAGGGTACCAGTTGGGACTCATCAATAATGTTACCTGACAAAGTCGTAGTAATCTACTGGCTCTGCAAAGCGTCTCACGGTGGTTTTACAGTCAGACACAGCTTCAGTGAGAGACTCCAGCGAGGGGAACCTATGGCTGGTGTTCAGCAACTCCTCTTGGGTTTCATTCAGCTCAGACATGAGAGCTACGTCAACCAGGCACAGAGGACAGGGGGTTTAATAAATAGAGTAATGACAAGGAGAGAAGGAGAGAGAGAGAGAGAGAGAGAAAGAGAGAGCGAGACAGAGAGAGAGACAAAGAGAGATTCTTCACATAGCACATTCTAATATACACTACATTACCAAAAGTATGTGAACACCTGCTCGTGAACATCTCATTCCAAAATCATGGGCATTAATTTGGAGTTGGTTCCCCCTTTGGTTCTATAACACCCTCCACTCTTCAGGGAAGGCTTTCCACTAGATGTTGGAACATTGCTTCCATTCAGCCACAAGAGCATTAGTGAGGTCGGGCACTGATGTTGGGCGATTAGGCTCAGCTTGCAGTCAGCGTTCCTATTAATCCCAAAGGTGTTCGATGGGGTTGAGGTTAGGGCTCTGTGCAGGCCAGTCCAGTTCTACGACACCAATCTTGACAAACCATTTCTGTATGGACCTCACTTTGTGCACAGGGGCATTGTCATCCTTCCCCAAACTGTTGCCAAGTTGGAAGCACAGAATCATCTAGAATGTCATTGTATGCTGTAACGTTAAGATTTTCCTTCACTGGAACTAACGGGCCTAGGCCGAACCATGAAAAACAGCCCCAGACCATTATACCTCCTCCACCAAACTTTACAGTTGGCACCATGCATTGGGGCAGTAGCATTCTCCTGGCATCCGCCAAACCCAGTTTCGTCCGTTGGACTGCCAGATGGTGAAGCGTGATTCATCACTCCAGAGAACGCGTTTCCACTGCTCCAGAGTTCAATGGTGGCGAGCTTTACACTACTCCAGCCGACGCTTGGCATTGCGCATGGTGATCTTAGGCTTGTGTGCGGCTGCTCGGCCATGGAAACCCATTTCATGAAGCTACCAATGAACAGTTCTTGTGCTGACGTTGCTTCCAGAGGCAGTTTGGAACTCGGTAGTGAGTGTTGCAACCGAGGACAGACGATTTTTAAGCACTACGCACTTCAGCATTCGGCGATCCTGTTCTGTGAGCTTGTGTGGCCTACCACTTTGCGGCTGAGCCGTTGTTGCTCCTAGACGTTTCCACTTCACAATACCGGGGCAGCTCTAGCAGGGCAGACATTTTACAAACTGACTTGTTGGAAAGGTGGCATCCTATGACGGTGCCACGTTCAAAGTCATTGAGCTCTTCAGTAAGGCCATTCTACTGTCAATGTTTGTCTATGGAGATTGCATGGCAGCATGCTCGATTTTATACACCTGTCAGCAACGGGTGCAGCTGAAATAGCCATATCCACTAATTTGAAGGGGTGTCCACATACTTGTGTATATATAGTGTATCTACTACTGTTCATTGGATTTTGTTACACTGTTTATTTATACACCGGATTCTCGACAGAGAGGTCATTGTTAATTGGTTTTAATAAATTGCACATTCATGCCTTGCAGCCATTTACTTGGTCATTGAAAATGTATGCACTCACTTACTGTAAGTCGCTCTGGATAAGAGCGTCTGCTAAATGACTAAAATGTAAATGTAAATTAGACATAATTAAATATAGCAAATAATGATGAAGAACAAGAAGGCCGTCTTCAAATTCACCTGCTATTGTGGGAGCCACTTGCTCTGAGCACTTTTGTGGAATGGCACAGAAGGTTAGGTTCCCCTAGAAGACAGCCGATAAACATTATTTCAGTTTGATTTCATCCAGTCCAATGCAACAACATATCAAGAATAGTTTTGCCAACATTTCCATTCTGATTTTCGTTAAATGAATCCTGTTTGTATGCTCACCTGTTCAACGAGGCCTGCGAGGCTGGATGCAGGTGGCATATCATTCAGCTTGTCATCCACACTGGGGATCTACAATGACAAACACAAATAGACACTGTAACATTATTCAACATCAGACATATTATACAACATACACTGGGAAAATGTAATTTTAAAAAATCAATCTCCATCATATCCTTGGTTTTGACAGACAAGAAAACGACATTGGAGAAAGACACGTTGGATGCCCTGTTCAAATGGGCCCTGTTCAAAAAGTACTACACTAAATATGGAAAAGGGTACAATTTTTCATACCAGGTAGTAGTTAGCAACAGTAGTCAGGTTGCTAGGGTCGGGGAAGTCACAGGTGGGGCATTTCCCCAGACTCTCCACTCGGCTCTGTAGTCCCTGGATGCCATTCTGTAGGATTGTGTGATTGGCCTGCAGGTCTGTCCTGGTCGTCTGATACAGCTGCAGGTTCTCAATGGTTCCAATAGCATCTGTGGCCATACAGAGAGACACACAGGCCCATGGGGAAGGAAATGAAAGTCACTGAGTTTCAGTCATATCCTGTACTTGAATAAAACATTAGAAACAATGTCTGATTAAGTACTGGGTGGCAGATACTGAGTTTGACTGGTGGCCATGGCCTGTTTGTCACGCCCTGGCCGTGAGAGGCTGGTTGTCTTTAGTTGGTTTGGTCAGGGCGTGAGGATCTATGTTAGAATTTCTATGTTTAGGATCTAGATGTGTTGTTTCTATGTTTGGCCGGGTGTGATTCCCAATCAGAGACAGCTGCCTACCTTAGTTGTGGGATCTTGTTCTGTGTTAGGCTTGTATGTGTATAGCCTGAGGACCTCATGTTACGGTGTTTCTTGTTTTTATGTTTATTGAGTTAAATAAACATGTACGCTTTTCATGCTGCACCTTGGTCTGACCCATCTCTCAACGATCGTGACACTGTTTTCATAAAGTGTCTCAGAGGAGATCTAGGATCAGTTTCCCCCTCTTATTCATTGTGATCTAAAAGGAAAAACTGATCCTAGATCAGCATTCCTACTCAAAGGCGCTTTATGAAAACAGACCCTGGTTTTTGTGTCTATTGAGAAGACATGACACAGGACGTTGTTTTGTGTATGTAATCGGATATCTTCGCTGGATGAGAGACAATTAATAACCTTGTCTAATTGTGATCATAATTTAGTAGCTAAAGTATCCCAGAGTCAAGTCAATGGCACTCCCTGGAATTTACTAACTCATCATTACAATACATCGAACAGGTTTACATTTTAACTGAATTTACCAATCATATCTGTCACAATAGTACGTCAGGCGTAAGACAATGCATTTCAGCAAAATATTTGGCATGTGAATATGATATGTGTGTGTGTATGTCTGTGTGTGTATACTTTCTTACAGGAATAAAATGGTGAAAAGAACAAGACAAGCTGCCACCCCAATGTCCTGATGGTATAGTGATGATGACTGAGTGTTGTTCACCTGGAAATGCCTCAGAGCAAGAACTTCAAAAGCAGGTAAAGTACAGGTTTACCTGCTCCCGTAGGCAGCATTTTGTCACTCTATCTGACAAAAGACAATAGGTGTATTGTAGAGAACCAAAGAAACTATGCAGAAACACACCTTTGATGGAGGCAGATAAGTCTGTGAGAGCTTTGTCGACATCAGTGTTGAAAAAGGAGATGATTGTTGCACCAATGATGTCATCAGCATCTGTAAGTACAGATTGTCCACATACTTACATTTTTTGAAAGATAGGCTTCATTTTATTTCAAAAACAGATCAAGTAAGACCCCTACATCAACTAACTACACCATATGAACTTTATTTACCATCTATTTCCTTTGAGATTTCTGCTTTGGGAATTGAGAACTGTTCCATAATGACCTCAATTTTCTGTACAGAAAAGAGTAAGCAAAGAGAGTGCATTAGGGCTACAACTGTATATTTCCGAAATGCTAATTCCCAGAATAAACCAACTATCAAAAAACTAATTCCTGGAAGTTGGAGTGTTATGATGTGTTATGGTGGCCGGCCAGACCTGTGGAATTGAAGTTAGAGAGTCTTCCATGATCCTGGCGCTGGTCTCTACATGATAGAGGCCTAGGTGCATGTTCTCACTGACTCTGCTGTTCACGGTGAAAGCCAGGATCACCCCTGTCCTAAACACACATACAAAGGAAGAAATCACACCTCACACAATATCCACCTATACACAGTCATACAGTGTAATTATATAATTTCAGCATGACATGAATATGTTTGGGTATGTGCGTGTGTATACTTTCTTACAGGAGTAAAATGGTGACAAGAACTAGGCAAGCTGCCACACCGATGTCCTGATGGTAGAGTGATGATAATGTTGACGACTGGGTATCGCTCACCTCTACCTTCTTGCTATGGAAATGCCTCCAAGCAAGAACTCCACCAGCAACTGGCATCAGGAGCAGGTAAAGTCCAGCCAAGAGCATGCACACTAAGTATCCAGCCTCATACCGAACCAGCTGTTGAGAGGAATGAGGGGAGTTTTGCGGAACAAAACCACCAAGATTACATCATAAGCAACGAACATTTCAAAAAGCAAATACTTCATAATGTTCATAATGGTGTTATCAATTGGCGAAAATCTGATTGAGATAATGATCCCTTAGAGTAAGAGGAGACAGGTTCACCAGCAGGTAGCCTAGCGGTTAAGAGGTCGGGCCAGTAACCGAAAGGTTGCTGGTTCAAATCCCAGAGCTCTCTAGGTGAAAAGGCTGACGATGTGCCCTTGAGCAAGGCACTTAACCCTAATTGCTCCTGTAAGTCGCTCTGGATAAGAATGTCTGCAAAATAATAAAAGTAACAACAACAAAAAAAAACATGCATCGCAGACAAACCACTTCTTTAACCTGTAATGTTACCAGTGTGGGACAGAGGTTATGAAATGATCTGTTGAGCTGATATGATTGTAAAGGTATAGCAGACCATTCTTGTCCATGTAGGTATAATAAGGTATATGTCTGAAACAGGAAGACAGAAGAAAGGTCAGGGAACACCATTGAGACAGACCATAGGAAACACAAGCACAAACCTGTGGAATATCTAGTTGTTCAGTCTTTAAAGCTGTAAATATATCTGAAAATAGAAATCATACAGGTGTCATTGTTTGTTGTTGTACTAAGCCAAGAGAAAGTGGTAGTTTATAGGACATCTAGACATTGTTATATTGATTCTGTGTCACAATAATTGTTTACTTCTGTCTTCTAAGTAGTATAATTTCATGGTCAATAAAGGGAAGTAGCAGATGTTAACATCATATTAATTTTCAGTAGGTAGGACAGCTATTAGCTATTAAGTCACTCACAGTGAAACGAACTCACAGTGTGTTTTAAGAATTTGGGCTATCAAAAGGTTGCCCCAATTCCCTGTGCAAGACAGTGTAAAATTAAAACTCATCAATGTTGCTTGCTTACCTTCTGGGAAAGGATTTGGCTGTACTGCCTCAATGAAAAGCTTGGCAAAGTTATACAGGGGCTTCAGGCAACCACCATCGCTCTCCACCTGCCAAGTCGGAGTTTGGGTCAAGGGGATAAAAGGTTGTGTGTCACTGCTGCTGCTGAGGCAGTGGTGAGTGCAGTCTGCAGCACCCAGTTGGAACATGAACATCCACAGCCAACCGCCATGAGAGCGTCTCGGCCCCATGGTTCATCACACACTTGATGTCCTGCTGAGAGTCACAGATTCACAAACATATGATGAACATAATAATGATGATGACAGTGACAATGTGTTTGAATGATTATGATGATAGTAGTAGTAGTAGTAGTAGTTTTTGTTCAGATCAGGATTATGTTTTTAATCAGTTATTGTAATTATTCTAAGCTTTAGTGTTTGTATAGTGGTGCAGCAGTACACAAATCCGTTGACATACCAAGACCAAAAAATTGCAAGCTTAATTTAGCTTAATAGAATTACCTAACGAAAAGTCCCTTATTATCAGTCAATTGGCATAACTTAAATCTAACATTACCTTTATTTGAATGAAGAGAGAGATTCCTCCATAAACATGGAAACAATGCGTCCTCTAAGTTTCTCTGAGTGATTGTGTTTGATGGGCTTGGCACTAAAAAAGCATACCTTCGGTAGGAGGGGATTAAGAACCAGTTATACAGGTGTTTGTTTGTTTGTTACATGACAATGCAACATCTGAGTTGATTTATTTGGCCAATAAATCCATAGACATTATAATACAGCACATCCAGTACATCCATAGCATGGAATGCTAAATGGATTCGGAGGTGGGGAGCACTATTTGATTGATTGACTGAATTTATTATAAACACAGCAAAAAAATAAATGTCCCTTTTTCAGGACCCTGTCTTTCAAAGATAATTCGCAAAAATCCAAATAACTTCACAGATCTTCATTGTAAAGGGTTTAAACATTGTTTCCCATGCTTGTTCAATGAACCATAAACAATTAATGAACATGCACCTGTGGAACGGTCGTTAAGACACTAACAGCTTACAGACGGTAGGCAATTAAGGTCACAGTTATGAAAATTTAGGACACTAAAGAGGCCTTTCTACTGACTCTGAAAAACACCAAAGGAAAGATGCCCAGGGTCCCTGCACATCTGCGTGAACATGCCTTAGGCATGCTGCAAGGAGGCATGAGGACTGCAGATGTGGCCAGGGCAATAAATTGCAATGTCCGTACTGTGAAACGCGTAAGACAGCGCTACAGGGAGACAGGACGGACAGCTGATCGTCCTCGCAGTGGCAGACCACGTGTAACAACACCTGCCCAGGATCGGTACATCCGAACATCACACCTGTGGGACAGGTACAGGATGGCAACAACAACTGCCCGAGTTACACCAGGAATGCACAATCCCTCCATCAGTGCTCAGACTGTCCGCAATAGGCTGAGAGAGGCTGGACTGAGGGCTTGTAGGCCTGTTGTAAGGCAGGTCCTCACCAGACATCACCGGCAACAACGTCGCCTATGGGCACAAACCCACCGTCGCTGGACCAGACAGGACTGGCAAAAAGTGCTCTTCACTGACGAGTCACGGTTTTGTCTCACCAGGGGTGATGGTCGGATTCGCGTTTATCGTCGAAGGAATGAGCGTTACACTGAGGCCTGTACTCTGGAGCGGGTTTATATTTGGAGGTGGAGGGTCCGTCATGGTCTGGAGCGGTGTGTCACAGCATCATCGGACTGAGCTTGTTGTCATTGCAGGCAATCTCAACGCTGTGCGTTACAGGGAAGACATCCTCCTCCCTCATGTGGTACCCTTCCTGCAGGCTCATCCTGACATGACCCTCCAGCATGACAATAACACCAGCCATACTGCTCGTTCTGTGCGTAATTTCCTGCAAGACAGGAATGTCAGTGTTCTGCCATGGCCAGCGAAGAGCCCGGATCTCAATCCCATTGAGCACGTCTGGGACCTGTTGGATCGGAGGGTGAGGGCTAGGGCCATTCCCCCCAGAAATGTCCGGGAACTTGCAGGTGCCTTGGTGGAAGAATGGGGTAACATCTGGTGCAGTCCATGAGGAGGAGATGCACTGCAGAACTTAATGCAGCTGGTGGACACACCAGATACTGACTGTTCCTTTTGATTTTGACCCCCCCTTTGTTCAGGGACACATTATTAAATTTCTATTAGTCACATGTCTGTGGAACTTGTTCAGTTTATGTCTCAGTTGTTCCCATTATTGTTTTTAACGCGCCATTATAATTGAAGATTTATTTTATTTTAGCATGTGACGTCTAGGGAAATAAAATGTTCATTGGTCAGGTGTAGGCACAGTCGTCCTGGCCCGGCCTTTTCTAGTTATTAGGTTGATGGGTAATGTAGTTCATTACACCATTGTCATTCATCCATTTGTCTCTTTAAAAAAATACAGTTACAGTGTCAGTTCTTGAGGGGAGGCTGGGGTTTTGCTGGAAACGGCTTCACGGAAGGTGGCGGAAGCGGATGATGAAGTGGAATCTGAATATAATGGCGGTAGAATCAAGGAGAATTGTAGTATTGTCCAAAAGAATGGAAACGGAGCAAAGTAGTGTACAGTGATGAGAATGTCCCTTCGTATCTAGTAGGAGTACGATTTGTTAATGAGGAGCAGCTGAGCAGAGCACCAATCTTGAAGAAACCATTTGAGTTATCCAAACTGGTGGAGAGAGTGCTGGGTAAAGTGAAGGATGTGAGGATCACGAGAGGCGGCTTGTTTTGACTTTTTGTGATTCTGCAGAACAGAAGGAATGTGTGTTGGGTCTTAATCGATTTGATAAGTTTGAAGTGTTGTGTGTGTCGCTTCGGAACATGGCACCCCTTAAGGGTCCCCGAGTGGTGCAGTGGTCTAAGGCACTGCGTCGCAGTGCTAGCTGTGCCACTAGAGATCCTGGTTCGAATCCAGGCTCTGTCGTAGCCGGCCGCGACCGGGAGACCCATGGGGTGGCGCACAATTGGCCCAGCGTCGTCCAGGGTAGGGGAGGGAATGGCCGGCAGGGATGTAGCTCAGTTGGTAGAGCATGGCGTTTGCAACGCCAGTGTTGTGGGTTCGATTCCCACGGGGGGGCCACTATGAAAAAATATATATAAAATAATAATGTATGCACTCACTAACTGTAAGTTGCTCTGGATAAGAGTGTCTGCTAAATGACTAAAATGTAAATGTTAAGGGGGTTATATCTGGTGTTTCGTGGGAAGTTGATTTGGAAGAGATGAAAAATATTCCTGGAATGATTGAAGCACATTGAATGAATCGAATGGGGAAAAAGTGAAGAGTTTATCTGTTCTTTTGTTTTTTGAAATGGAGTCTCTCCCTAATGAAGTGTGGTTAGGGTATATTAACTACAGAGTTAGAGCATTTATCCCAAGACCAATGCAGTGAGGACATTGTAACGCTTTTAGTCATGTATAAAGTGTTTGCAGAAGGGAGAAGCCGAGATGTACAAGAAGTGGAAAATATCATATTATGTGTTATAAAAGTGAAGAAAATGTGACATGTTGTAATTGCGGTGGGAATCATGAGGCCACGTCTTCTGAATGCCCCACAAGGGTAAAAGAGAATCAGGGTTGTACAGAGCATTTCATATGCAGAAGATGTGAAAAGGGTTGAGGGTTTGTATGTTGCACCAGAAGAGTCCATGGTAGTGGATAGGCCTTCACTGCTGGCTGCAGGGGTTGTCTTACACAAAGAGGATCCTGACATTTTAAAGGTTAAAAAGTTGGACTTTGTGGCCTTTATCGCAATGGTGATAAATGGCACTGCCAAGGTGGAGAAAAGATCTAGGAAGATTGAAATCATTGTGATTGCGGCAGAGCGGTTCCTGGGGCTGAAAGATTTCACAGCAAAGGAGTTACATGGAATATTAGCAAAAGCCGTACCACCTTCTCAGGCCCTAGAGCCTGAGAAGGGAGATATGGAGAAATAAAAGGATGAAGTGGGAATTTTGTTTGTTTTTGCAATGTACTATTTTAATTAAGGTGGATTGTTAGAATCACTATTAAGTATGGATTTATTTATTTAAATTTTATTTTTGGTTTCAAATCGTCCAGTTGGTGGCGGCAATACAACTTTTGGATGTAGTCTGCCATAAAACCCACAGACGAAGAAGAAGAAGAAGAAGAAGAAGATTATTATTCTTGAGTGGCACGCACAATCGAGTGGTGGGGTCCGAAAGAGGGGATCGTTTGAAGGGAAACCAAGGTTGATGTTCGTGTTGGGAATAGCGGGATCTTGGGTATGTAAATAGTGATTTTCATTATATGTGCTACTGTTGTGGACGTTTAACTTGCATGCGTAAACGTACCGTTTGTGTCAAAAGCTAACTAGCATAAAATAGCTTGGGGGTGGGGGTCAAAACTAGCCAGTCAGGCACCACTAACGTTAGCCCCTCTGTCTTTTGTTCGGTTGTCAGCCCGTAGCCAGCCAGTCAGCTAGCTGACTAACAAGCTACTTGCTTTGGAGAAAGGGGAGAATAATTACCTAGCCAGCATAAACCAGCTGTCTGTCAGTGAATACATTTTACCTAACGTTACTGCCGCGTTAAAGCGGAGGTTGTGTACCAGTAACTTGTTAGTTAGTAGCAGTGTTGACTAGCTAGCTATTTAGCTGTTGGTTAGCTTACGTTAGTTTGTTTCGCTAACTAGCCCATACGGAATATGTTTGCTATGTCGTAAGCTAGCTAGGAGGAACGATTTAATTAGTAGGATAAAATGCATTACCTAGCTAGCTACTGTAGGTAGCTAGTTTACCTGTCACACATGCAGGGTGTACTGCCAACCATTTGAGAATAGCTTTAATTAACTAGTTAGCTAGTGGTTAGCTAACGTTGGCTTGATAGCTGGCTAACACAGCCGGTGTTCTGACAATGATGATGATCTGATCATCCATGCAAGCCACAGTGCAACAATGGATCATAGCTACTCAATTTCAACACCAGTCAGCTAGATAACCCAAAATGTGTTGCTTGCTGCAGGTGGACCTCAAATGAATTAGCCTAGCTAACGATAGAGACCCCTGGCCTTACCAAGTCAGATGCTTCAGTGACAGTGGGGTTGATCATTGTGAGACTTGAGAAGAGATATCCAGCTAAATAGGGAAATTGATCAAGCCTAGACAGGAAATATCCTGTCATCAACCTCTCCCTTATCTATTCCCTGTGTAATTGTATCAGGAAACAATGGCCTCTCTCATTTGTCACTGAGATGGGTGCTCAGTATCTCTTCCGCCCCCACATTGTAGAAAATGTACTGTATTACAGTACTACTTGAAAATGAAACTACCCCTTTAACCTAAGTCTTAGTCTATTTTCTAATGTGATCATGGAAAACCAAGAGCTTGTTTTAGTTGGACGTTGCAGTGGGATCATTCTTCGCTCAGACTCACAAGGATTAGAATGAACTAAGGTCGAAACTGCACACTGTGCAAAATGACACCGCTTATAACGTCAGTCAACACATTCATTTTACTAATGAACAATCAGATTTTGTTTTCTTCTGTAGGTTATACTGACAAAGGGTTATTTTGACAAAGAGCATTGGGCCAGTAACCGAAAGGTCTCTTTTCTCCCCCTCTCTTTTCTCCCCTACTCCCCCTCTCATTTCTCCCCTGCTCCCCCTCTCTTTTCTCCCACCTGCTCCCCCTCTATTTTCTCACCTACTCCCCCTCTATTTTCTCACCTGCTCCCCCTCTATTTTCTCACCTACTCCCCCTCAATTTTCTCCCCTCCCCCTCTCTTTTCTCTTCTGCTCCCCCACCTTACATTTGTCCTTTTGTTCAACTCTCTCACTCCCTGCTCTGTGGTAAAGACAGCTGCTGGTTGCAGGCATCGAGTGGCGTAACAGAAGCAGTGTGCCATCCTCTGTCCTCCTACCCATGTCTGTCCTCCCAGCCTGTTAGTGTCCCCTCATTGTCTGCCTTGTCCAGCCTAAAGACCTCCTCTCCCTCATGCTTTGGACAAAGCCAGCACACTGCCAGCCCAATGACTGCCTGGATCGTCTTGCCTGTCAGCCTCTCTGCCTTCTCCATCACAGGAATATGGATAGTGTGAGTTCTCAAATACTAGGCTCCAGTTACATTTGACCTCCATACTAAGGGTGTATTACAAAGTGATTGACAGAGAAACATTGATAGATCCGGTTTCTTGGACACAGATTAAGCCAAGTCCTGGACTTTAAAAAGCATGCTTAATGGAAAATCTCAATCTTTAGTCCAGGACTAGGCTTAATGTATGTCCAGGAAACCAGCCCATAATGTTGTGATTTTAAATCATTGATGTGTTTGTTTTCCCCCACAGCTACGCCATGGCTGTGATGAACCATCACGTTTGTCCTGTGGAGAACTGGTGAGTGATGCTTCAGTGAGAGTTTCTTTTAAAACATTGTGGGAGTAAAGAAGACCCAGTTTTGTCTTTGGATTTATAGCCTACATTGACGTGATACTACAGAATATCATCTGCTTGACTGAACAAAAAAGGGCTAATTCCCTCCCAAAATGGTGTATCTTGTGTGCAGGTCCTACAATGTGACATGTACAGAGGAGATGCCCAGGCCAGGCTTCCCCAAGACGTGCTGCACCATGCAGGACATCCCCCTCATCAGGTCTCACATTCCTTCTCTCTCGCCTTTCATGCTGACCACACCTGCCGCGTTGTGTGCGCGAGCGTTGCAAAATAAATGTACACATGCATGTTATTCAATCATTTCATCCAAACTGCTCGCGCGCGTCAGCGTAGCTAGGCGCTAGAATAGAACTTGCTTCTATTTGTGACGCTTGACGCACTGCAAGTCCCGCATCTCCCATCTCCTCATTGGTTTTTAGGAGCATATACACACGTGGGTGATTGAAAGATGAACAAGGTCCACACTCCAGTCCAGTTGGTTGCAGTAATGCATCTTAAAGTTGGTTGCCAACCTAGAAACTAACTAGGTTTCCCCTTTTATCTGTGGATTAATTGTCGGGAGTAAAGAACACACGATTTTGTGTGACTCAAAATGGGTCGATATTCTACAAAGATCCAGCCCAAAAAAAGGACCTAGTACATTTCAGGTAAAATAACAACCCAATGTTTATATCCCAGGACAAATTAGCTAGCAACAGCAAGCTAGCTAGCTAAATGTCAAATTAATATAGTTGGTTCAGAGTTCATTTAGAAATTTCAGCCTGTGTGTCCTGATCGCGTCTGGTGGGGTTAGACAAACTCAACATGCGCACGATGACGCACGCACGTGCGGTCAGTGTTGACCAATGTTTGACTTGTTTTCAAATTCTTTGTGGGTCTGTGTGATCTGTGGGAATTATGTATCTCTAATGTGGTCATACATTTGGCAGGAGGTTAGGAAGTGCAGCTCAGTGTCCACCTCATTTTGTGGTCAGTGGACTCTAAAGAGCCAGGTCTGCCTATGGTGGCTTCTCTCAATAGCAAGGCTATGCTCACTGAGTCTGTACATAGTCAAGGATTTTCTTAATTTTGTGTCAGTCAGTGTTCAGGTATTTTGCTACTGTGTATTCTCTGTTTACAGCCAAATAGCATTCTAGTTTGCTCAGTTTTTTGGTTAATTCTTCTAGTTTTCTTTTAGCGTTCTCATAATTTGGTTGGGTCTAATTGTCTTGCTGTCCTGGAGCTCTGTGGGGTCTGTTTGTGTTTTTGAACAGAGCCCCAGAATCAGCTGGCTGAGGGGACTCTTCTCTACGTTAATCTCTCTGTAGGTGATGGCTTTGTCATGGAATGTGTGAGCGTTGCTTCCTTTTAGATGGTTGTAGAATTTAAGATATATTTTCTGGATTTTGATAACTAGCAGGTAAAGTCCTATTTCTGCTCTGCATGCATTGTTTGCGTTGTACACATTTATATTTTTGCAGAATTCTGCATGCAGAGTCTCAATTGGGTGTTTGTCCCATTTTGTGAATTCTTGGTTGGTGAGTGGACCCCAGACCTCACAACCATAGAAAGCAATGGGTTCTGTAACTGATTCAAATATTTTTAGCCAGTTCCTAATTGGTACTTTGTTGAAGCACCTTTGGCAGCGATTACAGCCTTGAGTCTTCTTGGGTATGACACTACAACCTTGGCACACCTGGATTTGGGGAGTTTCTCCCATTCTTCCCTGCAGATCCTCTCAAGCTCTGTCAGGTTGGATGGGGAGCGTCGCTGCACAGCTATTTTCAGGTCTCTCCAGAGATGTTCGATCGGGTTCAAGTCCGGGCTCTGGCTGGGCCTCTCAAGGACATTCAGAGACTTGTCCCGAAGCCACTCCTGCGTGGATTTCATCAAGGATCTCTCTGTACTTTGCTCCGTTCAACTTTCCCTCGATCCTGACTAGTCTCCCTGTCCCTGCCGCTGAAAAAGATCCCCACAGCATGATGCTGCCACCACCATGCTTCACTGTAGGGATGGTGCCAGGTTTCCTCCAGATGTGACGCTTGGCATTCAGGCCAAAGAGTTCAATCTTGGTTTTATCTGACCAGAGAATCTTGTTTCTCATGAGCTGAGTCCTTTAGGTGCCTTTTGGCAAACTCCAAGAGGGCTGTCATGTGCCTTTTTACTGAGGAGTGGCTTCCGTCTGGCCACTACCATAAAGGCCTGGTTGGTGGAGTGCTGCAGAGATGGTTGTCCTTCTGGAAGGTTCTCCTATCTCCACAGAGGAACTCTGGAGCTCTGTTAGTGACCATCGGGTTCTTGGTCACATCCCTGACCAAGGCCTTTCTCCCCTGATTGCTCAGTTTGGCCGGGCGGGCCAGCTCTAGGAAGAGTGTTGGTGGTTCCAAACTTCTTCCATTTTAAGAATGATGGAGGCCACTGTGTTCTTGGAGATCTTCAATCCTGCAGAAATGTTTTGGTACCCTTCCCCAGATCTGTGCCTCGGCACAATCCTGTCTCTTAGCTCTACAGACAATTCCTTCGACCTCATGGCATGTCCAATCAATTGAATTTACTACAGGTGGACTCCAATCAAGTTGTAGAAACATCTTAAGGATGATCAATGGAAACAGGATGCACCTGAGCTCAATTTCAAGTCACATAGCAAAGGGTCTGAATACTTATGTAAATATGGTAATACTGTTTCATTTTTTTATAAATTAGCAAAGAATTCAAAACCTGTTTTCGCTTTGTCATTATGGGGTATTGTGTGTAGATTGAGAAAAAATAAATATTTAATCAATTTTAGAATAAGGCTGTAACGTAACAAAATGTGGGGAAAGGGTCTGAGTACTTTCCGAATACGCTGTATACACTGAGTGTACAAAACATTAGGAACACCTGCTCTTCCCATGACAGACTGACCAGGTGAATCCAAGGGAAAGCTATGATCCATCACTAATGTAACTTGTTAAATACACTTCAATCAGTGTTGATCAGTGGCGGTCGGTGACGTTTAAGATGAGGGAGGACGATTCTTTTTTTATGAGCATGGCCTTATTTCCATTTACTACATATTGGATGACTCATTCATATTCCATTCACCCAGCTCAATATAACATCGATAGGTTTAAGCTACTACATGATACTCAAATTTTCGCTATACCTATCATGAGGTTGCTACAACCTAGTCTATGAAAAGTTTACAACGTAAGTGTACAGGTTGAGAGAGAAATTTGAGTAATCGAGGTGACAGACAGTGACACATTCAATACCGCCCTGCACACTCTTGCCTGAATCTAGCTGATCTAGGGTGTAATCATTAGTCCAAAAGTTGCAAATGAGAGTTTCTATTGGACAAATTCAGATATGTTTATCCCCGTTTTTGTTACTTTGTTAAAAACTGTTCAACTATTGTCTTTCTCTTTGAGTCATTTTATGCATTGCAGTGCAAGCTAGCTGTAGCTTATACTTTCAGTACTACATTCGTTGTCTGATCCTTTGATTAAGTGGACATCATTTCATGCTGCAAGATCTCTGATGGGTTGGAGGACATCCTCTGGAAGTTGTCATAAGTACTGTGTAAGTCTTTGGAAGGGGGTGAGAACCATGAGCCTTCTAGGTTTTGTATTTAAGTCAATGTACCGATAGGAGGACGGAAACTAGCTGTCCTCTGGCTACACCATGGTGCTACCCTACAGAGTGCTGTTGAGGTTACTGTAGACCTTCATTGCAAAACGGTGTGTTTTAATCAGTTATTTGGTGACGTGAATATATTTAGTATAGTTTTATCCAAAAAGGATAACTTCTTTTAATGTTTCACTATTTACATTTTTCTGAAATTCACTAAGGAGGAAGGTCCTCCCCTTCCTCCTCTGAGGAGCCTCCACTGGTGTAGATGAAGGGTTGGAGGTGGGTTAAATAAAGATTTTTAAGGCTTGAGACAATTGAGACATGGATTGTGTATGTGTGCCATTCAGAGAGTGAATGGGCAAGACAAAATATTTAAGTGCCATTGAACAGGGTATGGTAGTAGGTGCCAGGTGCACCGGTTTGTGTCAAGAACTGCAATGCTGCTGGGTTTTTCACGCTCAGCAGTTTCCTGTGTGTGTCAAGAATGGTCCACCACCCAAAGGACATCCAGCCAACTTGACACAACTGTGGGAAGCAGTGGAGTCAACATGGGCCAGTATCCCTGTGGAACACTTTCGACACCTTGTAGTTCTTGCCCCGACGAATTGAGGCTGTTCTGAGGTCAAAAGGGGGTGCAACTCAATGTTAGGAAGGTGTTCCTAATGTTTTGTACACTCTGTGTATGTTGAGGGTGGGACTCAAGCTGCATCCCTGTCTCACCCCACGGCCCTGAAGAAAGAAATCTGTGTTTTTATTGCCAATTTTAACTGCACACTTGTTGTTTGTGTACATTGATTTTATAATGCCATATGCTTTTCCCCCAACACCGCTTTCCATCAATTTCGATAGCAGACCCTCATGCCAAATTGAGTCCAAAGCTTTTTTGAAATCAACAAAGCATGAGAAGACTTTGATTTTGTTTGTTTGTCAACAAGGGTCTCTCTCGCTCTTTCTCTCTCTCATTCGCTCTCTAGTGATACATACATCTACAAAGTCTTAGCCTTGTAACCAGACCAGAAGAGAAATAGTTACAACCTTATAATAAACCAGTGTCATGCATGCCTTTTCATAATATAAGCCTAGTCAACTAGTGAGTGCATTACTTATGTGTTTTGGGTGACATGTTGTTTCCTCCCCCCTCCCTCTTGTGTCTCCTACAGTAAGTGTGGCTCCTTCCCCCCTGAGAGCTGTCTGTTCAGTCTGATCGGGAACGTTGGAGCCTTCATGGGTAAGAAGAGTCTCTTCTCCATCCCAAATGGCACACTATTCACTATTTAGCGTGCTATTTTTGACCAGGACCCATAGGTCTCTGTTCAAAAGTAGTGCACTATGTAGGGAATCATAGGGTGTCATTTGGGATGCAGCCCTCTTCTGTCATCACTCCACAGCCACTCACTCACACTGACAATAAGCTGTGCCCTCTGTATCATTCATCAGTGATATCTTGGAGGTTAAAGGAAAAATCCACCCAAAACCACTCATTACTTTAATTTACAGTGTTAAATAACACTAATATGTGAGTTTTCTTTTTTGGTGAACAAATGTTTCATTTTGCCGTTATAATAAGGTTGGTAGTAACATGGAAAATTGTTGTGGAAATCTGTAGGTGTTCAAGTCAACTACAAAATCCACAATGCAATACTCGCTCTATGGGCTGGCTGGCTGGCTTGCTAGCTAGCTAGCTAGCTAGCTAGCTAGCAAACATAGCTACACACAATAAAGCCAAATACAATATCGGCATGTAATGTAGCTAGATAGCTGTAAAATTGCCTAAACAAACTGCACTATCAATTTAGGAGTCTACAATCTCACCATGTTCAACCTGCAGATTGATGTGCCTCACAGAGGGAAGTCTAACATTCGCAAAGGCAGATATACTTTTGAGGAGATGGGAAACGTTGCCCATGCTACGTCAATGGGCTGCGCGGTGCATTCTGGGCGATTCTGGGACAAGGAGCGCACTCCTTCAAGGCGTGAATGGGAGTCTATTGGGCGCTAGTTCAAAAACCCCACATTAGCACGAATTTCGTCAACAAGAAGTACAACATTACAAATCTTTTCTCAAATGTGAGATAATTAACTTGCCATCTGGATGGTCTTCAGAGATAGATGGGAGGGGTTGAGGGTAGCTGAAGGATGGGATTAAAAACAAACAAAAGGTAACTATTGTAAAATACATTGTGTGTGTAAAATGTGTGTGTATATATATATATATATATATATATATATATATATATATAAAAATAAATAAATAAATAAACTGGAAGTAGAAGCCTAAGTGTTATCCATTCGTTTACTCCAATTAGGGGAGGGGTGGTAGGGTTAGGGGGAAAATAATAAAGGAAAATATATAACAAAAATGTATGTACAGTGCATTCGGAAAGAATTGAGACCCCTTGACTTTTTCCACATTTTATTACATTACAGCCTCATTCTAAAATTGATTAAATTGTTGTTTTCCCCTAAAAAAATCTACACACAATACCCATAATGACAAAGCAAAAACAGGTTTTTAGAAATTTTTGCAAATGTATTAAAAATAAAAAACTGATATCACATTTACATAAATATTCAGACCTTTTACTCAGTACTTTGTTGACACACCTTTGGCAGCGATTTACAGCCTCAAGTCTTTTTGGGTATGACGCTACAAGCTTGGCACACCTGTATTTGGGGAGTTTCTCCCATTCTTCTCTGCAGATCCTCTCAAGCTCTGTCAGGTTGGATGGGGAGCGTTGCTGCACAGCTATTTTCTAGGTCCCTCCAGAAATATTCGATCGGGTTCATGTCCGGGCTCTGGCAGGGCCACTCAAGGACATTCAGAGACTTGTCCCGAAGCCACTCCTGCGTTGTCTTGGCTGTGTGCTTAGGGTTGTTTTCCTGTTGGAAGGTGAAGTTGGAGCAGTGCTCTGGAGCAGTTTTTTCATCAAGGATCTCTCTGTACTTTGCTCCGTTGATCTTTCCCTCGACCCTGACTAGTCTCCCAGTCCCTGCCGCTGAAAAACATCCCCACAGCATGATGCTGCCACCACCATGCTTCACCGTAGGGATGGTGCCAGGTTTCCTCCAGACGTGACGCTTGGCATTCAGGCCAAAGAGTTCAATCTTGGTTTCATCAGACCAGAGAATCTTATTTCTCATGGTCTGAGAGTCTTTAGGTGCCTTTTGGCAAACTCCAAGTGGGCTGTCGTGCCTTTTACTGAGGAGTGGCTTCCGTCTGGCCACTCTACCATAAAGGCCTGATTTGTGGAGTGCTGCAGAGATGGTTGTCCTTCTGGAAGGAACTCTGGAGCTCTGTCAGAGTGACCATCGGGTTCTTGGTCAGGTCCCTAACCAAGGCCCTTCTCCCCCGATTGCTCAGTTTGGCCAAGCGGCCAGCTCGAGGAAGAGTGTTGATGGTTCCAAACTTCTTCCATTTAACAATGATGGAGGCCACTGTGTTCTTGGGGACCTTCAATGCTGCAGAAATGTTTTGGTACCCTTCCCCAGATCTGTTCCTCGACACAATCCTGTCTCGGATTTCTACAGACAATTCCTTTGACCTCATGGCTTGGTTTTTGCTCTGACATGCACTGTGGGACCTTAAATAGACAGGTGTTTGCCTTTCCAAATCATGTCCAATCAATTGAATTTACTACAGGTGGACTCAAAACAAGTTGTAGAAATATCTCAAGGATGATCAATGGAAACAGGATGCAACTGAGCTCAATTTCAAGTCTCATAGCAAAGGGCCTGAATACTTATGTAAATAAGGTATTTTTGTTTTATTTTTAATACATTTGCAAAAATGTCTTAACCTGTTTGCCTCATCATTATGGGGTATTGTGTGTTGATTGATGAGGGGAAAAAAACAATTTAATCAATTTTAGAACAAGGCTATAACCGAAGAAAATGTGGAAAAGTCAAGGGGTCTGAATACTTTCCGAAATGATGGAAATGATGCAGACAATTACTTTGATGGAAGCTACAATATGCATGTTTCTCGACATATACACTGACTTTGAGAAGGGATTGCATGACGATTAGCTTAGCAACCGCGTGACGCAGCATGACAACGTGAACACGATTAGTCGACAGTCTGCTGGGTGGGGCGTAATACGTTCCTTCATTGATTGGATTCCTTTATCCTTTCTATTACATTTACATTTACATTTTAGTCATTTAGCAGACGCTCTTATCCAGAGCGACTTACAGGAGCAATTAGGGTTAAGTGCCTTGCTCAAGGGCACATTTACGTCATTTAGCAGACGCTCTTATCCAGAGCGACTTACAAATTGGTGCATTCACCCTATAGCCAGTGGGATAACCACTTTACAATTATTATTATTATTATTATTTATTTTTTGGGGGGGGGGGGTAGAAGGATTACTTTATCCTATCCCAGGTGTTCCTTAAAGAGGTGGGGTTTCAAATGTCTCCGGAAGGTGGTGAGTGACTCCGCTGTCCTGGCGTCGTGAGGGAGCTTGTTCCACCATTGGGGTGCCAGAGCAGCGAACAGTTTTGACTGGGCTGAGCGGGAACTATGCTTCCGCAGAGGAAGGGGAGCCAGCAGGCCAGAGGTGGATGAACGCAATGCCCTCGTTTGGGTGTAGGGACTGATCAGAGCCTGAAGGTACGGAGGTGCCGTTCCCCTCACTGCTCCATAGGCAAGCACCATGGTCTTGTAACGGATGCGAGCTTCAACTGGAAGCCAGTGGAGTGTGCGGAGGAGGGGGGTGACGTGAGAGAACTTGGGAAGGTTGAACACCAGACGGGCTGCGGCATTCTGGATGAGTTGTAGGGGTTTAATGGCACAGGCAGGGAGCCCAGCCAACAGCGAGTTGCAGTAATCCAGACGGGAGATGACAAGTGCCTGGATTAGGACCTGTGCCGCTTCCTGTGTAAGGCAGGGTCGTACTCTCCGAATGTTGTAGAGCATGAACCTGCAGGATCGGGTCACCGCCTTGATGTTAGCGGAGAACGACAGGGTGTTGTCCAGGGTCACGCCAAGGCTCTTCGCACTCTGGGAGGAGGACACAACGGAGTTGTCAACCGTGATGGCGAGATCATGGAACGGGCAGTCCTTCCCCGGGAGGAAGAGCAGCTCCGTCTTGCCAGGGTTCAGCTTGAGGTGGTGATCCGTCATCCATACTGATATGTCGCTAGACCCTCTGTGAAATTACACGTTTCTCAATGTTGGAATATCGCAAAAATATGATAATTGGCTCATTTGAGAGGTTGGTTGTTTGTGCAACAGTGCAAATAATACTTTTGCTGTGTCATGGTGATAATGATCTGAAGGTGGTGGTTAAATACCTGTAATTATACATTCTATCTGTTTTTTTTGTCATTGGTGTCAAGAATATATCACCTCACAGAATCACCTTTTCAGTACTGTAGTCATTATCACCAAGACACAGCAAACGGGTGCTGAGTTCATCTGTAAAATGTGAACTTTTATCAAAACAAATATTTTACAGAATTTCCTATATAGGCCTAACTGATCTTATGTGCCTGTCTCAGCCATACAGTGTGTGCCACTAGTCAGCAGTATGTGCAGAAGGGCTTTAAATAGGCTCTGCAATCAATAATGGATGTGGCCTTTCCTCCATTTCCCCCCTCATCATCCATGACCTTCCTCCATGACTTCCTGTTCTGTCTTATTTATTACCACTCACTCTGCTCCCTTTTTTCTGTGCTCCTCTTCATCCCATCTCTCTACCCCCCCCCCCCCCTCTATCCCATCCCTCTCTCTCCTCTCCCCTCCCCCTCTCTCACTGCCCCCTCTCTCTTTCTCTCTCTCTCTCACTGCCCCCCCTCTCTCTCACACTGCCCCCCCACCCTCTCTCTCACACTGCCCCCCCACCCTCTCTCTCTCTCACTGCCCCCCACCCTCTCTCTCTACACTGCCCCCACTCTCTCTCTCTCACACTGCCCCCACCCCTCTCTCACACTGCCACCCCTCTCCCCACTGCCCCCACCCTCTCTCTCTACACTGCCCCCCCACCCTCTCCTACTCCACACCCTCTCTTCACACTGCCCCCACACCCTCTCTCTCACACTGCCCCCCCACCCTCTCTCTCTCTCCCACTGCCCCCCCACCCTCTCTCTCCACTCCCCCCCACCCTCCCCACACTGCCCCCCACCCTCTCTCTCTCACACTGCCCCCCCACCCTCTCTCTCTCACACTGCCCCCCCCACCCTCTCTCTCTCACCTCCCCCCCCCCTCTCTCCTCTCACACTGCCCCCCCACCCTCTCTCTCTCTCTCTCACTGCCCCCCCCACCCTCTCTCTCTCTCTCACACTGCCCCCCCACCCCCCTCCTCTCTCACTGCCCCCCCCCCTCTCTCTCCACACTGCCCCCCCACCCTCTCTCTCTCACACTGCCCCCCCCCCCTCTCTCCTCCACTGCCCCCCCACCCTCTCTCTCTCTCTCACTCTGCCCCCCCACCCTCTCCCCCCCACCCCCCTCCCTCTCTCACACTGCCCCCCCACCCTCTCTCTCCACTCCTGCCCCCCACCCTCTCTCTCCACACTGCCCCCCCCACCCTCTCTCTCTCACACTGCCCCCCCACCCTCTCCTCCCTCTCTCACTGCCCCCCCCCCCTCTCTCTCTCTCTCACTGCCCCCCCACCCTCTCTCCTCCGTCCTCTCTCTCACTGCCCCCCCACCCTCTCTCTCCTCTCTCCCTCACTCTCGCCCCCCCACCCTCTTCTCTCTCCTCACTGCCCCCCCACCCTCTCTCTCTCTCACACTGCCCCCCCCCACCCTCTCTCTCTCACACTGCCCCCCCACCCTCTCTCTCTCACACTGCCCCCCCCCCTCTCTCTCTCTCACACTGCCCCCCACCCTCTCTCTCTCTCACACTGCCCCCCCACCCTCTCCTCTCACACTGCTGGCCCCCCACCCTCTCTCTCTCACACTGCCCCCCCACCTCTCTCTCTCACCTGCCCACCCTCTCTCTCTCTTGCCCCCCCACCCTCTCTCTCTCTCCCTTGCCCCCCACCCTCTCTCTCTCTCTCTCCTCTGCCCCCCCACCTCTCTCTCTCTCTCTCTCGCTCCTCCCTCTCTCTCCCCTCTCTCCTGCCTCCCCCCCCTCCTCTCTCTCTCTCTCTCTCTCTCTTCTCTTCACTCTCTCCGCCCACGCCCTCTCTCACTGCTCCGCCCACGCCCTCTCTCACTGCTCCGCCCACGCCCTCTCTCACTGCTCCGCCACGCCATCTTCACTGCTCCGCCCCTCTCTCTCACGGCTCTGCCCTCTCTCTCACGCTACCCCCCTACTCTCTCACTGCTTCCCCCCCCCCTCTCTCTCTCATTCATTTCATTCATTCATTGCCCCACCCCTTCTCTCCCCGTATCCCTTTCCTCTCTCCAGTGGTGATGGTGTGCCTTCTGCGCTATGCCCAGGTGATTGAGCACAGCCACGGTTGCTGGATTAACACCAACGCTTTGTTGTCTGGCTGCACCAACGCTGTAGGACTGGTCATGGTGGGAAACTTCCAGGTGATTCTCTTCACTCCATTACTTCTCTAGACATACAGTACATCTTGATTCCACATCTCTGCTACCAGTCCCTCTCCAGCTGTGACTGTATTATCCCAATGACTTGATGTCATTTAAACCCCACAATCATTTTTCATTTTAGTCCTTTTAGCAGACACTCTTATCCAGAGCAACTTACAGTTTTGTCAATTATCAAGTGGTGGCTATATTCTCCTGCTGATTCCCTGTGTTGTCTAACGTTTGTCTATAGGTTAAAAACAAGGGGTGGAGGTGGGTGGGTAGGAGTGGGTGTTACAGGCTTTGGTTTTTCTATTTATGTTTTGAGGTTGGAATTTAGCACGTATAGCTCGTTTAGCAAGTAGGGCGCACCTCGTCAGTCAGTATGTGTTACACCTGTGCTGGTTGCCATCTCGTTAGTGGGAAGTTGTTTCACCTGTTTTGGCCCAGGTGCTATTTAGGAGTGGCTGGCCCAGTGCTCCAGGGGCAAGATTTTGGGGAGAGCTACACTTCACGTAAGCTGAGGTGTGATTTTGAAAGAAGCCTGAGTTTTGGTGTTTCCCCTGTTTTTTTTGCTCCATATTCTTTTTACTCCCTATCCTGTGGGTTTTTCTTTTAGTTTGTCTTTTCGGAGGCAAACATAGTGGGCATCCATGGTGGGTGTCTTTTAGAACCCCTTACTAGAGGCTTTGCCAACTTTCAGTGGGCACCCACATGGGTGCATTTTGGAACCCCTTTCTGTTTTGTTTTGGTTGTTAAAGTGATTTTCTTTGTTAGCTCCCTTTGTTGTGAGCGACATTTTGAGTTTGTCTTGTGGGAACGTAACAGTGGGTGGGTTCAGGGGGATGGTCAATGGAATTTGGGTATTCGGAGCGGCTTCACTTGTGTATAAAAATGTATGTTTTCAATCTCAATAACAAAATAGATTCATAACATGTTTCCCCCCTCCTTGGGCAGGTTGACCATGCCAAGTCTCTCCACTACGTTGGCGCGGGCGTGGCGTTCCCTGCGGGTGTGCTCTTCGTGTGCCTGCAGTGTGTTCTCACCTACCGGATGGCCATCACCGCCCTCGACTACTGGATGGCACACGTCCGCGTGGCGCTGGCCGCAGGAGCCCTGGTCTCACTTGTCCTTAGTATCCTTCCTGACTCGCTGGGATTGGTGGAGGGTGGGGGTGGGTTATTAGATATTGGTGACTGATCATTTCCCCATAGCATCATGTAATTTCAATCAAGCACAGTTAATGTGGGATGTGATGTGTAATTTATCTTCTGTAATGAAACCTTGCAATGGCTAGTCTGTAAAACCGCGTAAGCCGTAGTCTAATTCCTGTCAGTGGTCTGTGATGAATATGGCTCTGGGCAAATGTAGTGCACTACATAGGGAATAGAGTGCCATTTGGGACGCATCCATATATTTATTGATGTGGCCTTTCCTCATCCATCGACGGGGCTATTGCGTCTCCTTAACTCTTTCCCCAGGTGGTATCTTCTTCATCCACGAGAGCTTTGTTCTCCAGCACGCGGCAGCCATCTGCGAGTGGGTCTTCACCGTGGACATCCTTGTCTTCTACGGTACCTTCACCTACGAGTTTGGCACAGTCACCAACGACACCATGATGGTCGGCCTGCAGCAGACCTACCACCACTCAGGGGTCATGATGGGCGGCGCGGCCAGGGCTGGGGTCATGTCGCTGGGCATGGGAGCCAAGGGCCTAAAGTCTCCTGGAGGAAGCAGCACATCCACCCATCTCAACTGCACCCCAGAGAGCCTAGCCATGTTGTAGTCTGCGGGGGTCACAGGCGATCACCACACTGCACTGCTGCAGAGGGGAACCACCACACAGGCAGCAGAGGTCAGGGGTCAATGAAAGCACTGGCCAGCCAGAGGGAGGAGACAAGACATTGAAAATCACAAGATATGATTGACACACCGGGTCGGTATTGGGTTTTTGTGTTTTAATAAGCCGTCCGCTTCTCCACATCAGCAGAAAGGATCACTTACACAAATAATACATATCTGGGATGGTGAGGGGCTGTGAATGTTTCCAAGATGGCTGCTGGCACACTGGCCTCTCTGCACACTGACATGATGATACCTTATTTATTTCTTAAAGATCAGTGTTGTTCGACCGGTCACTGAGGCTTTTGCCATGTCGGGATGGCAGACACACAATGTTTATTTTATATGCCAACAGTTGATGTTTTTTTTGCCACATTTTACAGACTTCCTCTACCTGGCCATGGTTTGTGGTGTGGCCCAGTCGGCCTGGTCTCTCATGCCATTCAACTCTGCACGCTACAATTTGAATGAGAGAGTAGAGTGCGTCGTTGGATTGATCAGACTTGGTTTGAGTTTTTTCTTTTGCGTATACTCTGCCAATGTTAAAGCATCGTAATAGAAAATATTGAATGTTTGAGAAGTGGAACTATAGATAGTATACCGTTATGTACATGAGAAGTCAGCCTGGCCTCAGAGCAATACGAAATATACTTTACGTATTTCTGAGCACCTCCAAGACGTATGATACCTACTAATGGTCTAGTTACTTGAGACAGAAACTAAAGTAGGGAGGATGGGTGGGCGTAATCCGCGACAGTCTAGCAATCCAAAGGTTGCATGTTCAAGACGCGTCAGGGACAACTGTAGCATTTTAGCTAACCCTTATTGTAAACGTAACCCAATTCACCTAACCTGCTATGTAAATCCACCCAACTTATGTCATTAGTTCCCCTAACTGCCAACGTTAATTCTCTGTTATGGTGCAACAAGCAAACTGGTCTCCGATAAAGATGTATGATACGTCATGTCTTCCAATTCGTATGCTATTGCATGACCGGGTAAGACGTATGATATTATACGTCCTCTAATTCATATCATATTGTACGACTGCTATTCCATTCATAATGTAGCTTAACATAATTGTTGTCACAGATTTATGTACAGAATAATACGAATAGCCCTGAGACCAAGTTGGACAGGTTGTAGGCACATGCCTTTTTATTGATCAATCAAGTATAAATGAACTGTAGAAGGATTTGTGAAACAAGAACATTTACACATTTTGTGCCCAAGACCTCTAATAGCTGCCTCAAAAGGGCAAGCGATATGAATGAATTGATTTCTTATTGTTTAAAATGATATCACTATGTTTAGTAATTATATTAGTTATTCCTTAGATGGCATTTTACAGATGTACTGTTTTCAATATTTGTTTGGTGCAGTAATGGCCATTTCATCCGCCAAAGTGAAGTGCCCCGGAGTAGTGGAGTTCTCCATTTAGCGAGGTGTTTGAGACCTTGCTTTGAATAGTTAACACATTGCTCTTTGTTTCTGATCTGGAGTTTTAGCTATAGTACAACATATACGATAGGCTACAATCACAGGAGGTTGGTGGCACCTTAATTGGGGAGGATGGGCTCGTGGTAATGGCTGGAGTAGAATAGTATCAAACACATGGTTTCCATGGTTTCCAGGTGTTTGATGCCATTCCTTTCGCTCCGTTCCAGACATTATTATGAGCCGTACTCCCCTCCGCAGCCTCCACTGGCTACAATCCATTTTAAAAGGTGCAAATATGACTAACTGAACAATATCTGTCTTATTTGGAAAAATATATAGGGGTATCTACTATTTCAAGTTAAACTTTATTTGTCACATGCTTTGTAAACAACAGGTGTAGACTAACAGTGAAATGCTCACTTATGGGCCCTTCCCAACAATGTAGAGATAAAGAAAATGGATGGATTCCAGGCTGGTTCCTTGGAAGCCTGATTTGGATACTGTGGGCAATACAATCTCTGTAAGAGACTTCTCAAAGCCTGTTATTAATGTGCTGAGATCCTGTACATGTTGAGAGCAGGGCTTGTATTTATAGAGTGCCTCAGAGTAGGAGTGCTGATCTAGGATCAGGTTCCCTTGTCCATATAACCTTATTCATTATGATCTCAGTGATCCTAGATCAACACTCCTACTCTGAGAGGCTTTATGAATACAGGCCCAGTTTTATCGATGGTAGGGACTAAAAAGGATATCATTTGGAGTTGAGATGCTGCATACATGTACTGAATGGGCGATGTTGTTAGACTGAAATAGATTATATGTAGACCAATGAATGACTTATTCAATTGTATTTCTCATTGCCAAACATCTATAAGTGTAATGAGTTGAAATGGTTCAGAATAAACCTCAACTTTGACTGAATACCTACCAAATATGCCCTAGGTGAGATAGTCACCAGGAAAAAGTATTTCTGTAATCAACCAGCACCACCTTGAGGCCAATGATTGTCTCTGTAGGGAGAAATCAAATGAAAGTCAGCAGTTTGTATAATATAATTCTCTCTCTCTCTATATGCCAATGTATTTCCTGAAATAAAAAAAAATACATTTTGGGGGGAAGGGGGTAGGCCCCTATAACATTAGTGATCTATGACCTTATCACTAACCCAGTATTCTCTGTTGGGCCATTGTGTTCCTGGTATATTTTCAACTGTACAATACAATCACTGGATGGTGTTTCAGCCAACAACACTATTTTAAACGTTTGATTGTTTTCTTCATGTCAGCTACCTCTGTGATTGTGAGTGGACTTGATGTTGTTCCAAGGCAGATGCTGAGCAGATGCGTAGATTATATTTCCTATTCTTACCAAAAAAGATAGGAATTTGATGGGTTGGCAATGTTGCTATAAAACAGCCAGGCCACACAGAAGCATACTGGTAGTTTCTGATATAAAGATTCTGTAGCTCCTATGTAAGTTCACTCTGTTTGATACTTTTGGCTTTTTTCCCCCTCATCCTTTTTTCAAATATTTGATTTCAAACCGTGTTATTTTCTGCTGTATTTCACCATACTGTAACTTAGTATCAGGTTGGACTTGAACCGGCAGCTTTGATGAAAATGTAGCTACACGGGATTAGAACTATTCTGTGGAAACATTTCTCTCTTTACAGTGGACAAGACCAAAACATGATGAAATGGCATTTATGTACTTATGATAGTTTTTTTTCCAATTCCTGCACTTATTTAACTTTTAGCTCTGCGTTTTGTGTTAAGGAGAATACCAATTCCAGTTGCAGAAGACAGCCTGTACGTTAAACAATGTCTGGAACTCTGAATAACAGCAATGCAGATCAAATGTCTTGAAAGATGTAATAGTTTTCAAAGATTATAAAATGACTATGTAAAACATGTATTTTACTAAATTCTTCTCTATAATGGAAGGTATGGGAGGAAAGTCCATTACACCCCCCCCCCCCCCCCCAAAAAAAAATGCAAACAAAGCATTACAGATAATCTTTTTCTTTTATAAATTACTTCTGTAAAGGTGTATGCTTATCTATCATTAACCTATTTTATTTTGTCAGATTTATATTAAAATATGAAATAAAATTGATGAATTATAAGCTAATTCTTTGCTCTTGTATGGTTTATTCTTGGGCAGAAGATGGGTAAATCATGTTGTATTACACAAGCTGAAGGTTTGTTTTGACATGACTGATCTGGGATGAGCATCAGCTGCATCCGCTCAGAAAAATCAGTGGGATGGCTTGGCAGACATTACCCACTGAAATGATATTTAATCAATATTGCATAAACTGACTCACAACTCTTTATTATTGCATTGTAGCTACCAAGTGTTACCCTGGTGCGTCAGACCACATGGTATGGTTGAAGAGGCTGGGTCTGACAAATCGAGGCAAATCAACATTAGGCCTTCCCTTGAGCCCAGAACATCCTCTTTAACATTACTGCTCCTCTGCTCTAACCTTGTGAAACGAGACTAACTGCAATGTGAGATATTGCAAGATCACTCAGGTTTTATGAGGCTACCTTTCCTCTAATAATTTGACTTATGTTCTCTACAAGATATCCCTTCGTTGTAGTCAGAGAGAAATATGGCAGAACAATTATCCCTACCTTGAAATAGGTTATTCAGTACCATTAGCATTTCAGAGCAATTGTTTATTTTAAGGACTCATTCACAGGACTCAGCAGTTGGTTATTTTGTCATATGCCTACTCATGGTCATGAAGCACAAACCAGTTATGCTTTATAACCACCCATGGGACTTTGTCTGTGTGCGAGCAATGCTGGATCACTATCTTCTTTGGGGCAAATATAACATGACTATATCAACAAACGTTTTAATATTTGAGGAAATAAGATTGAGTGGTTTAAAGTTAGCCTCAAACGATGACCTGAGAAAAACCACAGTTGTGAGATTGGTCCTTATACTGTGCAAAAATATAAACGCAACATGTAAAGAGTTGGTCCCATGTTTCATGAGCTGAAATAAAAAATCCATGAAATGTTTCATACGCACAAAAAGCTTATTTCTCAAAAAAAAAAAAATGGCACAAATGTATTTACAGTGCATTCGGAAAGTATTCAGACCCCTTGACTTTTTCCACATTTTGTTATGCTATAGCCTTATTCTAAAATTGATTTTAAAAAAACAAATTATTCAATCTACACACTACCCCATAATGACAAAGCAAAAACAGGTTTAGACATTTTTGCAAACATATTACAAATAAAAAACGGAAATACCTTATTTACATAAGTATTCAGACCCTTTGCTATGACACTCAAAATTGAGCTCAGGTGCATCCTGTTTCTACAACTTCATTGGAGTCCACCTGTGCTAAATTAAATTGATTGGACATGATTTGGAAAGGCACACACCTGTCTATATAAGTTCCCACAGTTGACAGTGCATGTCAGAGCAAAAACCAAGCCAATTGGTCGAAGGAATTGTCCGTAGAGCTACGAGACAAGATTGTGTCGAGGCACAGATCTGGGGAAAGGTACCAAAAACAGCATTGAACAAAGTGGCCTCCATCATTCTTAAATGGAAGAAGTTTGGAAACACCAAGACTTCCTAGAGCTGGCCACTGGGCTTAACTGAGCAATCGGGGGAGAAGGGCCTTGGTCAGGGAGGTGACCAAGAACCCGATGGTCACTCTGACAGAGCTCCAGAGTTCCTCTGTGGAGATGGGAGAACCTTCCAGAAGGGCAACCATCTCTGCAGCACCCCACCAATCAGGCCTTTAAGGTAGAGTGGCCAGACGGAAGCTACTCCTCTGTAAAAGGCACATGACAGCCCGCTTGGAGTTTGCCAAAAGGCACCTAAAGGACTCCGATCATGAGAAACAAGATTCTCTGGTCTGATGAAACCAAGATTGAACTCTTTGGCCTGAATGCCAAGCATCACGTCTGGAGGAAACCTGGCACCATCCCTACGATGAAGCATGGTGGTGGCAGCATCATGCGGTGGGGATGTTTTCCAGCAGCAGGGACTGGGAGACTAGTCAGGATCGAGGGAAAGATGAATGGAGCAAAGTACAGAGAGATTCTTGAGCGCTCAGGACCTCAAACTGGGGTGAAGGTTCACCTTCCAACAGCACAACGATCCAAAGCACACAGCCAAGACAACGCAGGAGTGGCTTCGGAACAAGTCTCTGAATGACCTTGAGTGGCCAGCCAGAGCCCGGACTTGAAGCCTATCGAACGTCTCTGGAGAGACCTGGAAATAGCTTTGCAGCGACGCTCAACATCCAACCTGACAGAGCTTGAGAGGATCTGCAGAGAAGAATGGGAGAAACTCCCCAAATACAGGTGTGCCAAACTTGTAGTGTCATACCCAAGAAGACTCGAGGCTGTAATCGCTGCCAAAGATGCTTCAACAAAGTACTGAGTAAAGGGTCTGAATACTTATGTAAATGTGAAAATTTCAGTTTTTTATTTTTGATAAATTTTCACAATTTTTATAAAACCTGTTTTTGCTTTGTCATTATGGGGTACTGTGTGTAGATTGATGAGGGGGAAAAAACAATTTCATCTATTTTAGAATAAGGCTGTAACGTAACAAAATGTGGAAAAAGACAATACTTTCCGAATGCACTGTTCATCCCTGTTAGTATTTCTCCTTTGCCAAGATAATCCATCCACCTGACAGGTGTGGCATATCAAGAAGCTGATTAAACAAAAGTATCGTTACATAGGTGCACCTTATGCTGGGGACAAAAGGCCATTCTAAAATGTGCAGTTTTGTCACACAACACAATGCCACAGATGTCTCAAGTTTTGAGGGAGTGTGCAATTGGCATGCTGACTGCAGGAATGTACACCAGAGCTGTCGCCAGAGAATGTAATGTTAATTTCTTTATCATGAGCCGCCTCCAACGTCGTTTTAGAGGATTTAGCAGTACGTCCAACCGGCCTCACAACCGCAGACCACATGTAACCACGCCAGCCCAGGACCTCCACATCCGGCTTCTTCACCAGCGGGATCGTCTGAGACCAGCCACCCAGGAAGATGAAACTGTGGGTATGCACAACAGAAGAATTTCTGCACAAACTGTCAGAAACCGCCTCAGCGAAGCTCATCTGCGTGCTCGTCGTCCTCACCAGGGTCTTGACCTGACTGCAGTTCGGTGTTGTAACCGACTTCAGTGGGCAAATGCTCACCTTCGATGGCCACCCGCATGCTGGAGAAGTGTGTTCTTCACAGATTAATCCAGGTTTCAACTGTACTGGGCAGATGGTAGACAGCGTGTATGGCGTCATGTGGGCAAGCGGTTTGCTGATGTCAATGTTGTGAACAGAGTGCCCCATGGTGGTGGTGGGGTTATGGCAGGCATAAGCTAAAGACAATGAACACAATTGCATTTTATCAATGGCAATTTGAATGCACAGAGATACAGTGACGAGATCCTGAGGCCCATTGTCGTGCCGTTCATCCGCCGCCATTACCTCATATTTCAGCTGGATAATGCATGGCCCCGTGTCGCAAGGATCTCTAAAAAAAAAAAAAAAAAAAAAAAATCTCTACACAGTTCCTGGAAGCTGAAAATGTCCCAGTTCTTCCATGGCCTGCATACTCACCAGACATGTCACCCATTGAGCATGTTTTGGGATGCTCTGGATCGACGTGTACGACAGCGTGTTCCAATTCCTGCCAATATCCAGCAACTTCGCACAGCCATTGAAGAGGAGGGGGACAACAAATCCACAGGCCACAATCAACAGCCTGATCAACTCTGTGCGAAGGAGACGTGTCATGCTGCATGAGGCAAATGTTGGTTACACCAGATACTGACTGGTTTTCTGATCCATGCCCCTACCTTTTTTTAAAGGTATCTGTGACCAACAGATGCATATCTGTATTCCCAGTCATGTGAAATCCATAGATTAGGGCCTAATTAATTTATTTAAATTGACTGATTTCCTTATATGAACTGTAACTCAGTAAAATCTTTGAAATTGTTGCGTTTATATTTTTGTTCAGCGTATGTTCACAGGTTTTGTGTGCACCGAGTGGTGTTCCTTAAACTTTCTTCAATACCCTATACCAGAGTAGGGTGTTAAAGTCCCAATGCAGCCATTTTTATATCAATATAACAATTTCTGGTAACCTTACTGTAATTGATTTGCCAATAAAATCGACCAAAATAGCTTTTTAGCAAACAACTATTTCTCAAGCAAGAATTTTGCTGGGACTGTCTGGGAGTGATCTGATTGGGGAGGGGAAAACTGAAAAATAGCAGTTATTCAAATTGAGGTTAGGAACTCTTTATTATTGGTCTATTATCAAATTTACCACCATGGAAACCTGGAACTCCTGCCCATACAAAACGACTGATTAGAAAGTCCTGTGTAGATTTTTAACCAGCAACTATAACCAATGTTTCATCAGCTGTTGTACAAAATGATACAAAACACAGGGAAAACAGAATTTTGACTGCACTGGGCCTTTAATGCTGGTGCCAAAGCAATCAACACTATAAACAGATTGTATTTCAAGTCTGATAAATATTGTGAGGCCAGCAAAACATACACCATGAAAAGCCATTTAATCATCTGTTTTGGTCAATGTATTGCATCTTGGGGAAAAAGAAAAGGAAGAAATGCTATGATGTGTTAAGGCAGGGAATGTAGAGAGAGTTCAAACGGACTCAACTGTCTCAGTATTCATTTCATTGTATAATGATCATCCATATTTTGAATCTGTATCACAACAGGTCTTTGTACAATTGACTGTATTTAAAACGGACATATTTACAGTACATACGATAAAACATAATAGCTACACAATATTATTTGCAGCTTTTGTCAATTCTTAATTCTATTGCGACCCAATGCTAGAAATGTGAAATATGCAGTGTGCTCTGAGCCGTTATGTGTACATGGCTCCATGCAGATCTTCCAGTCTGTGTTCCCTCTGTTTTCTCCTGTCCTGTAACAGACAGAAATGCTCCATTTAGTAACGGGTTGACGCTGACCATTTCTGTGTCCCAAATGGCACCCTATTCACTATACAGATCACTACTTTGGTTTTGACCAGGGCCCATAGGGCACTACATAGTTAATAGGGTGCCATTTGGGACGCAAGTTTCAACTCTAAAAGGGAAAAGCACTTTGAATTTGATTTCCCATTTCACAGGATAATGACTGTGGATTATTATCGCTGATGCCCTAGTTCCACACCCACCTTGTCCTTCTTGAACTCTTCATACTCTGGATTGTCGGTTGGTAGCTCGAGGCGGCATAGCGGGCAAGAATTTGTCTGTGATGATAGACAGCAAGGGTTAGAGGAATTCATCAAGGGTTATAGCCTAGTGGTTAAGAGCGTAACCGAAAGGTCGCTGGTTCGAATCTCCAAGTTGACTAGGTGAAACATCTATTGATGTGCCCTTGAGCAAGGCACTTAACCCCAATTGCTCCTGTAAGTCGCTCTGGATAAGAGTGTCTGCTAAATGACTAAAATGTAAATGTTATACCCTGAGTGTACAAATCATTATGAACTCTTTCCATGACAGACTATCCAGGTGAAAGCTATTATCCCTAAGGTCGATGTCCGCGCCCGCATGGAAATCTAAATTAGCATAATAAAACAATCCCCATAAAAATCTGCCAGTTTAAGCTAGAGATATGTTTTTTTTGTTGCATTGGATGCGTCTCAATCCACAACATCCGCCTATGTCGCACTTGCGCATCTGCGGTGAAAGAGCTGGGGCAGTGTTTGTCAGACCATGAGACATCCCGAAAATCGGTCTTCTCACAAAATCCTCTGTAGCGTCCGAACGGTTTGGCAAACTATTATGACCACGCTACGGAAAGATGAGACTCTCACGAAGACGAGGGTGTTCTCCGTTTTGCTCTATGACCCCCACAAGCGTCTTGGAACTCGTCTGAAGTTGGTATAGCCGATCTGCCAACTTCTGTCTGTAGCGTCTGAACAGTTTTGGCTAAACACTAATATGACCTCTCTGTGGAAAGGTGAGACTCGTACGAACATGTCAGTTGTTTTGTACTAGGATGCCCACACAAGACTCGTTGCTGACAGGTGTATAATATCGAGCACACAGTAAAATTTCTGCCCTGCTAGAGCTGCCCCGGTCAACTGTAAGTGCTGTTATTGTGAAGTGGAAACATGTAGGAGCAACAACGGCACAGCCGTGAAGTGGTAGGCCACACAAGCACACAGAACAGGACTGCCTAGTGCTGAAGGGCGTAGCGCGTAAAAATCGTCTGTCCTCGGTTGCAACACTCACTACTGAGTTCCAAACTGCCTCTGGAAGCAACGTCAGCACAAGAACTGTTAGTCGGGAGCTTCATGAAATGGGTTTCCATAGCCGAGCAGCAGCACACAAGTCTAAGATCACCATGCGTCGGCTGGAGTGATGTAAAGCTCGCCGCCATTGGACTCTGGAGCAGTGGAAACGCATTCTCTGGAGTGATGAATAACGCTTCACCATCTGGCAGTCCGATGGACAAATCTGGGTTTGGCGGATACCAGGGGAACACTACCTGCCCGAATGCATAGTGCCAACTGTAAAGTTTGGTGGAGGAGGAATAATGGTCTGGGGCTGTTTTTCATGGTTCGGCTTGGGCCCCTTAGTTCCAGTGAAGGGAAATCTTAACGCTACAGCATACAATTACATTCTAGACGATTCTGTGCTTCCAACTTTGTGGCAACAGTTTGGGGAAGGCCCTTTCCTGTTTCAGCATGACAATGCCCCCATGCACAAAGCGAAGTCCATACAGAAATGGTTTGTCGAGATCGGTGTGGAAGAACTTGACTGGCCTGCAGAGCCCTGACCTCAACCGCATCAAACACCTTTGGGATGAATTGGAACGCTGACTGCAAGCCAGGCCTTATCGCCCACCATCAGTGCCCAATCTCACTAATGCTATTGTGGCTGAATGGAAGCAAGTCCCCACATCTAGTGGAAAGCCTTCCCAAAAGAGTGGAGGCTGTTATAACAGGAAAGGGGGGAACCAACTCCACATTAATGCCCATGATTTTGGAATGAGATGTTTGACGATATGGTGTCCACATACTTTTGGTCATGTAGTGTATATATGGCGACTGTGACAAAAATAAGGGGTTGAATACAAGAGTGTGCAAAGCTGTCACCAAGGCAAAGGGTGGCTACTTTGAAGAATCTAAAATCTAAAATATATTTTGATTTGTTTAACACTTTTTTGGTTACTACATGATTCCATGTGTTATTTCATAGTTTTGATGTCTTCACTATTATTCTATAATGTAGAAAATAGTAAAAATAAAGAAAAACCCTTGAATGAGTAGGTGTGTCCAAACTTTTGACTGGTACTGTATATTCTTTGATACTTCAAGGGGTCATAAAATTCTAAATCAAATGGCAAAATGATCCTTGGTATGACCTTGTTAAAACAATTCCATATAGCTTAGTAGACTACATGACCAAAAATATGTGTACACTTCATGACCAAAAGTATGCAGGTGTCCACATACTTTTGGTCATATAGTGTACAGTGCATTCGGAAAGTATTCAGACCTCTTCACTTTTTCCACATTTTGTTACGTTACAGCCATTCTAAAATGGATTAAATTAATATTAAAATCCTCATCAAGCTACACACAATACCCGATAATGACTAAGAGAAAACAGTCAAAAATAAGAAATACCATATTTACATAAGTATTCAGACCCTTTGCTATGATGCTCGAAATTGAGCTCAGTTGCATCCTGTTTCCATTGATCATCCTTGAGATGTTTCTACAACTTGATTGGAGACCACCTGTGGTAAATTCAATTGATTGGACATGATTTGGAAAGGCACACACCTGTCTATATAAGGTCCCACAGTTGACAGTGCATGTCAGAGCAAAAAGCAAGCCATGAGGTTGAAGGAATTGTCCGTAGAGTTCCGAGACAGGATTGTGTCGAGGCACAGATCTGGGGAAGGGCACCACAAAATGTGCAGCATTGAAGGTCCCCAAGAACACAGTGGCCTCCATCATTCTTAAATGGAAGAAGTTTGGAACCACCAAGACTCTTCCTAGAGCTGGCCTCCCGGGCCAAACTGAGCAATCAGGGGAGAAGGGCCTTGGTCAGGGAGGTGACCAAGAACCCGATGGTCACTCTGACAGAGCTCCAGAGTTCCTCTATGGAGAAGGGAGAACCTTCCAGAAGGACAACCATCTCTGCAGCACTCCACCAATCAGACCTTTATGGTAGAGTGGCCAGACGGAAGCCACTCCTCAGTAAAAGGCACATGACAGCCCACTTGGAGTTTGCCTAAAGGCACCTAAAGGACTCTCAGACCATGAGAAACAAGATTCTCTGGTCTGATGAAACCAAGATTGAACTCTTTGGCCTGAATGCCAAGCGTCACATCTGGAACAAACCTGGCACCATCCCTACGATGAAAGCATCATGCTGTGGGGATGTTTTTCAGCGGCAGGGACTGGGAGACTAGTCAGGATCGAGGGAAAGATCAACGGAGCAAAGTACAGAGAGATCCTTGATGAAAACCTGCTCAAGAGAGCTCAGGACCTCAGACTGGGGCGAAGGAAGGTTCACCTTCCAACAGGACAACGACCCTAAGCACACAGCCAAGACAACGCAGGAGTGGCTTTGGGACAAGTCTCTGAATGTCCTTGAGTGGCCAGCCAGAGCCCGGACTAGAACCTGATCTAACATCTCTGGAAATAGCTGTACAGCGACGCTCCCCATCCAACCTGACAGAGGTTGAGAGGATCTGCAGAGAAGAATGGGAGAAATGCCACAAAACAGGTGTGCCAAGCTTGTAGCGTTATACCCAAGAAGACTCGAGGCTGTAATCACTACCAAAGGTGCTTCAACAAAGTACTGAGTAAATGGTCTGAATACTTATGTAAATGTGATATTTCAACAACAACGAAAAATATACATTTACAAAAAATTCTAAAAACCTGTTTTTGCTTTGTCATTATGGGGTATTGTGTGTAAATTGATGAGGGAAAAAAACAACTTATTCCATTTTAGAATAAGGCTGTAACGTAACAAAATGTGGAAAAATCAAGGGGTCTGAATACTTTCCAAACGCACTGTATATATGGAGACTGTTCAGTGCCAAAAATAAGGGGTTAAATACATGTAAAAAATAATGTTTCCTGATATTTATTATTCCACTCAGATATAGGACAGACACCTCAGAACAAACTTTTTTTTTGGGTGGGGGGGGACTATCTGTTGTTCCATGTAGTGAATCTATTAATCAATGTGTTTGTATGGGCTGTTCTTTATGTTCTGTACACTCAGTGTATATTGCACTGAGTTCAGGTAATTAGTTCATTCATATTGTACATACCATCAAACCAACATGTGCAGAATTGATCTGTGTGTGTGTGTGTGACGATTCAGTGGCCAAGCCCTCACCTTCCCTAACCAGGGCAGGATACAACCAGAGTGAAAGAGGTGTTTGCAGGGCATCTCCCGCACTGTCTCCTGCTCCTCAAACTCCAGCAGACACACAGGACACTTCAGCCCTTTGTCTGGATGAGGGGGAGAGAGAGAGTTAAATCACACAGTCTGAAACATCCACAGACAATAGACTATACTTACAGACTGCAGAGGTAGTCTTGCGTGCAATTTTAATGAATTAAAATGAAATTAGCTACCACATGAGACAGCATCGTATTGCTCCCCAAAAAATGTGATAGTAGCCTATAATCCCAAAATGTTTTTCAAATGTAATTAGCTAGAGGGTAGCTTATGCGGGCTGCAGGACTCACCTGCTTGCTCTGGGGATATGACAACCACAGGTAAGGTTTGGACAGCTGTTTTAGCAGCTGGGGGAGGAAGACGCTGGTCCCAGTCCGATAGGTCAAACGCTCCTGAGTCAATGTCCAGGCCCTGCATCAAAGACCTACACAGAGGTCAACAGGCAATGTAACAGTATGTGGCGGTAATGCACCATAACGTTGGATGCCAACCGCCGAAGAACATGCAATGTCAGTCTCTCAGTGGCAGACAGTTGATGTAGGATATTGCATACAAAATACAGACTGGATTGTGTTCCATTTCTTGGGTTGTTAGCTAGTTAGTCAGGTAGATCTTTGATTCTCACCTGGCCAGTTCTAGTAGTGCATTCTGACGGTACTGTTCTTCGGGATTCGTTGGTTCACAGTCATGCTCATCAAAATAAGAAGCCATCTTCAGATTACAAATCTGTGGAACATCAAACTATTTTCCTTAGCCACATTAGCTAACTACTAGCTATACATGAAGCTAAGCTCATTTTAATCTTTTTGAACTGACTACAAAGAAATTGAGCAAAATGACACTGAAAGCTCAAGCTACCTTCCAATCTCGAGTTGATTCAATAATGTTAGCAAGCTAGCTAGCAACACAGTTAGCTAACTAGCTAATTTATTTAGCTAGCTAGCTAACCCCTATGCTGCTCAACCACTCTCTCATTGAGCTGTTTTAGCCAAGTTGTCGAATACACAGAAACGTCAATGAATATACTGTGCTATACTGCGACATCAAATTAAAGTCACACAAAAGTTGACTTACATTACCTGGGTTTTGTCATACCCTGAAATATGCAGCAGCTAGCTACACCACACTGTCATTCTACCGGGTATGACAATGCAACCTCACGTGACGTTTGTCAGTCCTATCACACGTTATGTGTGGGTGGGGTTTAGGATCTCGGTCCTCGCTCTCTCGCTCTCTCGCTCTCTCTCTCTCTCTCTCTCTCTCTCTCTCTCTCTCTCTCTCTCTCTCGATTCGATTCAATTCAATTCAAAGGGTCTTATTGACATGGGAAACATATGTTTACATTGCCAAAGCAAGTAAAATAGATAATAAATGAAAATGAAATAAACAATAAAACATGTATAGTAAACATTGCACGCAAAAAAGTTCCAAAGGAATATAAACATTTCAAATGTCATATTATGGCTATATACAGTATTGTAATGATGTGCAAATAGCTCAAATACAAAAGGGGAAATAAATCACCATAAATATGGGTTCTATTTACAATGGTGTTTGTGCTTCAGTGGTTGCCCTTTTCTTGTGGCAACAGGTCACAAATCTTGCTGCTGTGATGGCACACTGTGGTATTTTACCCAATAGATATGGGAGTTTATCAAAATTGGATTGTTTTCTAATATGGTCATACATTTGGAAGGAGATTAGGAAGTGCCACTCAGTTTCCACCTCATTTTGTGGGTAGTGTGCACATAGCCTGTCTTCTCTTGAGAGCCAGGTCTACCTACGGCGGCCTCCCTCAATAGCAATGCTCACTGAGTCTGTACATGTACATAGTCAAAGCTTTCCTTAATTTTGGGTCAGTCACAGTGGTCAGGTATTCTGCCACTGTGTACTCTCTGTTTAGGGCAAAATAGCATTCTAGTTTGCGCTGTTCTTTTGTTAATTCTTTCCAATGTGTCAAGTAATTTTATTTTATTTTTCTAATGATTTGGTTGGGTCTAATTGTGTTGTTGTTCTTGTCCTGGGGCTCTGTGGGGTCTGTTTGTGTTTGTGAACAGAGCCCCAGGACCAGCTTACTTAGGGGACTCTTCTCCAAGTTCATCTCTTTGTAGGTGATGGCTTTGTTATGGAAGGTTTGGGAATCGCTTCCTTTTCAGTGGTTATAAAATGTAATGGCTCTTTTCTGGATTTTGATAATTAGCGGGTATAGGCCTAATTCTGCTCTGCATGCATTATTTTGTGTTTTTCGTTGTATACTGAGGATATTTTTGCAGAATTCTGCATGCAGTCTCTCAATTTGGTGCTTGTCCCATTTTCTGAATTATTGGTTGGTGAAATAATATGCCATTTAGCAGACGCTTTTATCCAAAGCGACTTACAGTCATGTGTGCATACATTTTTTTACGTATGGGTGGTCCCAGGGATCGAACCCACTACCCTGGCGTTACAAGCGCTATGCTCTACCAATTGAGCTACAAAGGACCCCAGACCTCACAACCATAAAGGGCAATGGGTTCTATAACTGATTCAAGTATTTATAGCCAGATCCTAATTGGTATGTCAAATTGTATGTTCCTTTTGATGGCATAGAAGGCCCTTCTTGTGCAGATCGTTCACAGCTTTGTGGAACTTACCTGTGGCGCTGATGTTTAGGCCGAGGTATGTATCGTTTTTTGTGTGCTCTAGAGCAACAGTGTCTAGATGGAATTTGTATTTGTGGTCCTGGCAACTGGACCTTTTTTGGAACACCATTATTTTGTCTTACTGAGATTTACTGTCATGGCCCAGGTCTGACAGAATCTGTGCATAAGATCTAGGTGCTGCTGTAGGCCCTCCTTGGTTGGTGACACAAGCACCAGATCATCAGCAAACAGTAGACATTTAACTTCAGATTCTAGTAGGGTGAGGCCAGGCGCTGCAGACTGTTCTAGTGCCCTCACCAATTTGTTGATATACATATGTTGAAGAGGGTGGGGCTTAAACTGCATCCCTGTCTCACCCCACGGCCCTGTGGAAAGAAATGTGTGTGTTTTTTGCCAATTTTACTGCATACTTGTTGTTTGTGTACATGTATTATATAATGTCATATGTTTTTCCCCAACCCCACTTTCCATCAATTTGAATAGCAGACCCTCTTGCCAAATTGAGTCAAAAGCTTTTTTGAAATCAACAAAGCATGAGAAGACTTTGCCTTTGTTTTGGTTTGTTTGTTTGTCAATTAGGGTGTGCAGGGTGAATACGTGGTCTGTCGTACAGTAATTTAAAAGGCCAATTTGACATTTGCTCAGTACATTGTTTTCACTGAGGAAATGAACTAGTCTGCTGTTAATGATAATGCAGAGGATTTTCCCAAGGTTGCTGTTGACGCATATCCCACGGTAGTTATTGGGGTCAAATTTGTCTCCACTTTTATGGATTGGGGTGATCAGTCCTTGGTTCCAAATATTGGGGAAGATGCCAGAGCTAAGGATGATGTTAAAGAGTTTAAGTATAGCCAATTGGAATTTGAGGTCTGTATATTTTATCATTTCATTGAGGATACCATCAACACCACAGGCCTTTTTGGTTTGGAGGGTTTGTATTTTGTCCTGTAGTTCATTCAATGTAATTGGAGAATCCATTGGGTTCTGGTAGTCTTTAATAGTTGACTCTAAGATTTTCAGTTGATCATGTATATTTATTTGCTGTTTGTTCTTTGTTATAGGGCCAAAAAGATTGGAGAAGTGGTTTACCCATACATCTCCATTTTGGACAGATAGCTCTTCGTGTTGTTGTTTGTTTAGTGTTTTCCAATTTTCCCAGAAGTAGTTAGAGTCTATGGATTCTTTAATTACATTGAGCTGATTTCTGACATGCTGTTCCTTCTTTTTCCGTAGTGTATTTCTGTATTGTTTTAGTGATTCACCATAGTGAAGGCGTAAGATCAGGTTTTCTGGGTCTCTATGTATTTGGTTGGATAGGTTTCTCAATTTCTTTCTTAGGTTTTTGCATTCTTCATCAAACCATTTGTCATAGGGAAGCTGAGAGGTCAAATATACTGTTTAGGTTTTCTACTGCCATGTTTACACCTTCACTATTACAGTGGAACGTTTTGTCCAGGAAGTTGTCTAAAAGGAGTTGAATTTGTTGTTGCCTAATTGTTTTTTGGTAGGATTCGACACTACTTTCCTTCCATCTATAGCATTTCTTAATATTTTTCAGTTCCTTTGGCTTTGATGTCTCATGATTGAGTATTGCTCTATTCAAGTAGACTGTGATTTTGCTGTGGTCTGATAGGGGTGTCAGTGGGCTGACTGTGAACGCTCTGAGAGACTCTGGGTTGAGGTCAGTGATAAAGTAGTCTACAGTACTACTGCCAAGAGATGAGCTATAGGTGTACCTACCATAGGAGTCCCCTCGAAGCCTACCATTGACTTGTTGGTTATGTTGTCATAGTTGTGCCTAGGGGGCCATATGGGGGAGGGAATGCTGTCACCTCCAGGTAGGTGTTTGTCCCCCTTTGTGCTGAGGGTGTCAGGTTCTTGTCCATTTCTGGCATTTAGGTCGCCACAGACTAGTACATGTCCCTGGGTCTGGAAATGATTGATTTCCCCCTCCAGGATGGAGAAGCTGTCTTCATTAAAGTATGGGGTTCTAGTGGGGGGATATAGGTAGCACACAGGAGGACATTTTCTTCTGTTGAGATAATTTCCTTTTGAATTTCTAGCCAAATGTAAAATGTTCCTGTTTTGATTAATTTAATAGACGTAGTTAGGTCTGCTCTATACCAAATTAGCATACCCCCTGAGTCCCTTCCCTGTTTCACACCTGGTAGTTTGGTGGATGGGACTACCAGCTCTCTGTAACCTAGAGGGCATCCAGTGGGTCCGTCTCCTCTATACCATGTTTCTTGTAGGATGACAATGTCTGTATTTCCGATTTCTTTGGTGAAGTCCAGGTTCCTGCTCTTTAGGCCAAAGGCAGGTGACCTCAGGCCTTGGATATTCCAGGATGATATAGTGAAGGCTTTGTGTTCCATAAAGTGTCCATAATGTTGTTGGTCGTGTGGTTTGGCCTCAGGCCAGTAATTGTGAGCAGTGCCTGCTGAGCATCTGGTACATGCCATTGGCTTGGGCTAGTGTAAGAGTGGGGGTTGGGCCTGTTTGCATGCTCACGGCCTGGGCGTATGTGTGACTTTCATGTTGAGGCCCTCTTTGCGGGAGTGGGCATGGGGTGGGTAGGAGGGGCATAGGTCTGATCTGAGGGGGCCTAAATGGGGTGTGGGCATGGTTGACTTGGTGGGGTGTTAATTGGTGGGGGTGTAGATGTGGCTGATGGTACTGTGGTCTGGATGTAGGTCCTCTTGGCGGGGGTCCTCTATGTGTAGGTCCGGGGGGGTCCTGGAGGTCTGGGAGAATGTCTCGCTGATCTGGGCGGGGTGTCTGTTGGTCTGTTGCTCCTGTGTGAGGTGTTGGGTCTGCGGTTGAGGGCGATATCCTTTAGGGTCCAGGCGAATGGCTGTGATGTCGAGGCTATGGTCAGGGTCTACTGTTCTGCTGTGGTGTCGAGACTTTGGCCAGGATCTGAGGTGGGCTGTTCTGCTGGCTTCTCTGCGTGGGTGGCCAGCACTCTAATGGATTGTTCTCTGTCACCCGTCATCATTCTCACATTCTCCTCCTGCACTCTGATCCTCTCCTCTAGTGCTCTGTTGTTCTCCTGTTGATGTTGTCTCACCATCGTCCAGACATGTCTCTCTCTACCTCAGGGGGTGTTGTTGTCTGGGTCTGTGCTGTCTGGAGTGTGTTCACCTGCTGTTCCAGCACCACCTGCCTTACCTCCAGCTGGGTGAATGTATCCTTCATTTCAGTGAGTCTCTCTCTCTCTCTCTCTCTCTCTCTCTCTCCTCTCTCTCTCGCTCTCTCTCTCTCTCTCTCTCTCTCTCTCTCTCTCTCTCTCTCCTCTCTCTCTCTCTCTCTCTCTCTCTCTCTCTCTCTCTCTCTCTCTCTCTCTACTCTCTCTCTCTCTCTCTCTCTCTCTCTCTCTCTCTCTCTCTCTCTCTCTCTCTCTCTCTCTCTCTCTCTCATTGACTGAAAGTGGGGCTGCTTTATGATATTTCTTAACACTGTCAGTTGCTGTTTATGTACACACAATTCAAAATAAAAATTATCTGGAGATATATTTGGTCAATTCCTTTTTATTTTACAATGCACTACAGTTTTACATATATATTTGAAATAGTAGTAAGACAAGGGTAAACAACAACAGGGCAAGGAAAGTCTGTAACAAATTGAAAATACAAAAAACGGATATGGGACAGGTGAAAATATAATGTGATTTCTCAGCTGTAGGCTAATGAATTACACATGAAATATAAATATTCACACTGCATTACCCAAATTGGCCTCAAACATAACAGCGTTTTATATACATATCCAAAATTAAGTTCATTTTTGTATATTTATTTTGACCGTAAAAAGGAAGAATGAAATTATGAAAATAAATTACTCATTTCATTTCATGATAAATATAATTCTGTGATGTCCCCTTACAGCTTACATGGAATACTTTGAAACAGTCACACAATTCATCCAATGGGGATTTTTTACATTCCAAAGGCACAATATGTTTTATTTGAATTGACAAAACATTCACCTATACCAAATCTTATGGTGAGGCTGAAGCATTTCTGAGTATGACTGTGAAACCAGTGAGCCTGACCAACTAGGGCCAGTTGAAGACGATACCGAATGTGGAAGCAGCTGAGCTAGTGATGGTACCATTTCATTCAACGATCTACACACAGAGCACAGAGCCTGAAATGCCTCTAAAAACAAACAATATCACAGATGGCATTGAAAGGTCAACCCACAAAACCTTGTTTGAGCTCAGGTGGAAAACCTACAGCCTGAGTGCCAGTCTGTTTGTGCCATCATCATGCCAACACCTTGTCACTCATTATCATGCCAAATGTTTGGCTTGACAATGACAGCAATGTATTTGACAAAAGCACAAACAGAGTGCTAGAAAACCTCTTTCTTTATCTACATCCACTATTTCTGTCTGATTGACTCCTTATTTCCTCTGAGGTCTCGCCTGCCCATGTCTCCATCCTCCATCTTCATTTCTTCCATGTCCTTTGCTCTGACAGACAGTCTAGGATCCTAAGGCCCTGAGGTGGGTTGCCCTGCAGCAGGTTGCTCTCTGTCATCAGAGCCAGACGCTAACCATGCAATAATCCCAATGATGATGGCTGCTATGACGACCCCTACGGCAATCAGCAACACTTTCATCTTCCTGTGTTCGTACCACTTCTGCTGTTTCACTTTCCGAGCAGACTTTGAGAAAGCCTTACTCTGAAAACACATCATTATAAGATGTTAAAAGTTAGTCCGATGTTAATGCCAAGACCCTATGCATTTATAGCTGTCTGAATATGGAGGGGGGGGGGGGGGTATTCTTTATATCTGCAATTGAGGCTGCGCTGCATTGTATATATTTTTAACTCCAGAAAGAAACCATTTAGTCATGAAACCCGCCATTTTCGGACAATTCGGTAGACAGAAGTCTTTAGTTACAGTGCACACTACTGTCCCAATGAATCTAGACTGGTGTATGTTTTTTTTGGCACTGCTCTTTTGTTTATCCCAGTGACCCAGTCAGCCGGCCAGCAAGTCCTCAGAGAACTATGGCTATGTCCCACATGGCACCCTATTCCCTATATAGTGCACTACTTTTGACAAGAGCCTCGTCAAAAGTAGTACACTATATAGGGAATAGGGTGCAATTTGGGACACAGCCACAGTCAGCCGCCCAGTGCGTTCTCAGAGAACTACAGTGCATTCGGAAAGTATTCAGACCCCTTGACTTTTTCCACATTTTGTTACATTTCAGCCTTATTCTAAAATAGATTAAATTGTTTTTTTTCCCTCATCAATCTCCACACAATACCACATAATGACAAAGCAAAGACAGGTTTTATAAAATGTTTGCAAATTTATATTTAAAAAAAATTGAAATATCACATTTACATAAGTATTCAGACCCTTTACTCAGTACTTTGTTGAAGCACCTTTGGCAGCGATTACAGCATCGAGTCTTCTTGGGTATGACGCTAGAAGCTTAGCACACCTGTATTTGGGGAGTTTCTCCCATTCTTCTCTGCAGATCCTCTCAAGCTCTGTCAGGTTGAATGGGGAGCGTCGCTGCACAGCTATTTTCAGGTCTCTCCAGAGATGTTCGATCGGGTTCAAGGTCGGGCTCTGGCTGGGCCACTAAAGGACATTCAGAGACTTGTCCCGAAGCCACTCCTGCATTGTCTTGGCTGTGTGCTCTCGTTGTCCTGTTGGAAGGTGAACCTTTGCCCTAGTCTGAGGTCCTGAGCGCTCTGGAGCAGGTTTTCATCAAGGATCTCTCTGTACATTGCTCCGTTCATCATTCCCTCGATCCTGACTAGTCTCTCAGTCCCTGCCGCTGAAAAACATCCCCACAGCATGATGCTGCCACCACCATGCTTCACCGTAGGGGTGGTGTCAGGTTTCCTCCAGACGTGATGCTTGGCATTCAGGCCAAAGAGTTCAATCTTGGTTTCTTCAGACCAGAGAATCTTGTTTCTCATGGTCTGAGAGTCCTTTAGGTGCCTTTTGGAAAACTCCAAGCGGGCTGTCATGTGCCTTTTGCTGAGGAGTGGCTTCCGTCTGGCCACTCTACCATAAAGGCCTGATTGGTGGAGTGCTGCAGAGGTGGTTGTCCTTCTGGAAGGTTCTCCCATCACCACAGAGGAACTCTGAAGCTCTGTCAGAGTGACCATTGGTTCTTTGGTCACCTCCCTGACCAAGTCCCTTCTCTCCCGATTGCTCAGTTTGGCCGGGCGGCCAGCTCTAGGAAGAGTCTTGGTGGTTCCAAACTTACATTTACATTTTAGTCATTTAGCAGACGCTCTTATCCAGAGCGACTTACAGTTAGTGAATACATTTTTATTTTTATTATTTTTTCATACTGGCCCCCCGTGGAAATCGAACCCACAACCCTGGCGTTGCAAATGCCATGCTCTACCAACTGAGCTACATCCCTGCCGGCCATTCCCTCCCCTACCCTGGGCCAATTGTACGCCGCCCCATGGGTCTCCCAGTCGCGGCCGGCTACGGCAGAGCCTGGATTCGAACCAGGATCTCTAGTGGCACAGATAGCACTGCGATGCAGTGCCTTAGACCACTGCACCACTCAGGAGCCAACTTCAAACCACTGTGTTCTTGGGAACCTTCAATGTTGCAGACATTATTTGGTACCCTTCCCCAGATCTGTGCCTTGATATAATTCTGTCTCGGAGCTCTACCTCATCACTTGGTTTTTGCTCTGACATCCACTGTCAACTGTGGGACCTTATATAGACAGGTGTGTGCCTTTCCAAATCATGTCCAATTAATAGAATTTACCACAGGTGGACTCCAATCAAGTTGTAGAAACATTTCAAGGATGATCAATGGAAACAGGATGCACCTGAGCTCAATTTCGAGTCTCATAGCAAAGGGTCTGAATACTTATGTAAATAAGGTATTTCTTAAAACCTATTTTTGTTTTGTCATTATGGGATATTGTGTGTAAATTGATGCAAAACATTTTTACATCTATTTCAGAATAGGGCTGTAACGTAACAAAATGTGTAAAAACTCAAGGGGTCTGAATACTTTCCGAATGCACTGTATGTGGTTGTTGTAATGTAACAGTCTGGCTGGGGAGTGATGTGGGAACGCTGTGGTTGGTTGACCCCAGGGTTGACCAGGACGAACATGCGCCCTGTGGCATGTCCTGGACACCCCTCTCTCAATACCGAGGGAGACCAGTGGGTTTCATTAATCTTACAACAATAGGAAATACCTTTCTAAAAAGATCACCGTAAACCACAATCAGGATGTAAATTGTACATTATTTAACCCCTCCAACTCCACCTAACGTGTATTATAGACAGCAATATGACATTTCCTGGCTATTCCCTGGACTTGTATGGAACCATGTAACATTCGAAAATTACCATGAGGCACACCAAAGGAGAATTCCAAAGGAGAACCCTTTTGTGCTTATTGTGTCTCTCTGAAATGCACCTAAGGTTTTACCAGTATTATAGCATTGCAATCATCAAAGTATGGCCTTCAAAGTCTGTATCTTCAAATTATGTATGTGTTTTGTATTAAGTCATGATTTGATTCCATTAAGACGTCTCTTATTACGCCTCTTAATATAGTGTACGTCTCAAATGGCACCTTATTCCCGATATAGTGCACTACTTTTGACCAGAGCCCTATAGGCCCTAGTCAAAGGTAATAGACTATCAAGGAATAAGGAGCCATTTGGGGCGCACCCATAAAGTACAACAATTACCTTCTCCAGAAGTTCGTCTGCCCTGTTATCAAGATCTCTCAGCTTGCCTGACCTCTCGGCAGCATTGTTGAGGTTATCTAGCATGATCACCTTCACCTCCTCCACCTCATCCTGGGCCTGCTGCAGGCGGTTCTTCCCATTCTCCTGAACACACAACAAACAAGTTGGGGTTAATGGAAGATAAATCATGGTAAGGCCACAGGACTTAGTTGGAACCACTTCTGATTTTGTGTTAATTTGATGTATGGTTTATTTGAATAGGGGCAGGTAGGAACACATTGATTGACACAATGAATAAGCAATCATCGTAAACACCATAGTGTGTGTAGCTCACACAAAACATTTTCAACATCTGTCCCTATCTTTGTGTCACCATGTTACAGGTTATATGTTATATGTTTTATGTTTGTGTAACCTATGCAGTGGTTAACAACAGTGCATTGTTTGCAGTAACATTAATAATTAGTCATTATGGCTGAGAGATTAAGCTTCCATAGGGAAAACAAGACAGTACAGGAAGATGACGGCCAACAACTGAACTGGGGCAGGTGAGCCTGGACATCTGGATGACATTTCTTTTTTTAGTGATCCAATTGACATTTTAGTCATTTAGCAGACGCTCTTATCCAGAGCGACTTACATTTAGTGAGTGCATACATATTTCATACTGGCCCCCCGTGGGGGGGGTTCTGACTTGGAGGGTTCTGTTAACTGTAAGCTCTGAAAGTCTGGAGGAACATGGCGGCACGCTACAGCTCTCCAAACATATAACCAGTTTAGCCTGGGGCAACAAAGGTTGAGCAAACCACTGTGACAATGACACTCTTGCATGCCACCAAAATCCACTATAGCGGCCACATCCTAACTGTGAGATGTGTGCGCTTCAATTAATTTTCAAGTAAGTAATGTATTGATATCAATGGAAGGCTTGAGTGGAAACTCACAAATCTCAAGATAGGATTCAGGCCTACATGTACTGTAGGTGAATAAGAAGGCCTACTAAAAACAGGATATTTAGGCAGTATAATAATAGGCTGAACATAACATCATTTATATCCTGACGGAACTGTCCCTGACCTTTTTCCCTCTGTGCCGGATTGGGAAGTGAGTGCTTCAGTAGTCAAGGATGCTGACTGTGCTGACACTTACAGGAAACAAAGAGAGCGAACAAAACAAGTACAATCTCAGTGAGTCTGGTGATTTCATATTTCACTGTCATTAATTCTTCGACACATCCATTCAGACTCACACAACCGGAATGAGATATGGCGAGGTTAGAACACTAGTTCAGTGCCCTCGTAATGATAAGTTAGGACTAGCAGTTATACATCATGAGTTATACAAGCTTTAATGAAAGGACGATTACTTTCCCATTTGTATTTACTATTACAGCTGTCATATGTTGGCTGGGCTCCCTGCCTGTGCCATTAAACCCCTACAACTCATCCAGAATGCCGCAGCCCGTCTGGTGTTCAACCTTCCCAAGTTCTCTCACGTCACCCCGCTCCTCCGCACACTCCACTGGCTTCCAGTTGAAGCTCGCATCTGTTACAAGACCATGGTGCTTGCCTATGGAGCTGTGAGGGGATCGGCACCTCTGTACCTTCAGGCTCTGATCAGTCCCTACATCCAAACGAGGGCATTGCGTTCATCCACCTCTGGCCTGCTGGCTCCCCTTCCTCTGCGGAAGCATAGTTCCCGCTCAGCCCAGTCAAAACTGTTCGCTGCTCTGGCACCCCAATGGTGGAACAAGCTCCCTCACGACGCCAGGACAGCGGAGTCACTCACCACCTTCCGGAGACATTTGAAACCCCAACTCTTTAAGTAATACCTGGGATAGGATAAAGTAATCCTTCTACCCCCCCCCCCCCCCCCCCCCCCCCCTAAAAAAAATAAAAAAATATATATATATAGATATTGTAAAGTGGTTATCCCACTGGCTATAGGGTGAATGCACCTATTTGTAAGTCGCTCTGGATAAGAGCGTCTGCTAAATGACGTAAATGTAATGTAAATGTAAATATGGGCGGCAGTTAGCTTAGTGGTTAAGAGCGTAGTGCCAGTAACCGAAAGGTCGCTGATTCTAATCCCTGAGCCAACTAGGTGAAAAATCTGCCGATGTGCCCTTGAGCAAGGCACTTAATTAATTGCTCCTGTAAGTCGCTCTGGATAAGAGTGTCTGCTAAAATGTAATATGGTGAATAGGCTATTGGATTTAAACATAAACTTTGAGGATATGCATTTCACTGTTTTAGTTCACCCCACCAATTAAGTTTTCATAGCTGAGCAATAGTCTGTGTTTAAAAATCAACCGGCGACAAAATCTTAACACAGGAACTGCTGCCTTTTCCATTTCTCCTCCTTGCTTCCTTCCTCCCTTCACTCCCTTCCTCACTCACTCCAGCCTCAATGAGAGTACCTGGCATTTAGCTAGGAAACCCCCTCTCACAAATCAACAATATGTATTTTTACATGTCTAGTCCAATCAAGCGGACAGGGATAGTCTGCTCTTCCACTTTACAGATATTTATAGGATAGACTAACAGACTTGGGTCTATAACTGTTATCCACAGAATACACATAGTAATTTCATCAACTAGCATAATAAAACACATCTAACCATTTCAGTTTGGTTGATTGAGTGCTACTCTAACTTATTAACCTGACCCTCTAATGACACTCACAAACCATTTTCATAAATACTCACGTGGTCTGTATAAAATAATCTATTTGCATGAATTTGTTTATTGTGTATGATCTCGCATAAATCAAATCCAAAACTAAAAGAAACATGATTATTTAAAAGTCAAATTAACTGTAGCACATGGTCTTTAAATAAGGTGTAGGTTACATAAAATCAGTCAAGTTCAATGTGGGAAAACGGTCTAATGTAATTCAATGCCAGCTGTAGCCTAATGTAGTGACAGTAACAAAAAAAAATGCTTCTTAGCCTACAGGTACTGTATGTGCAGTGGTGTAAAGTACTTAAGTAAACATACTTTAAGTACCCAAAAGTACTTGTTACATTTCGAATGCTTAGCAATTCTCCTGTAGCTCAGTTGGTAGAACATGGGGCTTGCAACGCAAGGGTTGTGGGTTCGTTTCCCACGGCGGGCCAGTATGAGAAATGTATGCACTCACTAATTATAAGAGCATCTGCTAAATGACTAAAATGTCAATTAGCAGGACAGGAAAATGGTCCAATTCACGCACTTGTCATCCCTACTGCCTCTGATCTGGCAGACTCACTAAACACAAATGCTTTGTTTGTAAATGATGTTGGAGTGTACCCCTGGTTATCCGTAAATGTTAAAACAAGAAAACCGTGCTGTCTGGTTTGTGAAATTAGTTATACTTTTACTTTTGATACTTAAGTATATTTTAGCAATTACATTTACTTTTGATACTTAAGTATATTTAAAACCAAATACTTTTAGACTTTTACTCAAGTAGTATTTTCCTGGGTGACTTTCACTTTTACTTGAGCCATTTTCTATTAAAGTATCTTTACTTTTACTCAAGTATGATCATTTGGTACTTTTTCCACCCTGTGTATGTGCAATAGAGGTGCAGAAACTAAATTATGAAAACGTAAACATATAAATATACTATTTTTTATTATTTCATTTGCTGAAAATAAAAATATCTAAACTTACCATTGCTCTCCCGTCACTGTCTCTATTCCTGTCCAAAGCTGTCACCGAACCCAATGCATTGAGAGGCGCGTCTTGTCATAAACGTTTGTGTCAGAACAAATGTTGCGTTTATCCAAGATGGTTTTCAGATATCACAAACTTATCTCATTTGCAGTTGATTACAGTTAGTTTCTATCTTTCTTTTAGTCGATATTCTTTATTTTTCCTGGTCTGGTCACGCTTTCACTGCAGTCTGCTGGTCGGGTCGGGTCGGGTGACACCCTCCCACACTACTACCGACGTCGCGGCCTTACGTCACTGTATTTAAATGATGGGGTATTTGACGTTCGATCAGACTTCCGAGGTGAAAGGGAAACAATTTACACCTCGCCTATACCATTTAAACATCTACTAGGCTATTGAAGAGTCTTGTAAATTATATATACAATTGGTCCAGGGTAGGGGAGAGAATGGCCGGCAGGGATGTAGCTCAGTTGGTACAGCATGGCCTTTGCAACGCCAGGGTTGTGGGTTCGATTCCCACGGGGGGGCCAGTATGAAAAATAAAAAAATCACTAACTCACTAACTGTAAGTCGCTCTGGATAAGAGCGTTTGCTAAATGACTTAAATGAAAACAAAAAAACACACAATATGAAATGTAAAATTTTAGGACAATTTGGCAGCCATTCAACAGGCTCCAAAACTCAAACAATGGGGTCCCTGTCTGTGTTCACTGTCACCAATGGCTCTGAAAACATGGTGTTATAGGCGACCGACTTCTATCCAAAATTCCTTGTTCTTCTAGTGTCCACCCTGTTCTGTTAATACTATTTTATCGTTCTAGCTGAACCCAAAGAGGTCAATGTGTGATGTCCTTACTCTAGTTATACTTCAGTTATAATACATAATAAATAACGCTAGCCATAAGAGTTACAGTTGATGAAAACCTACATTCCACTTATGACAACTGACATAACACAGTCATAATATTACACTTTTAAACAGGACATATAAGAGAGGAAGGGAGGAGTGGAGTAAGAGAGCACAAACCACAATTACAAAAAGAAACATGAAATTGAAAGTGAAGTAATACCAGTGAGAGGAAGTAGAGCTTTTCTCACAGTTAAATAAACAAAAAAATGTATATTCCATTTGCTAGGGACTGCCCAACATTGCAGTAGGGACTTGCAGTCTGAGTAATTTGATCACTGAGTTGAATGCACATTATTTTATTACTTCAGCAGGATTGTGAGACATAAAAGCAAAACAGGAACATGCATGTGAACGGAAACCACACCTTTTGTTAGAGTGCACTGTACATGTGTATGCTTGGTATGTTTGTAATCAAGGTCACGCAGGACATCTGTGGTCCTCCTATATGACATTAAAGCAACACTAACAATACGTTTTCATACATTTTCATTAACTGTCCTTTAACTGAAATTATAATAAAGAAAAAATAAATAGGTTACCTGGGGAGGCAGGATTTTCTCTGTATCGCCGCCATCTGTCAACATTGACTTAATGGTAAACATGAATAAGAGCTATAACCCTGGTTCCTTGCCTTGGCTTTATCAGAGCAGACTAGAACTGTGCCCAGGGTTGGGCCCCTGATTGTGTAGTGGGGCAGGGACGGACTGGGACCTCAAAGTGGCTAACACACTGCCCATTCTTTTCCCTTGAGACCCCATTATTAGGCCAATAATGATCATTATGCGCAAAACCCCCAATTTAGACTGGTCCACTTGGTTAAAGATGGACCGGCCCATCATGGCATTTACCCGAACTGCCCTATGGCCAGTCTGTTTCTGTACGAGGGCAGATGACAGCCACCACGTGAGGCTGTGCCATGTCGTGTGGTACTAAACAGACTCTCTCAGGCCCGGTTTACAATGGGTCACTTCTGGGTCCGCTCCACACCAACACAAAGAACATATTCAGTCCAGTCTGGCCTCCCTCTCCATCATTGTGTAATATGGAGAAATCAGGATGGTGTTATGCTGTGTTCAAAACAACTGGGAACTCGGAACTGGAAACTCTGAAACCTCCGACTTCCGACTTCAGTCTGTTCAAAACAACTGGGAACTCTGAAAAAAACAAGCTCCGACTGGGAAAAATCTATTTGAGCGGTCATCCAACTCGGAATTCCAACTCGGGAACTTGGGCCTCTTTCTACAGCTCCGACTTTCCGACCTGAAGATCACGTATTGATCTCGTATTTTTCAGAGTTCCCAGTTGTTTTAAACGCGGCATTAGTCACAGCAATATGACTTCCAAACAGAATCCGGACAGAATGCCTACTTACCATTTCCTGTCTAGTATAAATGGGCTCTCACTTTCTTACATTGGAATCTGTTGTTTCAGAAACACATGAGGATTGGTCATGTGTGTAAAGTTTAATGTGAGAAGCTCCATGTTAATATTATATGTGCATTTTTCATGCTTTGTTAAAAACCATCAGATTCATTGTTGGAGATAAACAAGAGTAAAGAGGATGTCAAATTTGAGTCAGTGGTATTGTGAAACATCATGTCATCAGATTTCCAACTGCTGTGATCCATCATACAGTACAACACTTGAGACATTGTGATTAAAGATTACATTGTAGATCACATCCAAGCAACCTCATCCCTCTTCCCGTCTGAGATCTGTGCTGTGAGATATCACACATTGATGGAGATTTGGAGAGGTCTATGCATGGTGACCCACGGTGTGGTCCATGCATGGTGTGTAAAAATGCTAAAAGTAAGCACTATTTAGGCCCACTGGAAAATCAAATATAGAGTCCAAGAAAATACTGTTAATGATTCCACCAAAGATACTAAATATTAGTTTAAAATATCAGGCAGAAACTCTCTGGTAACATTGACTGTTCTGGTAATGGCTCAACTATTCTGTTCTGCTAATTCACAAAGAAAGCACTTCAAGACTTCCTTGTTTCCCCTTATCTTATTGAGTGATCCCAGTAGTAAGAACACAGTAAAAACAATCTAAGTAATTTCCCATGGTCCTTTCAGCAACTCTACCAACCTCTTTGTGTTAGTGTACTGTGTCTTCCTCTTGTGACGCTATGATCAGGCAGAAACCATTTGAGATAACAGAGGAATTAACAAAATCACTGCGTGTGTAAATACTATTTATTGTATAATTAATCAGACATAATATGATTGAACTCCATCAATTAATCAATGAATGAAAAACAAAATAATATAATTCTATAGCAATTGAAACTGGCCCAAATTCCCAATAAATCCTACCGGTCTAAAATACAATTATATCTCTAACCCACATATCTACTGATAGGACTCTGTTTCCCACATTGCCAGAGGCAGGGGATTCAAATAGAGGTGTGACACTGAGTGGGTTAAATACAATCTTAAGGATGGGGGGGGGGGGGGGGGGAGAAAGTAACACATATGTTTCATCGGACTCTAGCGAGGCACATTATGGTGACAGCCTTATGATAAACAGCAAAAATATGGATTTGTCATACTTTTAATTAAAGAATTAAGGCAATATGTAATTTCAATAATTTCCCATTATACAAATATTGTAATAGGCATTTGAGGCATGTAGGTATTTTTGAATCCAAGCATGTAATATCATTCTCCTTCATTGATTTTGTTGATTAAAAACAACATTAATACAGTCATTTGAAAAAGAAAAAAGAAAAGATGTTCAGTAGGGATGAGAAAAATAAAACATGAATAAATAGCCTCAAATTAACCTAATTGTTACACTACTGGGATGGTTTAGGGCCCCATATGGGTGCTTTACAAATGTATATACAGGTAAGAAAACTATATACAAGCATGGGAGTTAACTCCTTGACCTCTCCAAAGCTTGGCTGGTATTGTAACATTGGAGTGGGCAGTTGGCTAAGTTAAAACGCACAAGTAGTTAAAGAATACAAGTAGGCCTACCAAAAGCTACTATGCAATTAACCGTTTTAATTTAGTTAAGATTTCATTATCTGGATGAATTAATTTGAGGGATGAAGGCTTAAGTGGGAAGAAATAGTTGAGCAATTGCTGAATTACAATTGATTTCAATTGATCTGAAAGCCATTGGCCTATTCTATGAGAGGAACACATTAACAAAGCTATGACATGGCTGACAGCAGTCCTAGGAGCTTGAGATATTCGTTTGGACCAGCAGGGGGAGTTGTTAGCTGTTCAATTCCACCTCTCTCACAGCAAGTTGACTGGAGTTAACCAGGGTTTCCAAGGCCTGAGTACAGGGACCATGAGAACCTTCATTGGGTCATGACAAGAGAGTTCCCGCAGTTTGTGTATGATGGATTATCAGGTCATGATAGAGGTCAAAAGGCTCTCATGCTTCTTCAGGTTCTCTCTCCATTCCCTCTTTCAATTCCCCCTTTCTTTCACTATACCATTGCAGCTAATTTTTCCCCATCTTTCAAAACAAAAAACCCCACTAACATCTTCTCTAGTAACCAGCTCAGCTAAAACACAGTGGGGAAAAACATTACTAGTTTGATATTTTAGTAGGTTTGGGAAGTGGGGGAACAGGGGAGCTGGTTGGGATGACGCCAGTGCTGAGCAGTACGATGATGAGGATTATGACGAGGACGATGACCACGATCACCACCCACAGCTTCATGTTCTTCCACCAGTAGGCGCGAGCCACCTTCTGGGACGTGTGCTTGAAGTCCTCAGCCTGAGGGAGAGATGGGATGCTACTAGGAACACGCTCACAGAAGTCCTACCATTTGCAGCGTTTTGCAGTAATCAATGCTTTGTAAACTGCAGATAGGTAGGCTACACATTTCAGCGAGTTTGTGGTCTGCAATTACATTTTTTTTTACATTTACACCTTGAACAAACCCACACCGTGGTTCACTCTTTAGGTCCATTGAATACTTTAGGTATCCATCATTGGATGTACTTTGGATGAACTATGACGTTATAGTAGATGTTAAGTGAGGACAAATTAATGCAGTGAGGAGCATATGATGAGGAGATATACAATGTAGAACAGAGATGTATAGAGATATGGAACAGTGCTGTAGGACTGACTGACCCCAGCCTGCAGGTCCTCTGACTTGCCCATCAGGTCGTCCAGCCTCTCTCCCCGGGCCAGGATCCGGTCCACGTTCTGGGTCATGATGTCCTTCACTCCCTCCACCTGAGACTGCAGGGTCCTCACCTTGTCCTGCTCCACCACCTCTCCCTGCTCCTGGAGACAGACAGACAGACATAGAGGGGGGCGAGAGAGTGTGAGAGAGGTCAATGACCAAAATACACTTCAGCAGCCATCCATCACGTGTTTTCATAAACTGAGGATATCTGTGTGAAATATAGACCATCAAGCCAAGGGTAAAGGACTCAAGTACTCAAACGCTGCTAATGGACTGACTGGGGTTATGGTGTAGCTTATTCCTATAAAGATTTATCAACAATCCATTAACAACAGTAAGAAGAGGACCCTGTGGGAAAGATTTACACCTGTATCACTTCTCAAATAACCTTTTACAGTCTAGTCAGAAGAATGTCCATCATATCTTTATGTCATATCTCCAAGTCATAGCTGCCTTTGAATGATCATGTAAGACCTGCACAAAAATAATAGATGCACACAAGATCCAATGGAGCATGTCAGGAATATATATTTCAAATAGGCACATTTAATTGACTGACAGTACATGTCTGAAGGTGTCTGTAAGGGAAATGCTCCATTTGACACACTCTATTTGACACCCAGAGCCAGTTAGCTTGCTGAAGAACTTCACTACACTTGAAGTGCAAAAGACTCAATTAGATGTTGCTGACGTGTTAGGCTTTGTATGTGAGACAAAGAGAAAGGAGTGAGTGTGCGTGTTGCAAAACATTTTCAAACCCCATGAGCAGGCTAACTGGCTCAAAAAACACAGGCGTCTCCAGGAAACTGTAAGCTTTGCTGCGTCACAACCTGGCTCCCTACCTCCCTCTTTTTTTCTCCTCTGTTCTCAGTCTCCTCCCTCATAACCTGCTTTCTCCCGGCACAGGGCTTGCCTGTATGAGGCCCACTGAATGGGAGACTGCTATCAAATGACAAGTCCCACCAAGAGAGAAACATTACATACTGACAAACAAAGGAAGTTCACTGACGTTAGAGAGACTAGTAGGCTACATACAGTATTACACAGTTTCTTATTCAAATACTTGAGAAGCAAGCCTTTTTGAAGCTTTGAAAGTCCTTCAGCTGGTTAGAAATCCAAACTCACAACAACACACAGCACAACCTCGGCATGACGGCTGTGTTCTGTCCTTATTGACAGATATGCATCAAATAGATAACCACTTCGCTGACATAAATGAGGAAATAATTGAGATTAATTGTGGATCTTAGGTCAGTAAATAAGTGCCAGTCTGTTTGGGATATCATGCCAACTCCTTCTCATGCCAAACATGTTGAACAGGGGTTAAGCACTTGATATGTGTTCCACTTTGCTCTAAAATGTACTTGTAAATGCCAAGTCATTTCCCCTCACATGTTGGTCAGTAACAATGTGCAAATGAAAATGTATCAGGTTTTAATTTTCATGACTATCTTCCGTTTTCTTTTGTTGTAAAGTGCATCTCATGGATGTTGTGGACTGACTCATGGATCAGACATACATGTTTAAGTAATCTCTGAACCTCAACCCAGAACCAAATTCTTGGGTAAACGCTGGACTGCATCCTGCTAATGGATTTGGGAGAAACTGATGCTGAAGAGCCTGTCAAGTGGTCTGTCTACAGTCTACCCTCCAAGACCATACAACCCAGGTAACTGACACCAGGCAAGTAATATTAGGCCTACCAACCTGCCCACTTCTTGTGAACAGTCTAAACTCAGATCTAGATGAGAAGTAGATAAGAGTGTAGGTTCCATCCTGTGTGTATCTGTTAATATGATTTGAGTCAACAGGCTGATGAATTACCAAACAAATAAACATTTTACTGGAATAACTGTTTCATAGTAGCAGAGATGAACAGAACGAACAATCCAGCTACAGGCAAGAAAGGCCAAATGTATGTTTTTGTGTTAATTTAGCTGAAGTCCCCCTTGTAGTGGCAGTTCAAAACTTGGCATCCTCTCCTGAGGGGAAAGTACAGTACAGTATTCCACACTAAGTTCATGTGGGTTTCTCCCAGTATTCTCCCATAGAGCCCATCAAAAGTAAGGTGTAGTATTTGAGCTTGGTATATTTGACTATCCTCCTATAATTTCCTTTAAATGTACACAGCTGAGGATTCAAGCGAAGGTCTTTGAAGTGTTACATAATGACTCTTTACATGCTCTGAAAGATATGCTTTCATGAATTGTTGTTGTTATGGAATAGATAGGCTACAATTAGGGGTGATTATCAAAACAAATAGTTAATTGGTGCACAGGCGCCATGTAAAATATACAAACGTTACAATTTAAACAATTCAAACGTAATCTTCCTCAAAACCGATACTGCCAGCGACCTCTTGGTCAGATATAATATGCGCGATGAATGAAGGCAAAACAGAACATTTTCACAACTTTACACACTGTAAGTAAGCTAAACAGTCGTCTGTTCACTCACAACCAACCTGTTACATTTATTCTCAAGTGAGAAAGCTCTTAATGTGTGTAATCGACTGAGACTAGTTCAACAAAACAAAACATTTTAAGAACACATCAGAAAACCGAACATTCCATGATCAGCACCTACCAGATCATTATCCATTTTGTCAAACTTCAGTCCTTAATTATCGCCACCAGAATGATAGTTTATTTAATCCCGATGCATCCAATTTGTAAAACGTTTTTATTGATTATGCGAGTTTGATGTTCCTGTTGAACAGCCTACGTTCCCTCCTGTTGCTCGTTAACTTCCTGGTTGTTGTTTTTTCTCCCTAAAAGTAAAGTCCTTCGCTTTGACCCACCTCTTCTGTCTTCTGCTTCCACTTTGCATCCTCACGAGGGCGTTAGAGCACGGCGTTCTCTGGTGCACCTGCAGCAGGTAAGAAAAAATTGATCCAACTCAGAATGTCATTGTGCTGGTTGGCCTACAAACTTTCACATATCAGGATTCTTGATCATCATTATGTGCTCATATGCTGGGGGTTACAGTAAGTAACTGTTTCCTTTTTACCTGCAACTTCTCTGTGCGCATGAACCCCCTCTATCTGCTGTCTGGCCGATCAAAACAACTGGGAACTCGGAAAAAAAAACTAGGTCAAATCATGACGTCAGTAATATTCAGGTCGGAGCTCTAGAAAGGTGCCCGAGTTTCCGACTTGGATGACCATTCAAAACGATTTTTCCTAGTCGTTGCTCGTCCCCCGTTTGAAGCTTACAGACAAGCATTAAGCATTAAGCAAAATCAAAAATCTCCTCATACAGTAAGCCTACATTACATGTAATACCTTTAATGCTGGGAGTAGACCTATGGAAAACAAGTACACATTTTAGTCATTTAGCAGACGCTCTTATCCAGAGCGACTTACAGTTAGTGAGTGCATACATTATTTAATTTTTCATACTGGCCCCCTGTGGGAATTGAACCCAGAACCCTGGCGTTGTAAACACCATGCTCTACCAACTGAGCTACATCCCTGCCGGCCATTCCCTCCCCTACCATGGACGACGCAGGGCCAATTATGCACAGCCCCAACTGGGAGAGGCTAGGACAGAGCCTGGATTCGAACCAGGATCTCTAGTGGCACAGCTAGCACTGCGACACCACTCACTGTGTCATTCAAGATAAGGAATGGGGTGTGTGATAGAGATAATTGAGGCAGTGTAACAACATACAATACATTCTCAGACTAGTCAGGCTGTATCAGCATGCAAACCTCCCTATAGCCACCAGATCAATAAGTGAGTGACTCCACCCATCCCAGCTGCTCCTGCTGTACCAATCATGCTGACGCGGTATCACCCAGCCCGCACACACTGCTAATCCTGACCAACCGGTTTTTAGCCTGTGTTTGCGTCCCAAATGGCACCCTATTCCCTTAGGGCTCTGGTAAAAAAGTAGTGCAGTTTGGGACATTCATGACAAGGCTGCAAAGAGTACACTACAATCCAATGACGCCAGTTGAATGTATAACAAGGTAGAGCATAAATAACCATTACCTAAAAATAGCTACCTTGCAGTTTGCTTTTGTTTGTACCCGATTCCTGTGTAATGTAGAAAAACACATTTTTATTTATTTTTGGTATGTACACATTACACTATCGTGAGGAAGGCAGGAGTGAAGCGTTTAAATTATCTACCAGTGGAGGCTGCTGAGGGGAGGACGGCCCATAATAATGGCCGGAATGGAGTGAATGGAATGGTATTTTACATTTTAGTCATTTAGCAGACGCTCTTATCCAGAGCGACTTACCACAGGGGGCCATTTTAATACTGGCCCCCTGTGGGAAACAAACCCACAACCCTGGCGTTACAAGCGCCATGCTCTACCAACTGAGCTACACGTGGCCTATGGTTTTCATGTGTTTGATACCATTCCATTAACTCCATTCCAGCCATTATTATGAGCCTTCCTCCCCTCAGCAGCCTTCACTGGTATCTACACACAATACATTTACATCATTTACATTTTAGTCATTTAGCAGACGCTCTTATCCAGAGCAATAGATGTAGAACAAAAAAGGACAGGTTAAACGGAATGTACAGGTAAACATGTTTAAAACACTATTCAGGTAATAAACAGATGAGTCATTTTAAAGGGCACTTACTATACATTTTCTAGAAATTACATTGTTAACCTAAATGTGATGGTGCCTTTGCTTGACATGAATGACCCGGAATTCATCATGAACATAGAAAAATTGAGAATACGCAGATTGAAGATTAAAATGAAATCTGTTGTTTAAATCCCATCGTTTATCCCTTTTCATTGACCTTGCTTGATGATGATATCTGACATGTCGTCCACCTTGACGAGCTCCAAATTCTGTTGAAAGAAACAGCCAATAACTGACAAATAATGAGTGAGTGGCATGGTTCACTCTTCATTCACACTTAACCACCAAGTGAAAACAGTCTTGATACTGACGACTATCTGAAAGATTCATATCAAGTTTATACTTAGCACAGCCAATATATATTGTGCAGATTAAAGGGTTTATTGAACCCTTCCACAAACCCTCTCAATTAATAAAAGCGCCAAATGTATTTTTAGTTAATAATGTAGATATGTACTACCACTACATGACAACGTAATAGCCATGTCTAGAACCAACTTATTTTAGGAATGACATGGTGCAGTAAGTCAGAGAAGTAGCTACTCACCTTCTCATTGGCCAAGTGCAGCAGGGCGACAAACGCCAGGGGCACAGACAGGTTCTGAGCCATGGTGAGGGGCAGGCTGAAGTGACAGGAGAGGAGAGGAAGAACAAGACATGGCTTTTATTACATTATTTATCAGCATGTATGTCCCATCCACATCCCTTTTAGCAAATGAATGTTTGGACCATCACCATCCAAAGTCCCTCAGTTGGCAGTAGTGTCTAAATAAATGATGCATGTCTTTCTCGCTACCAATTTAATGGAAAGAAGAAGAAAATCCACCACAATCCTCCTCAATGGCAGCTGAGAAAGAACACTAGAGCCATTTGAGAATGGGCCCAGTGGTGATACTAAGGCTTGGTAACCTTTGAAGCAGGGTCTTTGTGGTCTGACTGAAGACTTTCTCCCCAGACACCTCTGAAGTCTCAGCATTCTCCACCTCCTGCTGAGAACACAACATAACACTGTCAACCACAAGGAAGCAGTCCTGGGTTCAAATACTATTTGAAATCATTTCAAATTTAATCTGTGCTAGATTGAGTTTGCCTGTTGCAATGGAACCAATACAAAAGTGCAAACCCCACAGACCTGGGACTCCTGGCAGACTTAAGCAAACGCTCAAAGTATTTGAAAGCTTTTGAATAGTATTTGAACCTAGGGGAGAATCTCAATGACGAAAGGTGTATAAAGATGGAGGAATTCAGATAGTAAGTTATTGTTTTAGCAATACCCACAGTTTTTAAACTACGGCACGCGACATGGTTCAATGTGCCAATAAATCAGCACAATCTACTTTCTCGCTTTTTAAAATAGTCTTGGATCTAGAATTGGGATCAAGTTTACTGTGCTAATGCAGATACAAAACAAGAGTAATGGGGAGCACTGTATAATACGGAGAACTTTGCAAATGAGGCATTTGTATTAAGTACATGGGGGTCGCCATCTTCATGCATGTCAGCTATTGGGCAACAGTCTGTCCACTCCTCCATGACCCGGACACTCAGTGGTCGAGGAGAGTGTCAAATTGTTAGTAGGCGAACGGAGGAGTGCTCACCCTCTTGATTACCTACTTCAGCAGAGGATGCACAAGAGTATCCTTTCAGCTTCTAGCGCGGAAGTGTTTTAAAATCCGCCACACCCCCTTTGAATCAGCTGTTTTCTCGAAGGAGAAAAGCATGCACACATTTAAAAACTTAACGCTACTTATCCTTTTATCTATAACATCTCTTTCAAAACTAGCCACATTTGTTTTTATCACTTAACACATTTATTTTGGGATTCCACCCCTGTATACGTAATTTGCCTGATGACGTGCAATTGGAGCAGGAGAGTCTCACTTCATACAAGCGTATTTGTTTCCACTCCTTGATTACCTTTGACCATTTTCAAAAGCAGGTGAGGAGAGGACAGAGGAGAGAAGCGATATGAGTCTAGCAAAACCAATTGAGATTCTACCCAGGCCTGCAAGGAAGAGGCATATAGGGAAAAAAACATATTTGCCAACCATAGAAGCCAGTCAATGAGAGATCGGAGGGGAAAAAAAGAGAAATGAAAACACTTTAAAATTGACCTTGGCTGTTTTTTCCAGACTGTCAGTCAGAAGATTCCACATGGTGTTCTTGAGCCTCTTCATGTCCATCTTCTTAGCTGTTTTGGCGTAGTTTATCTCAATCTTGTTCACCTGAAATGAAAGGCAAAGCCGGGCTTTAACAATATTTCAAACATGATGCTGCCATTTCAGAGCATTTATACCCTGAAGAAGGCAATGGGTGCCAAAACATTGGTGTTTACCCATTACCTTGTTTGGAAAATATTTAGTCTTTATTAATTTCTACACAAATTTCAGAGCATGACACTTGCTGAACACTGGCTCCACATAACCATTCCCCTGCCCACCCGTCTTACCCGGTGTGGTTCTGGCACCAGGTCGTCCTCCCCATAGGTGGACACGTTGTCATTGTCTTGTGAGGAGACGAGGTTACTGTCTGCGGAAGGCTGGGTGTCATCTGCACCCCCATTGAACCCTTCACCATCATCATCATCATCACTGTCCCCACCCTATAGAGAGAGTCAGATTGATATGTAGAGAGAGGACGAGCAAGAGATTAGCCGAGTAATTACAAAACTAGCTACTAGCTACTAAACAGCTACTGAAACTATAGCATTAGTGGGGGTAATGATATAGTGGCAAGTTAGATATCTCTGTAGACCATGCGGTCTTATTGACACATCATGGAAACTGTATAAGACTGACACGGGAGTTACAATACAGACCTGCAGGCCAGGGCAGAAGTTGGCTGTGTCGTTGGCGTTGTTGTAGTCGTAATCTCCGATGACTTCCAGCTCTCCAGACAACCTCTTCTGGCCCTCTTTACACAACTGACATAGAACACACGTTTACTGACATGGAACACACGTTTACTGACATGGAACACACATGTTTACTGACATGGAACACACATGTTTACTGACATGGAACACACATGTTTACTGACATGGAACACACATGTTTACTGACATGGAACACACATGTTTACTGACATGGAACACACATGCTTACTGACATGGAACACACATGCTTACTGACATGGAACACCCATGCTTCCTGACATGGAACACCCATGCTTACTGACAGAACACACGTTTACTGACATAGAACACCCATGCTTCCTGACATAGAACACCCATGCTTCCTGACATAGAACACCCATGCTTACTGACAGAACACACGTTTACTGACATAGAACACAACACACATCTGTGGCATCACAATCTTCACTTCTATCAGTTGTAGCAGCATATCAGTTCCAGTCAGCTACGGTGATGGTCTGACTGTATCTGGTGGCGGCTGCACATTGTTTTAGCACATCACTGTTCCCCGGTATCACCATGGACACGCAGGACAGGGTCAACTAGTGTGTGTTACATTCATTTCACTCAAAATGTCGCTCAAAATGTTGTGTTTATTCCATGCTGGTTGTTGTGTACGGGAGGGTGTAAGAGAGGTCTTACTATGCTGGCAGGTTTGAGGCTGAGTTGGGACAGGGTCTCAGGGGGGAACTGGAAGTCTGCAGCTAGAGTGGTTTTCTTGTTGCTGGTACTGAGGGCTGACTTGGTGTTAGTGGTAGCAGCCTAGGAGAACACATTAGGCAGAGGTGAGGGAACGGTTTGAGTCAATGTGTGAGTGGTGGGGAAACTCCTATAGCCACTAAAACCACATTTCCTCGGCTGCAGTGACTAACATTTGAAACCGCATAACTTTCTTACACATAGGCAGGGATTGTCAAGACACTTGACCCCTGTTTTAGCATCAAAAGTGATTTACAGAAGTGACTAATACAGTAATTGACAACGGCTCAGAAAACGGGCACTTTATTACTTTAGAATGTGACTGCCTACTAGTGATTAATGCTCTTGGGTGCAGATCAAACAATCATCAGAGAACTGGAGGGGTAATATGGATGAGTTTCTATATACAGTGGGGGAAAAAAGTATTTAGTCAGCCACCAATTGTGCATGTTCTCCCACTTAAAAAGATGAGAGGCCTGTAATTTTCATCATAGGTACACGTCAACTATGACAGACAAATTGAGAAAAAAAATCCCAGAAAATCACATTGTAGGATTTTTAATGAATTTATTTGCAAATTATGGTGGAAAATAAGTATTTGGTCACCTACAAACAAGCAAGATTTCTGGCTCTCACAGACCTGTAACTTCTTCTTTAAGAGGCTCCTCTGTCCTCCACTTGTTACCTGTATTAATGGCACCTGTTTGAACTTGTTATCAGTATAAAAGACACCTGTCCACAACCTCAAACTGCCATCCAGGACCTCTATACCAGGCGGTGTCAGAGGAAGGCCCTCAAAATTGTCAAAGACTCCAGCCACCCTAGTCATAGACTGTTCTCTCTGCTACCGCACGGCAAGCGGTACCGGAGTGCCAAGTCTAGGTCCAAAAGACTTCTCAACAGCTTCTACCCCCAAGCCATAAGACTCCTGAACAGCTAATCATGGCTACCCAGACTATTTGCACTGCCCCCCCCCCCCACCCCATCCTTTTTACGCTGCTGCTACTCTGTTAATTATTTATGCATAGTCACTTTAACTCTACCCACATGTACATATTACTTCAACTATCTCAACTAGCCGGTGCCCCCGCACATTGACTCTGCACCAGTACCCCCCTGTATATATAGCCTCCCTACTGTTATTTTATTTTACTTCTGCTCTTTTTTTTCTCATCACTTTTTTTGTTGTTATTTTATTTTTACTTTTTTTGTTAAAAATAAATGCACTGTTGGTTAAGGGCTGTAAGTAAGCATTTCACTGTAATGTCTGCACCTGTTGTATTCGGCGCATGTGAAAATTTGATTTGATTTGAAACAGTCACACTCCAAACTCCACTATGGCCAAGACCAAAGAGCTGTCAAAGGACACCAGAAACAAAATTGTACACCTGCACCAGGCTGGGAAGACTGAATCTGCAATAGGTAAGCAGCTTGGTTTGAAGAAATCAACTGTGGGAGCAATTATTAGGAAATGGAAGACATACAAGACCACTGATAATCTCCCTCGATCTGGGGCTCCACGCAAGATCTCACCCCGTGGGGTCAAAATGATCACAAAAACGCTGAGCAAAAATCCCAGAACCACACAGGGGGACCTAGTGAATGACCTGCAGAGAGCTGGGACCAAAGTAACAAAGCCTACCATCAGTAACACACTACGCCGCCAGGGACTCAAATCCTGCAGTGCCAGACGTGTCCCCCTGCTTAAACCAGTACATGTCTAGGCCCGTCTGAAGTTTGCTAGAGTGCATTTGGATGATCCAGAAGAGGATTGGGAGAATGTCATATGGTCAGATGAAACCAAAATAGAACTTTTTGGTAAAAACTAAACTCGTCGTGTTTGGAGGACAAAGAATGCTGAGTTGCATCCAAAGAACACCATACCTACTGTGAAGCATGGGGGTGGAAACATCATGCTTTGGGGCTGTTTTTCTGCAAAGGGACCAGGACGACTGATCCGTGTAAAGGAAAGAATGAATGGGGCCATGTATCGTGAGATTTTGAGTGAAAACCTCCTTCCATCAGCAAGGGCATTGAATATGAAACGTGGCTGGGTCTTTCAGCATGACAATGATCCCAAACACACCGCCCGGGCAACGAAGGAGTGGCTTCGTAAGAAGCATTTCAAGGTCCTGGAGTGGCCTAGCCAGTCTCCAGATCTCAACCCCATAGAAAATCTTTGGAGGGAGTTGAAAGTCTGTGTTGCCCAGCGACAGCTGCTCTAGAGGAGATCTGCATGGAGGAATGGGCCAAAATACCAGCAACAGTGTGTGAAAACCTTGTGAAGACTTACAGAAAACGTTTGACCTGTGTCATTGCCAACAAAGGGTATATAACAAAGTATTGAGAAACTTTTGTTATTGACCAAATACTTATTTTCCACCATAATTTGCAAATAAATTCATAAAAAATCCTACAATGTGATTTTCTGGAAAAAATAGTCTCATTTTGGCTGTCATAGTTGACGTGTACCTATGATGAAAACTACAGGCCTCTCTCATCTTTTTAAGTGGGAGAACTTGCACAATTGGTGGCTGACTAAATACTTTTTCCCCCCACTGTATGGATGATTTTCTAGTACATATGTTGTAGAATTAAACATATATATGCCTTAAATGCTTATGGATTGAGAAACAGTTGAAGGGTTAAAACAGAGCAGAAACATTTCTTTAGTGCAAACGCTGTGCTTTTGATAACTCCCTGCAGCTGGTCTGGGTATGTCAATGACATGTGATGGAGATACAACTCCTCGTGGTGGCTTTGTGGAGATTGGAGTAACAATGGAACTAGTGTTATCATTTGTTTGTGCTTATGACCTGACACATAGCCACATGCACATAATCTCAAGGGTCCTGGGAGGATGCTTTTTGGGATTTGCTTAAATGTATGTGGTTGAGAATGGGTTATGGCCATGACATGTTTAAACCATGTTTAAGTATTAATTTATATGTTTTATAATGTGTTATGAAATGATAAAGGTAAAACAGAATGAACATGATTGATACTTTTACTCCAGATGTATGTCTGGATAGTGAATATAGTCAATACAGAGTGTGATTGTTCTTTAACGTACGTATGTATATAATTTTTTGAGTCACGCCACTAATAAGAGACAGAAGCCCCACTTAGAGAAATGCACGTAGCCTCGTGAGTAGCCAACATGTGATACTGAAAGATGTTATTCATTCACATAGAGAGGAGTAACTATGTATGTTGTATAAGCATGACAATGCATTTGTGTCTGTATAAAAGGAGAGCTCCGGGTCAGGGCAAGCAGTTGTTCCATGGAGCAAGCTCGGCTTTGTTACGCAATAATAAAGTCACATTTTTGGATTCACAAGCTCCAGTTTCTTGAGAGATATTTTTTTGTCAAATATTTCTACGACAGTAACCAAGGGCTTACTCTAGTGGTGCGGAAGTAGGTTTCAAAGTTGACATCGTCGTTAAAGTCGATTTCAAAGGCCTTCTTAGGCTTCCTCTTGCGACCCTCCTTCTCAGGCATGTTGTCCTCTAAACACACACACACACACACACACACACACACACACACACACACACACACAGAGAGGGAGACGGGGGAATGAACAGGAGATATTCAGTGGACAATGCCATTAAGGGAATATCCCAAACACAGATAAACTACATATACAACATGGCTCTGTGTGTACAACCACCACTCACTCTTGTGCAGAGGTTTGAAGCGCCAGTAGCCAGGGCCTGCCCAGGTAGCCATGGTTCTAGGGCTGAAGTAGGAGTACTCTCTGGGCTGGTCGGACAGCTGCAGACACATGGTGGCTATATCCCCCTCTCCAATGGGAATCACATCCCTGTGGACAGTCAGCCACACCACAGAATGACATTAAAATACATGGCCAGCAGCATACCACCCTGCATCCCACTGCTGGCTTGCCTCTGATGCTAAGCAGGGTTGGTCTTGGTCGGTCCCTGGATGGGAGACCAGATGCTGCTGGAGGTGGTGTTGGAGGGCCAGTAGGAGGCACTCTTTCCTCTGATAAAAAAAACAACTAATGCCAATGCCCCAGGGCAGTGATTGGGGACATTGCCCTGTGTAGGGTGCAGTCTTTTGGATGGGACGTTAAACGGGTGTCCTGACTCTCTGTTGTCACTAAAGATCCCATGGCACTTTTCGTAAGAGTAGGGGTGTTAACCCTGGTGTCCTTGCTAAATTCCCAATCTGGCCCTCATACCATCATGGCCACCTAATCTTCCAATTGGCTCATTCATCTCCACTGTAACTATTCCCCAGGTCGTTGCTGTAAATGAGAATATGTTCTCAGTCAACTTACCTGATTTAAAAAAACATGAAGATACAGGATAGAAAGACGGAAAAGACAAACATCAGTTTCATTTTTAAACCTAGACTGAGAAAAATATGGATTTACTAACACGTCTTCAGTTAGTCCACTTGCTTTTGCCTGTCTGGATCGAAGTTAAGTAGGTCATAGTCATTAGTAGAGCTGTTTCTGTCAAAAGTCAAATGGTTTCCCTTCATTCATCCTGACATCTAAACTGGATATTTAATGGGTTTGGGTGTGTTACTGTCATAACAGTTTTAAAACACTCAGGACATCATGGTACACACAAAAAAACAAAAAAAACAAGAGACGGAACAAGGTCACTTCAAGCTACCGGACCCGTTTACAAGTGGAATACCCCTTGGTGCCTCATGAAATATCCCTGGGATCCTCTACAGGTATAAACAAGCAGAGTACCAACAAACATCCTCAGCATGCTACCCCCAGGTTGTTGCCACCCTGTAACAAACACCTTCCAGGTTGATACCACCCTGTAACAAACACCCCCAGGTTCTTACCACCCTGTAGAAAACGCCCCCAGGTTGTTACCACCCTGTAACAAACACCCCCAGGTTGGTACCACCCTGCAACAAACACCCCCAGGTTGGTACCACCCTGCAACAAACACCCCCAGGTTGTTACCACCCTGCAACAAACGCCCCCAGGTTGTTACCACCCTGCAACAAACGCCCCCAGGTTGTTACCACCCTGTAACAAACGCCCCCAGGTTGTTACCACCCTGCAACAAACACCCCCAGGTTGTTACCACCCTGCAACAAACACCCCCAGGTTGTTACCACCCTGTAACAAACACCCCCAGGTTGTTACCACCCTGTAACAAACAGCCCCAGGTTGTTACCACCCTGTAACAAACGGCCCCAGGTTGTTACCACCCTGTAACAAACGCCCCCAGGTTGTTACCACCCTGTAACAAACAGCCCCAGGTTCTTACCACTCTGTAACAAACACCTCCAGGTTTGTTACCACCCTGTAACAAACACCCCCAGGTTGTTACCACCCTGTAACAAACACCCCCAGGTTGTTACCACCCTGTAACAAACGCCCCCAGGTTGTTACCACCCTGCAACAAACACCCCCAGGTTGTTACCACCCTGTAACAAACACCCTCAGTACACTCACCTTCCTCTCCCGGGCCCTCCAGCCTTACAGCTGTCCTTGTGTTCTTTGGAGCCCTCTCCAACATAGTCCCCCTGACCCTCCTCATAGTCTCCATCAAAATCATCCCTAAAGTCCTGACACTCCTCCTCGTCCGGCTCCGCCTCAGCATTCACGTCAAACACGTGATCCCCCTGCTTCATCTTCTCCAGCATCTGGTTCATGGTCTGTAATAGGAGAACGGTTTATATAGAGACTGTGGTTAAGATATTCTGAGACTATATGACTACTGTATCAAAACAATACCTCCAATCTGTATAATTTCAAAACTAAAATAAAGAGTTGTGCTTCCCAAATGGCACCCTATTCCCTATATCGTGCACGACGTTTGACCAGGGCCCATAGAGTCCCGGTCAAAAGTAGTGCACTATATAGGGAATAGGGTTCCATTTGGGATGCAGCCTGTGTATATTGCCAGTGTATGTTGCTCTGACCTGGTCAGGGTTCCAGCTGGTGAAAGAGAAGTCTGCCAGGGAGGGGCAGATGGAGCTCTTCTCCTGGGTCCGCTGGAGACCACCTGTCAATCACACAATAATTTCATGCATGATACTATTATCGGAATAATATGTAGGTCAACTGCCAATACCTTAAAGCAGAGTTTCTTAATCTTGGTTCTGGGGGGGTGCACATTTTTGTTTTGTCCTCGCAGTACATACCCGATTCGACTAATAGACTCATCATCAAACCTTAGATTAGTAGAATCAGGTGTGTAGTGCTAGGGCAAAACAAACATGTGAACTATTTTGGGTCCCCAGGACAAGGATTGAGAAACACTGCCTTACAGCATCACTCAACAATCAATACAACCAGATATACACTTCAATTCAAAAGTTTGGACACACCTACTCATTCAAGGGTTTTTCTTTATTTTTACATTGTAGAATAATAGTGAAGACATCAAAACTGTGAAATAACACATATGGAATCATGTAGTAACCAAAAAAGTGTTAAACAAATCAGAATATATTTTATATTTGAGATTCTTCAAATAGCCACCCTTTGCCTTGATGACAGCTTTGCACACTCTTGGCATTCTCTCAACCAGCTTCATGAGGTAGTCACCTGGAATGCATTTCAATTAACAGGTGTACCTTCTTAAAAGTTAATTTGTGGAATTGTGTTTGAGCCAATCAGTTGTGTTGTGACAAGGTAGGGGGGGGGGGGTTTACAGAAGATATCCCTATTTGGTAAAAGACCAAGTCCATATTTTGGCAAGAACAGCTCAAATAAGCAAAGAGAAACGACAGTCCATCATTACTTTAAGACATGAAGGTCAGTCAATACAGAACATTTGAAGAACTTTGAAAGTTTCTTCAAGTGCAGTCGCAAAAACCATCAAGCGCTATGATGAAACTGGCTCTCATGAGGAACACCACAGGAATGGAAGACCCAGAGTTACCTCTGCTGCAGAGGATAAGCTCATTAGAGTTACCAGCCTCAGAAATTGCAGCCCAAATAAATGCTTCACATAGTTCAAGTCACAGACACATCTAAACATCAACTGTTCAGAGGAGACTGTGTGAATCAGGCCTTTGGTCAAATTGCTGCAAAGAAACCACTACTAAAGGACACCAATAATAAGAAGAGACCTGCTTGGGCCAAGAAACAAGAGCAATGGACATTAGACCAGTGGAAATGTGTCCTTTGGTCTGGAGTCCAAATTGGAGATTTTTGGTTCAAACTGCCATCTCTTTGTGAGACGCGGTGTGGGTGAATGGATGATCTCTGCATGTGTAGTTCCCACCGTAAAGCATGGAGGAGGAGTGGGGGTGTTTTGCTGCTGACACTGTCTGTGATTGATTTAGATTTCAAGGCACACTTAACCAGCATGGCTACCACAGCATGACCTGGCCTCCACAATCCCCCGACCTCAACCCAATTGAGATGGTTTGGGATGACTCGGCCGGATGCTAAGCATATGTGGGAACTCCTTCAAGACTGTTGGAAAAGTATTCCAGGTGAAGCTGGTTGAGAGAATGCCAAGAGTGTGCAAAGCTGTCATCAAGGCAAAGGGTGGCTACTTTGAAGAATCTCAAATATAAAATATATTTTGATTTGTATAACACTTTTTTGGTTACTACATGATTCCATGTGTTATTTCATAGTTTTGATGTCTTCACTATTATTCTATAATGTAGAAAATAGTAAAAATAAAAAATAAACCTTGAATGAGTAGGTGTGTCCAAACTTTTGACTGGTACTGTATATTCTTTGATACTTCAAGGGGTCATAAAATTCTAAATCAACTTTTGACTGGTACTGTAGCTCTGAGAAAATCTAGAGATACTATGCCAGACTACTAGGGGGAAGTATACAGCAAAAACAGCCCAGGGGTCGTACAGTGGGGAAAAAAAGTATTTAGTCAGCCACAAATTGTGCAAGTTCTCCCACTTAAAAAGATGAGAGTGGCCTGTAATTTTCATCATAGGTACACGTCAACTATGACAGACAAAATGAGAAAAAAAATCCTGAAAATCACATTGTAGGATTTTTTATGAATTTATTTGCAAATTATGGTGGAAAATAAGTATTTGGTCACCTACAAACAAGCAAGATTTCTGGCTCTCACAGACCTGTAACTTCTTCTTTAAGAGGCTCCTCTGTCCTCCACTCGTTACCTGTATTAATGGCACCTGTTTGAACTTGTTATCAGTATAAAAGACACCTGTCCACAACCTCAAACAGTCACACTCCAAACTCCACTATGGCCAAGACCAAAGAGCTGTCAAAGGACACCAGAAACATTATTGTAGACCTGCACAAGGCTGGGAAGACTGAATCTGCAATAGGTAAGCAGCTTGGTTTGAAGAAATCAACTGTGGGAGCAATTATTAGGAAATGGAAGACATACAAGACCACTGATAATCTCCCTCGATCTGGGGCTCCACACAAGATCTCACCCCGTGGGGTCAAAATGATCACAAGAACGGTGAGCAGAAATCCCAGAACCACACGGGGGGACCTAGTGAATGACCTGCAGAGAGCTGGGACCAAAGTATCAAAGCCTACCATCAGTAACACACTACGCCGCCAGGGACGCCAGGGATGTCATATGGTCAGATGAAACCAAAATATAACTTTTTGGTCAAAACTCAACTCGTCGTGTTTGGAGGACAAAGAATGCTGAGTTGCATCCAAAGAATACCATACCTACTGTGAAGCATGGGGGTGGAAACATCATGCTTTGGGGCTGTTTTTCTGCAAAGGGACCAGGACGACTGATCCGTGTAAAGGAAAGAATGAATGGGGCCATGTATCGTGAGATTTTGAGTGAAAACCTCCTTCCATCAGCAAGGGCATTGAAGATGAAACGTGGCTGGGTCTTTCAGCATGACAATGATCCCAAACACACCGCCCGGGCAACGAAGGAGTGGCTTCGTAAGAAGCATTTCAAGGTCCTGGAGTGGCCTAGCCAGTCTCCAGATCTCAACCCCATAGAAAATCTTTGGAGGGAGTTGAAAGTCTGTGTTGCCCAGCGACAGCCCCAAAACATCACTGCTCTAGAGGAGATCTGCATGGAGGAATGGGCCAAAATACCAGCAACAGTGTGTGAAAACCTTGTGAAGACTTACAGAAAACATTTGACCTGTGTCATTGCCAACAAAGGGTATATAACAAAGTATTGAGAAACTTTTGTTATTGACCAAATACTTATTTTCCACCATAATTTGCAAATAAATTCATTAAAAATCCTACAATGTGATTTTCTGGATTTTTCTCTCTCATTTTGTCTGTCATAGTTGACGTGTACCTATGATGAAAATTACAGGCCTCTCTCATCTTTTTAAGTGGGAGAACTTGCACAATTGGTGGCTGACTAAATACTTTTTTTCCACACTGTATGTATTCATTAGTCTCAGAGTAGGAGCAGCGCTTCATTTAATCTGGATCCTGCTGGAACAGGATCTGTCCCCTCTCAGTTTCGTTACGGAACCTATTTGCCAGGATCCGGTACCTCTCGTGGCATGAAAGATAATTTAGGCACAGAGGATCTGTGGATTTTTTTAATAGCCTAGCTGTGGATTGTGTGTAGCCCAATCACAAGGCAAGCCAAAAGACTGCTGAACAGTTAGTTCATCAAATGGCTACACGGACAATTTACACTGACCTCCGTTATTATTTATTTATCTTAATTGTTTTGCACTGACTCCCTTTCACTGGCTCTATGCACACTCACTAGACTCTACCCACACACTCATACTACACTGACTCCAACACACACACACACGCATATTGACACCACACACACACACGCTGCTACTACTCTGTTTATTATCTATCCTGATTGCCTAGTCACGTTTACCCCTACCCACATGTACATACTGTATTACCTCAACTACCTCGTACCCTGCACATTGACTCAGTACTGGTACTCCTTGTATATAGCCTCGTTATTGTTTTTGTTGTGTTACTATTTCCTTCTTATTTAGCAAATATTTGTATTACTTTTTAACTCTGCATTGTTGGGAATGGGCTTGTAAGTAAGCATTTCACTGTAAAGTCTACACCTGTTGTATTCGGCGCATGTGACCAATAAAATTTGATTTGATGCATACAGTCGGGAACGAGCGGTAAATCTGTAAGTGAACAGCATGTAGCCAAAACAGGACTTTCCCAATATTTCAAATACAATCATGGGAAAACACAGGTTGAAAAGCAAATGGATCCTGCTGAAAAGAGAATACTAATTTGTCTGTAGGCTACCAAGTTATCAACTTCCAAATAGGCCTATTGAGTGAACAGCATTGTTTTACAACGTAAAACAAGAGAGAGATAAGCTTTTGGCACAAGCACATCCGCCATCACCGGTGAGTTAGATGCACATCATTGGGTGAGTCAGTGAAACTGGAAAACTTTTTAGGACTATAATTTCCTTTTCATATTGTACAATACAGTGCATTCGGAAAGTATTGACTTTGATCCATATTTTGTTACGTTACAGCCTTATTCTAAAATGGATTAAATCGTTTTTTCCCCTCATCAATTTACACACAATACCCCATAATGACAAAGCAAAAACAGGTTTTTAGACATTTTTGCAAATGCATTAAAAATGAAAAAACTAAATATCACATTTACATAAGTATTCACACCCTTTACTTTGTTGAAGCACCTTTGGCCGCGATTACAGCCTCGAGCCTTCTTGGGTATGACGCTACAAGCTTGG